ATCTCTAATAAAGATTTTGTCGTTCTTCTCTCTTGCTACGACTGAACCTACCATTTTGGATGCCGAAGTTCCACCAGCAGAGGCATTATGAGCTAAGACATGTTGAGGTTTTGGCTATATCTATGAGGATTGTTTGCTACTTGCGAAGGGTCTCTGGATCACAGCGAGTGTGCCAGAATCGTCTCTGCGTTTGGAGTATCATTTAAGTTTGCAAGCCTCGTGCAGAACGCCCTGAATGGTTTGCTTCATTGGTTGTGCTGTGCTCCACTTCTGCTGAGTTCGCGGTTACTATTGCACTTCGATAGGTGCATCTCAAACGAAGCATTCAACAATGCACCACCTTGCAAACCAACTTAAATCTGTTTTTTTAATTACACGCTGAAGCCTGAACAAGAAGAGCGTGGTGAGCGATACTTACATGGGGAACTACCCTGCAAGAATAATTACCACCTAGACCGAGTAATTAAGAACTGTCGATTGGGTTGGATGGCATCGAACGACATTCACGCTACATTCGTCACTTCACCCCCGTGCGGATGACATCAAACAACATTCACACAACATCATACAGCACTCGATCGAATCGGTCTGAATGACACTTACAGGTTTTGATGGATGCCTATTCGCCTCGGAGCTTCTTTTCCTTCTACTGTAGATTGATGCCAGATGCCATCAGAGGATGGGGCTCCTTCACAAACATCAGAGACTACTACGACGAACAACGTGTCGTTATCTCCACTCCGAGTGCCCTTCTTCTTGCACCGCGTCGGAGGGAGATCGTTAACACAAGCTGCTCACCTAAGCACCTAGGGAGCGTCTCGGTAAGCAGGGTCTCTTCCAGTGCGAGGCCGTTCAGTGTCGACCAGACGTTACTGGCCTGCACGCATGGCTAGGATAGGGATGGCTAGGAGGAAACGTTATAAGCATTAGTGGTCGGGTAGCCCCACTAGCTGTTTCCAGCTCGTAAAGCCCGGTTATATACAGCAGGCAGCAAGAGCCCTTCGCACACTGGCACATGCGAGCTCCACGCCACTCGGCCGAGATGCTCCAACACCACAGCCCCCGTGGTCTCTCTCCACAGTCCTGCAGCCCTACTCGAACACTGCCCTCATCTGTGCACTGGCCTACCACTGCCATACCTTCGCTATTGCCGTCGCTTTGGCCGACGCTCTTCGTCGCTGCTCCAAAGACCGGAAACCCGTGCGTTCGGCGCAACTCGTGTATATTAGTATTGACTCTCCACAATCCTGTGAAAAACCGCAACTGAGGGTCGAGTCGGCCGACCGCCGCTCGGTATCCTCCTACTCAATCCTATCCCCGCTGTATCTAATCTTACGCACGGGCGCCTGCCTACCTACTGGACCTCTCCCTCTTCGACTCCTTCTCCATGCTCGTGGCCTCACAGCCTCACGTTCCTGTCCTTGATCTCGCCTCTCCTCGCTCGTATACTTCTTCGCCCTTGTCCCGGCGTGTCGCCCACGCACTGCGATCTTCTGTCGTCGCCATCGCCAACTTCAACCTCCCACTGCTTGCTAAACGACCGCCTTCAGCCGGGGGCACTAGTCCACTGGCTTGCCCTCTTCACCACACGCCTCCTGCCGTACACCACGACCCGATCTGGCCGATGTCCACCACACTACTCGTCTGTCAAGTCGATCACCAGCGCGCGATCGTCTGGCGCTGCCTGTTCGTGGCCCTTCGTCACGTGACAGGCCATCCAACTACAAACGTATTGTGTAATATTTCAGCAAGCATTGTATTCTTTCGATCAATGCTAACCTTGGACAAAACTGGTGCCACATAACTGCATCGTATTATACTACTGTACATGCAGTACTTACTCATTCCATTAGAGGTAAAATTATCGATTCGATATGTTATGAGTCATAACTTATACCCTCCTCTTTCAGACACAGATTTTTTTAGTTTCTCAGAGAGAGAGATTGAAAATCGTGTGGTCAGCTGAGCTTGCCGTGACATAAACTGTCGACGGGGTGAATCCCCACATCAGACCGATACTGGGCTAGCCGTATTTACCGATAGGTATGGCTGCTGGATAGTCCGGGTGCTAAAGTACCAATTCGTTGGAGTGACGATACATGTATATGAACTGGCAATGCCTTTGAAAAGAAGCGATCAAACCTGGTACACTTGGTTGTACAGTGGTAGGAATTAATCCAGATGGATCAGATAAAACATTCCACTAAAACATTGCAAAAACCTACTTTAAGTCCTAGGTTGTGCGATCCAGGATGGGAAGTATAGCTCGATTTTTTTCGTTCAACATATTTTTTAATCCAAACCCAACTCTATCCGCCAGCAATGCGGTGACGTCCTATACGGTGGCGAACGAATACATTCAGCGGAGACTCAAAAAGAGCTGCACCTGGTGGTACGTCTTCTCCGGGAAAAAGGCTAAAAGCTAGCTGCACTAGCTTAGGCATTTATCTACGAAGACTTGGATGATTTAAGCTTGTCTTGTATGAGACTACATTGCGACCCGCAGAGATCCACCGAACTGGTGGTGTAGAATGATCTAGTACTTGATCCTGTTCTTGTCAAGACAAGTTCAAAGGACATTGTTACCGATATTAGTTCAGATTATCCTAATGCCACACACTTGGACGAATCGAAGCTGACAGTTTTTTGTTGTTAGATCTTCAGGCGACCCGGACAAAAATGTGTGCGGCTGCACCATGTTTTATCAAACAGAGTTTGAATGCTCCTACGTTGTTGCTGTACGCCGCGGATTCCTGTGCGAGAGGAAGTCCCGGGCGGACATCGTCAAAGCGAAGGGGTGTATCCTACTCCTACACGCGATCGAAATCTGCTAGACCTCAGTTTTGACTCATCAAACTTGAAACAAATTGCTGGCTTCATCGTGTTATCCTGCAAGTTCGGTTGAACAGTTATCCTAGCAGCGCTAAATATTCGAATGCTTTATCGCCACCTGTAAGTTTCCGAGCACAACACTGCAATCTAAGCAATACAGGATTCTGCCTGGGCATCAGCGCACATTTCAGTAGCAGGAAGGAAGGAAATTACGTTGATTAGCTCGTTGTTGATTACTGTTCTACTAACTACAAAGAACTAAAGTTAAAACTAAATCCGTGGAGTCCTCATCCGACGAGCAGGAGGTGGTAGAATCACCACGATGGGTTTGTCAAACCCATGCTAACAGTGCGCCTACGACAAAAGAGAAAGTGGTCCGGGAAGTTTTGGAGACGGCGCAACGCATGGAAATCTTGCTCTAGTGAAGCGTCTCACGGAGCTGGCAACGCTGTACAATGTTTATGCTGAATCCGTGGTTCGTTGTCGTGCGCAATTGCTGCTGGGCATGGCGACATTGTGGAGCTTCTTCTGCGTTAGTACTTCTCGGAGTTTGGGATGCTGGAGTTGTGAGGGTGACCGGCAAAAGTAGTTGTTTCGTGTACCCAGACGACGCTGGAGTGCGCAACGTAAACTTACAAGAAAATTATTGTGGGTTCTACTCAAAATTTCCGAACCGGCCGATTGCAATCGCCCGAGCCAAATCGCTCCCCAATCGCCGGATTGTCTATTGGAACTCGATTAAGTACGATTTACATATGGCATTCTTGTTTGGAGCGGTTTCGATCTGTACTTGAATTGTATTGGTCGATTTTCGAAATCGGCCCGATTTGGAAATTTTCAACGGAATTGACAATACATATCGTGGGGGGTGTTGCCATCGTTAACACACTCTTGCCATAGTGAAGATTTTAGCTGGCAGCCGGAAGGGTGCAAGTTGCCTTTTCACTTCAACAAGCCTAATATCCGCCAATCCCCTCCTTGTTTCTCCGTTCTAACCAATCAAATACCAATACTTCGTATTATAAAATAATCTAAGCATATGATTGGCTAATCCCGGATAAAAATCCTCCGAGGGGGATCGCAGCAAGAAAAAAAGATCCACAACGTAAAGAGGGAGGAAGAGCAGAGCGCACAGGACACAAGAGCGGCGACATTATGGACTCGATCTTCGGCATCGTGGGCAAGGACTTCGTGCTGCTGGCGGCCGACTGCAAGGTGGCGCGCAGCATCCTGGTCTACAAGGACGACGAGGACAAGGTGCGCCGCGTTCCACACCGTCTACAGCCCCCGCGCTCTAGCGATTAAGACAACCTCTCCACGCATTATCCAACCCTGTGTATTTATTTTATTTATAATTGCATACTATTTTACTCTGCAATATCTATTAGTCGATCAACCTGGACGAGCACAAGGTGATGGTGACGTCCGGCCCGCAGAGCGACCGCCTGGCGTTCGGCGAGTACATCCAGAAGAACATGAAGCTCTACGAGCTGCGCAACGGCGTGACGCTCAACGGCCCGGCCACGGCCAACTACGTGCGCGGCGAGCTGGCGCGCTTCCTGCGCCGCGCGCCGTACCAGGTGAACGTGCTGATCGGCGCCGTGGACGCGACCCCCGAGCAGAAGGCCGAGCCCAGCTTGCACTGGATCGACTACCTCGGCTCCATGGTCAAGGTCAACTTCGGCGCGCACGGCTACGGCGCGCACTTCTGCCTGTCCATCTTCGACCGCGAGTGGAAGCCCGACATGACGCTGGACGAGGCCAAGAGCGTGCTCAAGAAGTGCCGCGCAGAGCTCGACATGCGCTTCCTCGTGCGCAACGGCCAGTGGGCCTACACGGTGCGTCCATACAGTGCGTTGGGGCTTGAAGATTCTTAGTTACTGACCTATTGGCTGTTGTTGTTGTTATTGTTGTTGTGTGTGTGCAGTTGATTGACGCTAACGGCATCTCGCAGGTTAAGGTCGAGTAGCTGGGATGATACAGACACAAGAGAGGCAGGCAGTACGGCGTAATTGAATGCCTTTCAGCTTTCTTTCTTCGTGTACTGGTTGGCTGGTGACTGTGGGGCTGCTGGCTCTGATAACTTATCGACTCGTGGGGTGGTGGCAAACAATTTTATCTTTGTATTGGTGCTGTTTAGTTCATCATTGAGCTGCAACGTCCGAGCCTCAAGTAGCTCGGGACTTGCGCTCCCGGGCCTTCCGTTGATTGTCGCGGTACCGACGCAGCTCCTCCCTGTTGCGCAGCAAAAAATAAGATGATGAGACACGAACAGAAAGCAGGAGCTATATCGCAGGCGAGCATACCGTTTCTGCTGCCTCGCGCGATCGATGTTCGGCTCCGGGAACTGGTTGGGAGACTCCTCGCCGTCTTTGTCGTCTTGCTCGCTCTGCTCTTTTGAAGTGAGCAGGTCGTCTGCCGACGGAGGGTAATATTCACTCGCAACCTTGATCCATTGCCGCGCCTTCTCCTCGTGCTGGTCCTTGCCGAATCGGTCCTGACGCCAGCCTGCACTCTTGGGGATGCCGATATCCTCGAAGAGATCAGCACCAGCGGGAACAAACAATGGCTTAGCTGGGTCCACCTCTTTGCTTGTACCTCGAGCCATAGCACGGAAGGCAAAGCCCTTCATGACCGACCGGAACTGGTTGACGAGGTTCTTGTCCTTCATGCTCGTGAACAGCACGCTGGCGCCGTACATGTGCGAGAGATACCGTACTGCTTGGGTGACCCCTTTACGCTTGATGGAGTCCTCGTCTCGAAAGGTTTCGTACTTATTCCCCATAACCAGCACTGGCAGCGGCAATGGCGTCACCTCGTCCTTGTCTGGATGAGCAGACCCGTAACGCGCCATGGCTTCCTGCTTGAGCGCATCCACAGCGAACTTCTCCACCGGGTTCTTCTCCTTGACCTTCAAGACTTCCTGCACAACTGTGTAGAGGGTGGTTAACCACTTGACCAACGCTGGGACGACGTCTCCAGGCGCTGAAAGGTCCAGCACGATCACCAACGCGCCGTTCAGAATACGCTCCGGGCCGAGCGGTACCTTGATCATCTCGTGGACGCACTTGGTGCTGGCCAGCTCCCACATGTGCGCGACGGCTGGTCGACCGGCAGTGCGCAGCCGAACGAAGACGTAGTCCAGCGCTGTAGTCGGCTTGATCTCTTCGGCCTTGGACGAGTTCCGGAAGTTGGCTGTGAGCGAAGTCTTGCCTGATCCACGCGGTCCGACGATCAGCGTGAAGGTGTCGCGCTCCTCTGGTGCTGCAGCGACCGCGGGCTTCTCTGGTGCTGCATCAGCTTCTGCCCCGTCTCCTGCTTTCGGCGGCTTCTTGACCGGGTCCTCCACGGTGGAGATCAGCGTCCAGATATCCTTGGTGGCCATGCTTCAGCTCAGCTCTTCCGACCGAGCTCAGGCGGACGTGATAGCCGAGGGATCGCCGCCCGACCTTTCATGCGAACGGATACGTCGCCGATTCATCTTCAATTTGGGGCCTACAAAAGTTAGGGTAATCGTCCTCAAGATACTGGGGATCAGCAGACAATAGTAAGTACTCGAATTCAGTGTTCTAGGTGGCTCTGCAGCCAAGTCTGTCCAGCAGCAACACTCCACTGCTGGGCCGCAGTTAGGATAAACGCGTGTGTGCCGATCTCGGACTCAGCTGCCTTATCTAAAAGAACTTGATGTAAATAACGAGCAGCACGAAGAGCGCGACGGCGACGATGGGTCCATACTGGCGGTAGATGGCCTGCATCCGCAGCTTCTTGGCGCCCCACTTGAGGTCCTTCGACCTGTCCGCCAGGTTCGACGAGATGCGCGAGACATCTAAAAACGCAGTAGCAGCAACAGGCGATTAGCAACTAGCAACCAAATAATACCCTCCTCACGTTGATGGCCTTACGTTCGACGCGCTCGCCGCGGTTGAGCACCTCCTGGATGTTCTTGCGCATGATGTTGTGGATGTCGGCCAGGTCGTCGTTCAGGCGGTGCATGTTCTGCGACGAGTTGGGGTCCGCGTACTCCTTGCGCTTCTTCTGGATAAACTTGTCTGTGCACGCACACAGCCACACCATCATCAGACCACCTAAAGACCCCCCTCTCCTGGTTATAGCCGGCAAGAACCCACCGAACTTGATGAACGCGTACGGTCTCGCGACGGTCGTGACCACGTCGCGCCAGTTGCTGCCGCTGTCGCGCTCCAGCTCCTCCACGAAGCCGGCGTGCACCTCCTCCAGGTACAAGAAGGCCAGGCGCTTCGGGAAGCCGCGGTCCGCCAGCGTCAAGTAGCACACGCCCTCCTGGATCAAGTAGCTGCAGCACAAGCACACCCATACACAGTCAGTACCCCCACCCCACGCTCCCATCTCTCCCCAGTCGATAGCTACCACGCACTGGAAGGTGTAGGCGCCCGACTCGATGCTGCACTTGGTGGGCGAGCGCTGGTCCAGGCGCTTCATGATCTGCTTGGCCTGCTGCTTGTGCGTGTCCAGGTTCCCGTTGGCGTCGCCGATCGACTCCATGGACGCGACCTGCGGCACGAAAAACACATCAGAGAGACCGCCGCGAGCAGGCGGTTGTAGGGAGGGGGAGGCGCGTACCAGCAGCATGCCGTCCGAGACGCGCGCGACGAAGGTGATGATCGGCATGGTGGCAAGAAGCTCGGCTCGTCTTCAATTGACTGCCTCGTGGCGCGCTGCTGTATAACTGTCGGTTGGAGATGCTCTCTAACTGTGATATGGTGTACGGAACACGAATTAATGTTGATGTGGCGCACACCATGCAATACCTATTGTTGAGCATATGGATACCCCATGTATGCTGTAAGGTGGTGTAGTCGTGGCATCGCGCAGCCATCCTGGGATCCGACGCAGGCGACATACACTTGCGCTGTGTGCCAAGTTGGCGCCGCCAATCCGTTTTCCATCGGATGGTGTTTCCTCCAGGCGTTTCGTGTTTCGCAGCTCACTGCATGAAGCAATAGAAACCGACCTCGAGACGCTTGAGTGGAGGGCTGTCGAGCTGATGGATCCATGCACTCACTCGAGCACGCACGCCTCTGCGGACGGTTAGCAGCGCATAGAAAGCAGCCTGCAGTGTATGTATGCAGGACAGGCAATTTGCCTGAGGCAAAGCTGCCTCCAACCGTCCGCGAAATGCTGGTCGAGGGCCTCGCGGAGGAATTGGTACAACTGCTGTCGCCCCACAGATCAGCACAGTAGTCAGCACGGCGCCCTTTGGTAGTCGACTCGGGCGCTGCTTACTGGCAGCCGCCCGAGCAAACTTGCCCAAAGCTGCCAACATCCACGCAGCTCGGCATCTTGTCGACAGCATGGCTCGCAGCATGCGGTGCCAGCAGCAGCGTGCACTGCGTCCGCGACAAGCTAGCAGCTTGATCCGTGGAAGCAGCGATTGTGGGAGCCCAAATCTGGGAATGCATCCACTTGACCCATTTTGGGGTGCGGCAACTTCAACTATCAGGGCCCAATTCTGGCAAGTGCGGCAACTCAGATATCACCGTGACGCCCGGATCATTTGCGCCGCGAACCGGAAAGCGAACGCGCTGCAGTTGGTCAATACGGCGAGATGGCCAGTGGGGTGGCTGATAATACACTCGCCTCGTCGCCAAGGACATACAGTTATTGTCAATGACGACACACAATGCACTTGATGTGGTTGCACCGCACATTCAGCGTGTGTTCCGACGGGAAGGGCACGTTGAGTGAAAAATCATTTTGACTTCGTGCGCGAGTTCTGAGAACAGAGCACTACATCGTTTGTGTGGTACTACCGCAAGCGTGTGCATCAAATCCGACAATGTTTTGCTTGGAGCGCTTTCGCATCGAGGAAACTCGTGTACGTGTAGTGTACAACTTGCTAAGCTGCAGCAGTGCGCGGCATCGGGTATAGTTAGCCGTCTAAACCGCAACAAATTCAAATTCAAAGTGTACAACTTGCTTTTACGATCGTTATACTCGATACCTAGATCTCAATTGTGTCTAATCTCGTTGTGGTTTGATATATTCCGTGCAACTTGCATTTTGCACGGTGCAAGATAGAATGCAAAAGCCTCTGGCATCTGGATAACTGCAGAACGACATCGGATCAGCTCTCGGTGGAAGTAACTTCAATCCGAACTTCGCCGTTGTCAATCGTTGCTCCTACGCATGCGATTCAAAACTACCTCTGGCGGTGATTTCCAGATCAAGAAAGCACTTGGACGTCTAAAAAACCTGTCAAGGTGTTTCCGTCAAAAATGGGTCCCTTCGCGAAAACATGGGTCCCTGCGCCCGCCTCTGTTCGGCCGCCAGGCGTGAGTAATGAAGAGCGAGCCCTTCCCCGATCGGTTTGGACAGGTCGCTTCCGCGCCGCGCGCGTCCACACCATTCTCAATTCATTCGGAGGTTCAGCGTGCCTCTCGTTCTCGCCGAGCCGGCCTGACCGAGATCTGCATCCATCCCCCGTCTACTCACTACCATCGCGCTTCAGTAGCCCCCCTTCCTGTCCCCATGAAGCTCGCGACCGTGCTCGCCTCAGCGCTCGTCGCTGTGTGCGTGGCCTCGTCCGCGGCGCAGGTCTACGACGAGGAGGCCGGCGTCATGCCGGTCGTCGGCCAGGAGCTCAAGATGACGCCGGCGCTGCGGAGAAACCTGCAGAGCGGCAGCACCAGCACCGACGCGCCCGCGGCCACTACGGCGACGCCGACCACGACGCCGACGCCCACTACGGCCACCCCCACGCCCACTACGACGACAGCCACGCCTACGACGACTGCGCCCTCAACGACGACGCCTACGCCCACTAGTACTACGGCCACGCCAACGTCGACTACGGCCACGCCCACGGCCACTACAGCCACGCCCGAGGCGACGACGGAGACGCCGACGTCCACCACTGCCACGCCCGAAGCGACGACTGCCACGCCGACGTCGACGACTGCGACCCCCACTGCGACGTCTGCGGCGTCTTCCACGTCGGCGGACACGACGGCCGCTTCCTCGTCCACGTCGGCCGTGACGTCCACGCCGTCAGCTACTGACATTGCCAAGATTTCGTCCAGCTCCGGCTCGTCATCTAGTGCCAGCGCCGACACGTCGTCCGGCTCGAGCATGAGCACGGGCGCCGTGATCGGCATCGTCGTGGGCATCGTGGCTGCCGTGGCCATCGTCGCCGCCATCATCATGTGCGCCATCCGCAAGCGCCGCGAGGCGGACGACGACCCGCTGTCCCCCTTCGAGCTGTCCATGGACAAGGGCTACAACCCCACGCCGGGCGGTTTCGCGGCCCAGAACTCGTACAACCCGCGCGTGCTGAGCCATGGATCTGGAGTGGCCGGCGTCCAGGACACGCGGACCCCACCGGCCGACACCGTGGCGGCTGGAGTGGCCTACTCGCAGTTCTACGACAATGCCGCCACGTCGCCGGGCTCGATGAACCGACTGGAGAGCAACGTGGACTCGGTGCAGACGGACCCGGGCAACAACGGCCCCGCAAACGGCACCAATCTGTGGCTGAGCGCAATGGAGCCCAAGGACAACGAGTCCTACCTGAGCGCGCAGGAGTCTCCGCGCTCGTCGCGCAACAGCAGCCGCAACAGCTACGACAACTCGTTCAACCAGAACATGGACGTGGACCAGAGCAGCCAGATCAGCGGAAACAGCAACAAGGAGAGCGACGACTTCCCGGACCACCACGAGGACAACGACTCGGCGCGGGGCTCGTACGAGCTCTAACGAAGCCCATCAAAACTTTTGAACGTGACTGAGTAAGCGATGCTACAGCGAGCGGCGACACACCGGGACCAAGGCGAGCGCAGTCTTCTTCCGTGCCGCCGACCTGTAGAGTCTGGAAGTGGTTGCAATGCGTACATGGTTGGCTGGTTGGTCGGTTTGGGCTGCTGCTGGTCTGTTCCAGAAGGGAATGGAGCATTTCGGCTCGGCACAGCAGAGTGAATCAGGCAGGACGGACGTTGAGTTTTTGAAGACCAGATCCGATGTAGAAAGAACTGACGAAGGTGGCAGCGGCGAGAGAAGAGAAGAAGAAGAAGAACGAGATGAAGATGCCGCCAACGGATCCAATATTCTGTCGTCCGCAATGAGACGGTAGTAAGCAAGAAAGCACGGAAGGTTTCTCTAATTTATACAAAAATGAACTGCGTTAGGCAAGTGCTGCACTTACCGACCTCCCTCCAGCTCTCTGTGCTGTCCGTTTGCAATTCCAGCAGCTCCTCCCAGTGCCAAACATGTTGATGTCCAGGAGATGGCTTGTTCACGTACACATCGAAGCCGTAGTTGGCGTCGGGAATACGATCTCGAAACGCTGGCCGTGTCTTCTTCTTCATCGCCGTCGCGGAGCGGCAATATGTGCAGGCACAAACATGGGGGTAATTCGCTCACATAGGACAACTACGTATTCGATACTTCGCAATACATACTACACGCGTTCGGCGTCAAAACTTGCATGTTACGCTGAGCTCAACAATTGATACTAACATGTACCACCGGTAGTATCCATTTCCTCTCGCATACTCCACCTCTCCCATGAACGTAGAGCTTGACGTGACAACACGATGCTGTTTTTACCCTACACGCGTTCCATCAACCAGGTGGATCATACTCGACACCTACGGCTTTGATATCCACCAGACAGGGTTCAAACGGCAAAACTGTACTTGGAGAGCTGGATCGTGTCACTCGTTCTGGTGGACCAGCGACCGCCAAAATGTTTTCTCTGAAGTCTGTATCATCCGTCGGGAAGTTAAACCTCGTCAGATTACACTCTGGAACAACGAAGCACATCTCAATTATTTTAAACGGCATCAGCTTCTTCTCCGCTGCGAGCTTGTTCAGTACTTCCACAAAGGCATAGCAATGCAGGTTCGAAGGTGTTTGAGCCCGAGTCACTTGGACAAGCAGGACAAGCTTGCTCTTGTCGACGAAAACGGCGTCGTAGCCCGCCTCCATTCCACTTCAGTGGTGCCAGCCACGTTTGGTCTTGGTATTGTGCAGGATTGAAATAATTGACTGTGGACAATTCCCATTGCTCAGGCTCCGCGTCTGGCAACTGCCACCTCACACCATTGTGGGTCAACTCAGAAAACAACCAAGCTTTAAACATGTGAAACAATTGGCGGGAACCCGGGTACCCATCGGGGCCCCGGTTCCCCCAAAACTACCGGTACACATGTATGAGCAAATGCATTGAAGTGTTGGTCTATGACCTACATAGAACGCAGCTGAAGCTCAGTAGGGGAACGGAAGGTTAATTTACCTTCGCCCTCGTCCTGTGTCTCTCCACGAAAATCCAGTCGCTTGCCTGGTGTAGCGGTACAGTGCTTCCCGGTCTCATCGCTATCCTCCTGCTCATGAAAGATAAACTTGGACATGGTAAGGTATGATATTTGGGTCTATTCAGTACCTGTGGCATATTTTGAGGGTAGTCCTTCATCGACAGCACTTAGATATGAGGGTTTAACTTGCCCCGAGGGTACCAATATGGAGGCCAAAAATTAAATAAATAATTCGCGATTTGGTCGGTATCATTTGCAGGAACCCGGGTTCCCGCCAATTGTTTCATGTAGCCATCCACAGAAGGAACTACCCCATTGAGCTTGGCGAACGACTTCAATAGGTTCAGGCCCAATCGAACAGCAAGCGCACCCGTAGCGTATCTGCTCACTAGCTATGATTCCTCGTGTCCTGCTCTGCTGTACACAGCCACCAAACGATCGACTGTACCAGTTGCTGCATTACCACTCAGAATCTTCGAACACATCACGATATCTGCCACTGCACTGATTGCATCTTGTAGATACCGCGTAGCATCGGGTAGATCAAAAGCATCGGGTAGTTCAAAGTCAAACACCACCCTCACGTTTCCTCCGGCCACAAAAATTCTTTTCTCGTACTCTTCTCTTTCGCTGGTCGATTTCCGGTTCCGACTTCTTGGGATCTTCAAGGTATGGTGGCAGCGCACTCTCAATACTTTTGAAAAAAGTGTCATGGGAGACTGCCTCCTCATAGTCTTCCAGCGTCCAGGAATACAGCTTAAACAGCGAGTGGTTCCACATCGGTCGCGCTTCTTGGTTCGTAAGTCTTTGCTCTGATGCATCCATAGGGTCGGCCTGGTCTGCGTTAGCCAGAAGTTTTAGAAATACCGCCGGGATTTTATGGCAATCTGACAGTCGGTAGTTCTTACCGAATTTTGCCATTGAGGTAACACTTACCAGCCGACGCCGGGCTTTGTCGTTATTCTGCCACTCGACGCATATTTCTTGAGCGCGATCCATCCAATCCTTGCTGTTGGAGACATACCCGTCCAAGAAAACTATAGTTCCTCCGATTTCTTCTTCAAAGTTGGTTTGTTGACGGCTGGTCTGGTTTCTCTAGCGATAGAGGCCGCGTCAAGCACTTGTGGCAGATACGAGTCCGTCATCCGATGGCCAAAGCGACAGGTTCGCTTAGTCCCTTTTTCTTCTGTACCTTGCAACCAGTTAAGCCACCGATCTCTACGCCCGGAACTGTGAATCCAAAGTACATCCCACTCCGATCGATCGAGCGAGCAAGCATAAGCGAGCGCTGCACATGATTTCCCTGTGCCCGGTGGACCATGGATCCATAAGTGAGAGTAGGTCCGGATGCAGCACCTCTCGATTTCGTTCCACTCATTCACCAGTTCTTGCCGACGATATAGAACCAATTGTTTCTTGTCTTCACCGATGCCAGTACCACCGAAACATTCCGGTGGCATTACAATCAGTTTCTCAGTGTCTAACTTCACCAGGGTCTTTGATACCACAATTTTTGGGGACGAGGTCCCCCCCTTATTGATGCACTCACTTTTACTTATTTTATTTTAATGGCTTTTTCAAGAGACCTTCACATCAGTTTCCACAGACGCCCCAAAGTATCTGCGTGCACTAAGTACGAGTATTAAATTTTCGTACTTAATCGCTCAAAAGCTGCAAAGTGACGGAATGGAGCGAGCGTGGTGGTTCTTGGTGGTGGATCGGAATGGATCGCAGCTCGTCTCGGTAGCCTGCCTCGATTTGCGATCTGGTGCCAGAGTGGTTGATTTTCTGAGGGCACTGGGGGGAATGCTGCTGTACAGGAACGCGAACCTCGTTGAGGTCAGCGTTTTCTTTCTCAAGGTGTACAAGGACCGAGGGGCTTATGATGATCCACAGGAAACGCCGCTTGGATTAGACGGCCCAATTGAAGAGCTTGGGGAAAGCATTGCAGATGCTCTTATTGTTGAAGTTCCACGAGTATGGTACGAGCTGCTTGATGCAGATACCTAGCTGATGAGAATACGGCCGCAATGAAAAGCTGGTCCTATTTCGTCGACAACAACTCGTGGATGAATGGAACAATATCATGAAATTCTCGATCAATCACTTTGCGGTGTTATGGATCTATGGCCCTCCCGGAACGGGCAAATCGTGCGCAGCGCTCGCTTACGCTTGCTCGCTTGATTCTTCCGAGTGGGACGTGCTATGGATTCACCACTCACGACCGGGTCAGTTCCTAAACTGCGTGTGGCTACAAGGTTCCACCCGGAAAGGAGGGACCAAGCGAACCTGTGTTATTGATTACGATGATGTCGAGTTGTATCTGCCCGAGTTGCTGAGATTGTCTACACCCAGAAACCCCACCAGCACAGCCATTGGAGGAACCAGCTCTATCTTTCCAAAAACCATCGTGTTTTTGGACGGATATGTCACGAGCTCGGACGTGATGGAGCGCGCTCTACGAAAATGTAACGCGTGGCAGCGACTCGACAGGTCGGCGTCGATTGGTATGCGTTACCTCAATGGCAAAAATCGGCAAGGATTACCGAAGGTCGGAGTGTGATGAACTTCCGGATCTGGAGGGAAAACGTGCATCTGGGGTGGAGCCGATGGATACATCTGAGGGGGATCTTGTGATTCACGATACTCAGTCGGTATACCAACAGTTATTCAAGCTGCACTCCTGGACGCTGGAGGACTACAAAATTGCGATCGCAGAGGAAGATTTTTTTCAAAGTGTTGAGAAGATGCTGCCACCATACACTGAAGACCCCAAAAAACCAGAATTGGACCAACGGTTCAAAAGAGTAGAAGATAAGTATTTTGTGGCCGGAGGAAGCGCGAGGGTGATGTTTGACTTTGATTCAGTCAACGCAGTGAAATATCTTGATGAGGCCATCGAAGCAGTGGAGAATGTCGAAGCATGTTCCAAGATGCTGGGCGGTAGTGCAGCATCCAATACGATCAATCGCTTAATTGCTATTTATCCCAGAGCACACCGCCCCGACGAGTCTCAGCTGGTGAGCAAATACGTTACGCGTGCGCTGGCTATGCGGCTGGGCCCGGATCTACTGAAATCTTTGGCGAAACTGAATGCAGTCAATCCGTCTGTGGATGGATACATCTTTGATGCGTGTTTTTTTTCGGAGCTGTCTTTCAATGGAGTATCGTGGTACATCTTAGGCGCGGCGGAACCTACACCATGGGCCCGATCTGACGTCATTTATTTTGATCCAGGACTTCCAATTGGTGACTATCTGAAAGATAGGCCGGAGACTTACCGAGAGCAGACGTGGATGGCGCCACTGAAGTGGAACCAGGCTGGCTATGACGCTGTTTTTGTCGATATTCCGGGCAAGCTAGTACGGTTTGTTCAAGTGACGCGGGCAGATCGCCACCCAAGCTTCCATCACTACTCCTTCGTTCAAGTGTTGAACAAGCTGGCAGATGTGGAGGGGTTGGATCCGTTTCAAGTGGTTGAGATGTCCTTCGGTATCCCAAAGTCCAAGCTGACAAAGTTTCGCATCCCGACGGATGATACCGACTTTAGGAAAAACATCTTGGAGGTTGCTGGTGCACCAGAACGAGCAACGCGCTCTTCAAGTACGGGTCTGCCGTTTAAAAAGTGTACGTCGAAAATCCAAGTCCTTGTTGTTGAGCACGATCTCACGGACAGACGCCCGGTGCCCGGAACACGTGTTGGGTAGAATCGCCTTCTTTTGAGGTGTTTCCGCTATTCATAGCTCTAGCTGAGTTCATGCGTGAGAGGAAGTCTCGTTGAGTTACGCTAAACAACGAATAAAGATTCACTTACCGACCTCCCTCTAGTTCTCCTCGTCGTCGCTACTGTCACTGTCGTCTCCTCCTGTCGCGCTTGACCTGCTCAATGAAGGCGTCGAAGCCGACGCCACCAGCGAGGTGGTCGACAAGATCCGTCGGTGCGCGATACCCGCCCAACGGATTGGCTCGGATGCCCTTCTTCGACTCGGCGACCCTGAAGTCGATCGCGTGGTCTTCGTCTTCTGCGTCTTGAGGGATCGCTGGACTGTCCGTCTTCAACTCCAGCAGATCCTCCCACAAGAAGATCAGCGTGTCCGTGACGGCGCCAAACACACTGAATCAGTGTCAGTGTCACTGATGCCCAACAGATGTCCACGTACACATCGAAGCTGTAGTCGGGGTCGGGGAACACGAACTCTCCGTCGTCTATCTTGAAGTTGGTCTTGTAGAACTCGTACAGCAGCTCGCTCAGCTCGTCCTGCTGATCCGGGAGGGACTCGTCACACAGTTGCGCTGTGACACCGCCACGAGTCGATGGCCGACCACGAAGCACCGGAACAGCATCGAGTCCAGGAAGTTGCACCACATCTTGAGCATCCACTTCACCGTCGTCTTCACCTTCGATGATCAGAGCGGCAAAGCATGCAGGCACGAATATGTTTAAAAACCTAGTTCAAATAGGGTAACGACTGTCGCGGACGGCGCACATGATGAACCTCTTCTCTTATTATTTTAAAGATATTTTTAAATATTTGGGGACGAAGTCCCCTATAATCATGAGACTCCGTTTTATGGAGTTTTTACGTCTCTTATATACACTCCGCTTTACTTTTTACATTAATTCTGCGAATGGGTTAGGGTCACAATTTAGAATCGCTCACACGGGACCAAAAAATGAAAAAATACCTCGGTTAAACAACATTTGGATGCTTATCGGAAGGTGGTATCGGCACGGATTTCTCTGAGCTGAACCGACGTCACTATCTTTAGATGCCATAAAACCAGAGGGTCGAAGTTATGAAACAGCAAATTCGACCGTTAGTATGGAGGACATCAGAAATAGACTTAAACGTGACATTTTACCCTTATTTGGACCCGATTAGGACCCTTAATAAGCCTATTTGCCTTTCAAACCTTATGCTGTCGTAAGAAGGGTCGCTCTGCGGCCGTTGGTAAGAAGTCTGCGGCCCTTCGGGATCGCTTGACCAGCGCACAACAGAGAGTCCAAGCATCAACAAGCAGAGCCTCAAGGAAGCGCCAACGCTACGCCAAGTAGCAAGCAGCTTTGCATGCTGAGGACCGGGTACTGTCGAGCAGCAACTTCTCTAAATTACATTGAAGGCTATGCGCGGATGACGAGCTGGACGATGAGCTGGGGTGTACGAGCCGGAGTCCGTGTCGGTGCTTCTTGGTAGCAACAATGGCTCTCTTTTGGCCCGTTCGAGCTCGCCTGCTACTTCGCTTTAAAGAAATCAGACAGCTCCAAGTCCTTCCTGCACGCTAAAGGCGCCGATTATTTGCTCCTTTCTAGTCTGCGTTAATTCACTCATTCATTGCGTTGCTCATGAAAAGATGTTCGACTAAGCAAATGCGTTAGCCCACTCAATTACAGTTCTGTTGGGTCGATCTCGGGCGTCACAGCTCTGCTTTGATACCCTACATGCATGTGTGATGGTACGATATCGGGCTCAACTACATTATTTTGAGCTAGTTATCGTTCATTATATATGTTTCCTTATTGCGCTCAACGTGCATGAGGTTATCTACCTACGCGTGCAGACTAAGTAAAATACAAGTGTTCTGGCATTCGAACCACAGGTCAGGTGTATCAGTCTACCGTTAATAACAACGTATGAATGGTTCTTATGTTGTTTGCAAAATAGCCAGCAAATCGGGGAGCGTGAAAGGGGAAATAAAGCGCTAGAATTTGCAAGCGGCTTTGTGCTCAAATTCCTCAAGTAGGGACCGTCCAAAACTCTGTTGTCAGCATAGTTTTGGGGGTCGAGATGCTCCGCTAGTTAAATAAAAAGTTATCTTCCGCTAAATACGAGTATTCGTACTTAACACAGACGTTTTCTGTGGATACACTTTAGAAATTGCGGCGGAAGAGGTGAAGAAGATATGGTGGTGGTGCGGTTCAAGTTAGTGGATCGAAGCGGCGAGCAGCTTGGCCCAACAGGCTGGCTCGACTTACAAGCAGGTGCCTTAGTGGCCACTTTTCTTAGCGTGCTAGGGAGCCCGTCGATGTACAACGACGCGAACCTCAATGGGGTCAGCATATATTGTCTCAAGGTGTACGGGGACCAGAAGGCGTATGAGGATCCACAACAGGGGCCACTTCAAGTAGAAGACGCGATTGGAGATCTTGGCTGCAATCTGCCAATGCCCTCATTGTGGAAGTTCCACGAGTCTGGTATAAGTTGATGATGACTGGCGGTACAGTTCCAGACACCGATGTCGATTGGGTTCCCCTCGCTGACGAGAACAATGCTCAAGATCTAAGGAAGGCCGTCTTTGCCATATTACCTCGGGCTCTCCGTGATAATCTGGAAGCCGAGAGCCTTCGCGTCTTCGCGAACGATGCCGTGTATCAACAACGAAACGCAACTCCTCTTGGTTCGCGCGACAGTTTGTCTGGCCTGGGAAACAGTGCAGCCAATGCCCTCATTGTGGAAGTTCCACGAGTATGGTATAAGTTGGTGGACGCAGATACTGGCGACACATTTCCACAAACAGACGTGAATTGGGTTCTCCTAGCTGATGAGAACAATCCTCGAGGTCTAAGGAATGCCGTGTTCGCCAAAGTGGGCTCCGTTCTTCCTGAAAATGTCATTGCCGACAACCTTCGAGTCTACGGGACTGAGACCGTGTCCAACCAAGAGAAGCGAACTCTTCTCGGCTCGCGGGACAGTTTGGCTGGTTTTGGAAGACATGCTGTCAACCCCGTCATCGTGGAAGTCCCGCGCCCAAAGAAACGGGTGAAACTAACAAATTCGTCACCACCTACTGTCGACTGGTCTACAGCTGAGTCTCGCTTTCACCTGTCGATTCCTGACACCGAGGAGCTGATTGTAATGCCACCGGAATGTTTCGGTGGTGCTGGCATCGGTGAAGACAAGAAAGCAATGGTTCTGTATCGCCGGCAAGAACTGGTGAATGAGTGGAACGAAATCGAGAGGTGCTGCATCCGGACCTACTCTCACTTATGGATCCATGGTCCACCGGGCACAGGGAAATCATGTGCAGCGCTCGCTTATGCTTGCTCGCTCGATCCATCGGAGTGGGATGTACTTTGGATTCACAGTTCCCGAAAATTTGGCGGCTCGACTGCGTGTGGTTGCAAGGTACGGAAGAAAAAGGGATTAAGCGAACCTGTCGCTTGGCTATCGGATGATGGAGTCGTATCTGCCACAAATGCTAGACGCGGCGTCTATCGCTAGAGGAAGCAGACCTGCCGTCGACAAAACCAACTTTGAAGAAGAAATCGGAGGAACTATCGTTTTTTTGGACGGGTATGTCTCCAACGATGATGTGATGGATCGCGCTCTAGAAATATGCATCGAGTGGCAGGACAACGACAAAGCCCGGCGTCGGCTGGTAAGTGTTACCTCCATGGCAAAAGTTGGCAAGGGCTACCAACTGCCTGATTGCCGTAAAATCCCGGTGGTATTTCCAGAACGTCAGGCTAGCACAGACCAGTTAGAGCCTATGGATACATCAGAGCAGAGACTTACGGACCCAGATGCGCGACCGATGTGGAGCCACTCACTGTTTAAGCTGTATTCCTGGACGCTGGAAGACTATGAAAAGGCAGTCTCCCATGACACTTTTTTCGAAAGTATTGAGAGTGCGCTGCCACCATACCTTGAAGATCCCAAGATGCCTGAACGAAAAATCGACCAGCGAAAAAGAAGAGTACAAGAAAAGTATTTCGTGGCCGGAGAAGTGCGAGGGTGATGTTTGACTATGAACTACTCGATGCTACGCGGTATCTACAAGTAGCAATCAGTGCAGTGACAGATATCGAGATGTGCTCGAAGGTTCTGACTGGTAATGCAGCAACTGGTACAATCAATCGTTTGGTGGCTATGTACAGCAGAACAGGACGCGACGAATCTCAGCTAGTGAGCCGATACGTTATGGGTGCGCTTGCTATTCGATTGGGTCCTGATCTATTGAAGTCGTTCGCCAAGCTCAATGGGGTAGTTCCTTCTGTGGATGGCTACATGTTTAAAGCTTGGTTGTTTTCTGAGTTGACCCACAATGGTGTGAGGTGGCAGTTGCCAGACGCGGAGCCTGAGCAATGGGAATTGTCCACAGTCAATTATTTCAATCCTGCATGCCACCTAGGCCAACTGAACTACAAGGGGCAGTACCAAGACCAAACGTGGCTGGCACCACTGAAGTGGAATGAGGCGGGCTACGACGCCGTTTTCGTCGACAAGAGCAAGCTTGTCCTGCTTGTCCAAGTGACTCGGGCTCAAACACCTTCGAACCTGCATTGCTATGCCTTTGTGGAAGTACTGAACAAGCTCGCAGCGGAGAAGGAGCTGATGCCGTTTAGAAAAATTGAGATGTGCTTCGTTGTTCCAGAGTGTAATCTGACGAGGTTTAACTTCCCGACGGATGATACAGACTTCAGAGAAAACATTTGGCGGTCGCTGGCCCACCAGAACGAGTGACACGATCCAGCTCTCCAAGTACCGTTTTGCCGTTTGAACCCTGCCTGGTGGACGTCAAGGTTGTAAGCGTCGAGTATGATCCCACGCACAACCGCCCGGTTGGTGGAGCATGTGTTAGGTAGAAACAGCATCGTGTTGTAGGTGTTTCTGCAGGTCAAGCTCAACCGTCATGCAAAAAGTGGAGTAGTGCGAGAGGAAATGGATAGTACGGTGCTGCATATCGCTAGTATCGATTGGTGAGCTAGTTGAAAAATGCAACTTTTGACGCCGAATGCGTGTTCTACGTGCTTCAAAGTCTCAAATAACAATGAGCCAAGAAGAAAACGTATAGAAGAGGAAGAAGAAGATACGAAGAGAAGATGAAGAGGCCACCAACGGATCCAATATTTTGTCGTCCGGATCGAGACGGTAAGCAAGAAAGCACGGAAGGTTTCTATATTTTATACAAAAATGAACTGCCTTAGACAAGTGCTGCACTTACCGACCTCCCTCTAGTTCCCCTCGTCGCTACTGTCACTGTCTGTCGTCTCCACCGGCGGCGTTGTCGCGCTTGACTTGCTCGATAAAGGCGTCGAATCCGGCGCCGCCAGCAAGGTGGTCAACGAGATCCGTCGGCGCACGGTAACCGCTCAACGGATTGGCCCGGATGCCCTTCTTGGACTCGACGACCCGGAAGTCGATCATGTGGCCTTCGTCTTCTGCGTCCTGAGGCGTCGCCAAGCCGTCCTTCTGCAGTTCCAGCAGCTCCTCCCACGAGAAGAGTAGCGTGTCCGTGACAGCGCCGAACACGTTGATGTCAAGCAGATACACGCGCCGCCGCTTGTCCACGTACACGTCGAAGCTGTAGTTGGGGTCGGGGAACACGAACTCTCCCCCGTCGTCCTTCTTGAAGTTGGTCTTGTAGAACTCGTACAGCAGCTCGCACAGCTCGTCCTGCTGGTCCGGGAGGAACTCGTAGAACTCGTCGCAGTTGCGCTGCGACACCGCCACGAGTCGATGGCCGACCACGAAGCACCGGAACAGCATCGAGTCCAGGAAGTTGCACCACTTCTTGAGCACCAAATAGCTCTCACTCGGCGCGCTCTCGGCCTTCTCACCGCTGCAGCCAATGTATGGCTGCGTGAGGTCGTGCACCACGAAGTCCGAGGCCTGCAGCAGCAGGAACACGTCCTCGAAGCTCGTGCACTTGAGCGAGCCGAGCATCCACGCGGCGTCGCGGGGCGCGCTCCAGTTGGTCTTGGGGAAGAGCTTGCCGCTGAAGTCCTCCAGCACCCGCTCCACCTGCTCTCTAACTGTCGAGATGATGCTCAATTGCTCGTCCGTAAGAGCGCTGGCCGCGTCTTCTTCGTCGTCGTCTCCGTCTTCATCTTCGATCCCCGACGCCACTGGAGCGGACGGCAGCGTCACGCCGTCCGAGAGCAGCAGAGACACGAACGCGGCCGGCAGCGGCACCACCTCGCCCTTGATGGACACGCGCTTCAGCTGCGGGTACCAGGCGGCGAACGCGCAGTTGTCCACCTGCGCCGCCGTGTACGTCGGACCTCCATCGCCAGTCGTCATTATTGACAGTGAATCATGTTCATGGTGTGCGCCACACCATATTTTTATGTGCGCGATTGACTCTTGGCTCTCATACATCAGAGACCGCGCCTCCCGCCCTGCGTCCTGCAGCCCCAGATTGCAATTGCCATGCTCCGCCGCGGCCTCTCCTCGCTGTCCGCCAAGCCGTCCTGGGTGCGCCCGGGCTCGCACGACTACCTGCGCGAGGTGCTCGAGAGCCGCGTGTACGATGTGGCCGCCCAGACGCCGCTGCAGCTCGCGCCGGGACTCTCCAAGTGGCTGCCGGGCAACTGCCGCCTCTTCCTCAAGCGCGAGGTGCGCTACTGTCTGCATTGCATTAGACTCGGCTCGGCTCCCTATGCATGTACTGACCTTTTTGTTGCGCTTTGGCGATGAATGCAGGACATGCAACCGACCTTCTCGTTCAACCTGCGTGGAGCGTACAACAAGATCGCCAACCTGACGCAGGCCCAGCGCGAGAAGGGTATCGTTGCTTGTGCGGCTGGCAACCACTTGGAGGGCGTCGCCTACGCTGCCGCCAAGCTGGACGTGGACGCCATTGTTATCGCCCCCGTCGGCACGGCGCAGAACATTTCCCACTCGACCAAGAGCAAGATCACGATCGTGGAGCACGGCGCGGACTTTGAGGCGTCGCTGGTGCGATGTCAAGGCGTTAGAGATGTTATACAGCATCGGTGCAAGTTCTTACGGTGTGTGACTGATGTGTATCATTGCAGAAAGAAGCTTTCCGGGTCGCGCAGACTGAGGGCCGATCGCTCGTGCACCCGTTCGACGACCCGCATGTGATCGCTGGCAATGGCACGATCGCTATGGAAATCCTGAAGGAGGTAAGGATAAAAAGATCTTGGTTCAGAATGTGGCGCTCAGTTTATTGGATTGTGTTTTGCGTAGACGGCTGGAGATCGCCCGGCGGCGATTTTCGCGCCTGTGGGTGGCGGTGGCTTGATCGCTGGTCTTGCCGCTTATGTGAAGGAGGTGGCTCCTGACGTTAAAATTATTGGTGTGGAGGCCGAAGGCGCCAACCTGCTGGGTGAGTCCCTTAAGAAAGGTTCGCCCGTGACCATCCCGAGTGTGAACCGATTTACGGAGGAGGTGGGCATTCAGACGATCGGCACTGAGAACTTCCGGCTATGCAAGGATTTGGTGGACGAGGTGGTTACTGTGTCGACCGACGAGATCTGCTCTGCCATCAAGGACGTGTTTGGCGACACGCGCTCGCTCATGGAGCCCACCGGTACGTATGCACTACTGTACTGCAAATTGTTTCGATACGTTGCTGATCCGTTTTGGGTAAATTATTGCCGAGCAGGTGCCATCAGTGTGGCTGGTGTCAAGAAGTACGCTCGTGTGAAGAACGCGCAGGATGAGAAGTACGTGGCTGTGCTGGCTGCCGCCAACATGGACTTTGACCGGTTGCGCTTCGTCTCGGAGCGTTCGGACGACCGCGAGCGCTTCATGGCCGTGAAGATCCCCGAGAAGATCGGCAGCTTCCAGGAGCTCTACGACGTCATCTGTACGTTGAGACGAATGCGAGCACGGAATTATTTCTCGAATTAAGCTGACTTGATGTGTTCCACCGCACAGTCCCCCACAACGTGACGGAGTTCACTTACCGCATGGACTCCGAGGCCGACAACGAGGCGCGCATCTGCATGAGCATCCAGACCAAGACAGAGGACGAGTTCCTCGGCGTCGTCAACGCCATCAACAACCGCGGCAACATGCACGCGATCGATCTGGCATCCAACGAGCTGGCCAAGTCGCACCTTCGCCACCTCACCGGCGGACGCCCCGAGCACGTACGTCACCGAGCTCTTCAATGCAGCTGCATCAGGATATCCCGCGTACTTACACACCAACATTTGTCTGAGTTTAGGTCACGAACGAGCGTCTGTTCCGCTTGGAGTTCCCGGAGCGTCCTGGTGCACTCAAGGACTTCCTCGGCACGCTCAGGTACGGAAACGAGTCTGCTATTGATTGATTGAGTAGAGGGGCAAAGTTCTAACCGTTGACTTGGTCTTACTTCAGTCAATCTGCTCGTCAGTGGAACGTGAGTCTGTTCCACTACCGCAACCACGGCGCGGACATCGGCCGCGTGCTGGTAGGCTTCCAGGTGCCGCACAAGGACAATGCCGCGTTCGACGCGTTCCTGGCGCAGGTGGGCTTCCGCTGCGAGGAGGAGACGGGCAACCAGGCATACAAGCACTTCCTGCAGTAGACGTACTTTAAGGCACTTCAAGAACGTATCTTTTCTCTCCATTGGTTGAAAAGCGTCTGTAGCTGGCCAATCAGCGTCGCCCTTTCTGTAAGATTTCCTCCCCCACACCCAGCAGAAACCAGAAGGAAAACGGCGAGCAGGGACGGAAGACCGCACTCGCACTCGCACTCGCACTCCGCCCGCTCGACTCCCTCGGCTCGTTCGGCTCTCCACGCGCCCCGACAGGCGAGACAGCAGGCGCAGCGAGTGGCCCGAGCTCCCGCGCGTGCAACGAGCCCTCGGCCGCGCCCCTAGACGCGCTAGAGCCCGAGAACCAAGCGCGAGAAGACAAGACAAGATGCAGGCGGCCGGCGCCGGCGCCCACGCGCCGCGCGCGCCGCCCAGCGACAAGGAGAAGAAGCTGATGGAGGTGCTGCTGCAGGCGGCGGACGCGCGCGTGGCGCCGCTGCTGGCGTGCGTCAAGGGCTGGCCGCTGGAGGCGCAGGCGGACCTGACCAACTGGCGCGCCGTGCTGTTGAAGCTGCACCGCCTGCTAGTGGCGGCGCTGCAGCAGTGTCCGTACCTGCTATTGGTCGAGGCGGAGCTGGAGAAGGCGCAGGAGCCAATCGCCGTGCAGACGGAGCAGGAGCTGACCGAGCTGGTGTTCGAGATCTTGAAGTTCTCGGCCTTCCTGCTGGAGAACGCCGCCAACAAGGCCGTGTACCCATCTGCGGAGCCCGTGATGGCGCTGCTGGCCGCGCGTAACGAGCGCGTCGTGGCTGAGGCCACCAAGGTCGTTGCCATGCTGGCGCTGCCCCCGCAGGTGCACCGCTACGCTGCAGACCCCACGAGCTTCGTGGACCCTGCGGCTGGCCGCAACAATTTGCTCAGACGACGACTGCTAACTGTGGCGCAAGGACGCGGGGCGCCCAAGAACAGCTTGGAGGTGGTGGATTATTTGAATGCGACGAACGCAGACACGGCGAGCAATGTGGAGTTTCAGTTTTACAGCTCGGAGCAGGACGGAGGCGACGATACCGCGGCCAGAGTGGTGAGTGTGGCCATTCCGCCCTACGAGGAGATCGTGGGAGCCAGCACGTCGCCTGCTGAAGCGGCGTGCGCGGCAGCGACCGCCTGTGAGCGTTTGATTGAGCAGTACAAAATCCCCAAGAGATTGCATTTCCAGCTATTCACGCAGGTGCGCGCGTGTTATGCTGCGCGCAGTGCGTTGGCGCGCGAGAACTTGGTGGTGGAACGCCTGTACGCGCTGCTGGCGCTGTTTTCGCTGTTTAGCGATGCGTGGGACGTGACGAATTACGTGGAGCAGCACCCGGAACTTACGCGAGGAATTGTGGAGCTAATTCGCGTTGAGAGCATTGAGCGCGTGCCCGTGCGCGTTCGAGTTACTGCGCTGCTTGTGCTCACGGCGTTAGTGAATGACCGAGTTGGACGAGCGGGGGGCATGGGCGTTCTTGGTCGTCAGTCAAATGTGCTGCAGGCTCTGGGCGTCGTCAAGGGGACACCGCACGGTGTGTTCCCGTCCCTTGTGCGGTTTTGCATGGCTGAACTCGGCGACGTGTCCACTCTTAGCTCTACAGCTGCGACGTCAGGGTCTCCGTCGCCTACCGCGCTCGCGTCCGAAGCGGCGGATACAGATATGGACATGAGCTTGGCGGTCGCTTTCGTGCAGGCTACAACGGACTTGTTATCCCCACAGGAGGCCCAGGTGGTTAGTGCACCTCCATTTCGAAGTGTAAGCAGCGGAAACGTCCTAGAGGCCAAGCTATGCTGGATGGAGGCTGTCTTGGGATTGCTGACCACGGTGGTAGCGATCCAATCCGGCGCTGCTGTCCTGACGGAAAACGGCATTGTGCCGGCTCTTCTGCATGTGCTGACGTTACCCTCTTTGAGCACTTTTCACATGGCCGTGACGACGCAGTGTGTGCAAGCACTGGAAATCACGGTGAGCAGTCATTCAGCCGCAGCTGCTCTCTACAGGGACTTGAACGGCGTCGGAATTCTTGTGGATCGGCTCAAGCTCGAATGCGCCAGTATTGTAAACAGAAGTCCGACGACCTCAGTGGTTTCCGAAACGAAGACGGTGCTGCTTCTGGCCATCTTAGCGTCATTATCGATGTCGTTCCATTCGCAAGGCGTCATGAGCGCAGGAGCGACAAGCCGCGCCATTCGCGAGGGCAGCGCACTCAACAAGGTGCTACTACAGCTTCTGTCCAACGTGGACGTGTTTGGGCCCGTCGTATTCGCCCAGACGGCTGTTGTGGTTTCGGACGTCATCAACAATGACCCGAGCAGTGTGAATCACGTGCATGCTGCGGGTTTGGCGGACGCGTTCTTGAAAACACTTACGCGATGGGATATCGCCGAGTTGTACCCGTCGCGGATACTGTTGCCGCCATCCAGCGAGCTGCTGACAGCGGTCCCCACTGTACTGAATGCGCTTTGTCTTACTACTACGCATGCGGAGAAGGTGGCGAAGTACGAGCCGCTTATGCACCTGCTAGACGTATTCGCGCTCCCTCAATACACAGAAGATGAAGCCAAAGATTACTGCTTCCAAGGTGATACGGCTGCGGCCGTTGGTGCAGGTATTTTCGAGTTGATGCGGCATGTGCCAAGCTTCCAAAATGCAGCTATTCAAGCTGCAGTGCATGCTCTGAAGAAGGTGATTCGGTTTGGCGAAGAATCGAAACAGACAACAACATCGTCAGCGGAGAATATTGCTGGAGACAAGGATCGTGGTATTTTGATTCGGATGACGACGCATGTGGCGGATCTGCTGGAACCATTGCTCTCCAAGTCCGAGCACGCTGCATATTTTGCGGACCTTGGAGGCATTCGTCTGCTGTTGACACTGTATCAATTAATTCTCCCGAGCACGTCCTCATTCCTGGATGGCGCCCTACCAAGCAACAAGGCCACAAAGACGGGGTCGCCACAAAGTTCATTTGCCCATAACCCCGCTGTGCAGTCGATTACTCTTGCGCTGCGTTCGTATGCGTCACAGCAGCCGACGAATCTTCTGGCCGCTATCGTGAAAGAACTGAGCTTGCAAATGGACAGCCTCCAGCGTGCCCGTGCCAAGGTTGGATTGCCGTGGTATTTGAGTGAAAGCGGTGAAGGTGCTGAAGGCGTGTTAAGTTCGCTTCCTGACATTGATTTGGCAAAGATGATTACCGAACAAGACAAGAGCAGTGTCGCCAATACGTCTGCTGATAAAGTCATGGTTGCCGGCGAATATCTTCGGGTGCTTGCTGTGTTGGAATGGCTCGCTTCGGTGCTTATCTGGACGTTGGAGACAGCGCATACGCACATGCAGAGTCGGAGGTGGTTCACGGACTTTACAGCTCCCTCGACGCAGCACGTCATTGCGCGATTATTCCGTGTTGACCGCTCAGTGCAGTTCGAACGAGCGAGTTTGGCATCACTTCATCAGAAGAAGCGCAAAGAAAAGTGTGAAAAGTCTAAGAGTGCAGTCGATGAAGCAGACGCCAGCATGGAGGTGACTTCTGGTACTGAAGAAGGCAAAACTGGCTCTTCTGAAGCTGAGCCTAGAAAGAGCCCTCGTGGAACTGGTCTGTGGAAGATGGGTTCATTGCTGCTTCTGCGCTTTTCGTTAAGCATGCGCGGGCTTTTAACAGCATACAGCAAGGTTTTTCTATCGGCTCCTATGCAGCACCGGCGAGGCGACGATATCGTGGTCCCCCTTGCACCACACGCGCGGAAACTTGCGCTGACAGTCACGCAAATTCTGGGAGGCCACTTGCTGTATGTTGTCTCGGTGAATCGAGCTACACAGATCGACACGTTCGTACAGCAGTACTACCTCACGTTCCTGTTGGAGACAATTTCCGTCGTGCTTTTCGAAGGAAAGAAAAAGCAGGCCAACACATTATTGCTCGTTGAGCTCATGAAACCACTGTGCGATGTTTCCGGGATGGAAACTTCGACTGAACGACCTCAGCCTCCGCAAGTTCCTTCTACATCGGTTGAAGATGTGCCCATGATTCAAGACAGTGCCCTCGAAGGTGAAGGTGATGCTGCTAAGGCGGGTAAAGCGATTACAACGTGTGCCGGCGCACAAATCACGGCCTCGAACCTGATGGACGTGATCATGAATATCATCGAGCGCTTCTTTGCAGTGTGTCTCGAAGGAGAGCGAGACAAACACTCTAATGGCGAGGTTGGCGATGGAGCGAAGCCCTCCCAAATGGCGCTGACGTCGTTTCACATCGCAGCGAGCGTACTGCGTAAGTTGTCCAACTTGGAAGGTTTATCTGCATCCCCGCTAACTGCGGCATTACTGACAAGTGATGAAGCTGGAGAATCGGATGAGGCACCGTTTGAGCCCCGAAAGCTAACCGCGCAATTGCATGGGATGTGTGTTCGTGCATTGCTGTCCATTTGGAAACACCCCAAATTCGCATCTTCGCCTGTGGAATCGTGTCTGGCTGAGGTAATGCCAATTGCAGTTACCATCTTGAAAAGCCGCATGGACAATGATGACGAGGCGGCAGGGTCGGATACTGAAGGTGAGTTGAGTGGCACCGGTCGTCGAGGATTGGGATTTAGCCGCGGAAATCGTGAAAGAAATTCCAGCACCGAGCTCTACAACGAGGCGCTGTCGCTTCGACGAGCTCTCTTTGGTGGTGCACGTGGTGCAGGTTCGGCTGGAAGTAGTCAGCGTCAATCTTTCGTACCCGATACTGAGATTGTAGACAGCCTCGTATCGATGGGCTTTCAGCAGTCACGGGTGGAGCGTGCTCTTCGACAGATTCAAGTGAACAACGTGGAACTGGCCATGGAGTGGATACTGGGACACCCTGAGGACGAGGGTGAAGATGAACAGCATGATGAGACAAACGATGAGGACATTGCCGCTGGTGACGCAGCTCTTCGTCGAGAGAAAGAAGCTGCTGACGAAAAGAAGCTCGAAGCAGACTTGCAAGCGCTTTACATTTCATTGCGCGACAGTTTCGAGTCGGTATGCTTCCAAATCTTACGCGTGCAAGCTGGCAAGGAGAGACAAGAGGTTGAGAAACGACAGACTGACGCAACTCAAGTCGAAGCTCCGAGCAACTTTTATCCGAGTCAAAACTTGGTAAAGGCGATCGCGGAGTACTTCAGCTTTCTATGCTCACGCTCAGACGAAGATCGCGACTTGGTGATTCAGCGCCTGAATGCTGCTGTGTTGGATTATTTCAACGGAGACGAAGAAGGTGGGGATGAGTTTTTAACGATGATGGCGCATTTGCTGGCGCTTGTTCTTCAGTTGAACTCTGATGCATGGGCTGTAATGCAGCTTCAGTCGCCGTCCTGCATCGATAAACTCGTGGCGTTTGTGTCAAGCACTGGAACAAACGACGATGGTATTCTGAAGCCCTCGTGTACTCCAATTCTCTTGGTTCTCGACGCAGTCGTAGCAGGAAAAGCGTCGAAGCGCTTGTCTTCGCCTTCTTCTTCGACTGTTGGTGACGCTCTCGGGAGTAGTGAGAGTATGAACGACAAGCCAAAAGAAGGAAGCCAAAATGATGATATCAAGCGAGCGGAGGACAGTGCGTTTGAGGAGCAACTTGTCAGCATCTGCTTACAATTACTCAAGCAAGCGTCATCGACAGTGCCATCGGCGTCGTCTGTGTCGACTGACAACAAGACGCTAGCGCACGCAATTTGGCAGCTATTGTCACGTTTGACCCTTAAGTATGAACTGGCGTCGTATTTTTCGGCGCATGGCGGTCTCGATGCTGTACTGGATGTTCCGGAAAGTATTTTCTTCGCCGGATACCAAGAGCTTACCAGCACATTGCTCTCCCAGGCGCTCGAGTCGCCGGAGGTTCTAGAGCATATGATGGAAGACAAAATTCGGCGTGCGATTACCAAACTGTCGACTCGATTCGGTGCACCAAGCCAGATGCGCATCACACCGCGGGCGTTGCTCACGGAGGTGGCGCCTTTCGCAGCGCGTAACGAAGCTGTATTCCTTCGAGCTCTGCAGAACTCAGTGCGGGTAAAGAAGACTGAATCGGGTCGAACTTACATTTTGCCGATACCGAAAAAGTCGGAGGGCACTGATGCATCACCATCGGGGCAGCCCGTCGATCAGCCCAATTCGGCTCAACAAAGCGGGGCCAGTGGTGCAAAGGCCCTGCAGAAGCTACCGAAAGATCACAAACACGATGCTCACGTGATCGTGCACAAGATTATTGGTCGCATTCGCAAATTGTGGGGAGTGGAAAAGAGTGTGAAGAAGCAGCATGAAGCGCGCCAGACGCCTGGAAATGAGAGCGGGCTGGTTCCTGCGGGCTTGTGTGTGGGAGTGTACCTGCAATTGCTGGTTCATCTGATCACCCATTTCCCAGCTTGTGCGACCGTTCTCGCGAAGGCGAAGGATGAAGCGGGTGCATATGGTGAGCGTGGGGGCTTTATTCGTTTGGTTCTGTGCGAGTTTTTACCTTCTCGGGAGCTTTGCCAGTTTGCTGCATCTCGCAAGGCCTTGAAGGAAGACGGATTCTATAAAAACAGCAGACTGGGTAGCGGTGATTCGGATCAACTACTCTCTGAGGTGAAGATATTCGTTGACAGTCGTACGCGCATGCGAGTCCACAACGCACACAGACTTCTCGTGAGCATTGGCAGCCATTCTGGAGAAGGCTCGAAGTGTATTATTTTGGAGCTTGTGCGCTTGCTGCAAGAGTGGCCTCAAAGCGACAGTCATGCGAGTAAAATCGATGATTTGACTGTGCGGGACGAGCATGCGCTGAGTTCGCTGCATGCTTGGTCTGGCCTGATCATGAGCATCCTGTGGCCGAAGGGTTCCTCGAAGGGATTTGCCTGGGATAAGGTGGTTTTGGGAGGTGGCCTGAAGGGCAAGCACTCGTTCGTGACATTGCTGGCTGAAGCTCTGCGTAAAATCGACCTGACGCATCCGCTGGCCCACGCAACATGCATGATGTTGCTTCGACCACTCTCCACGCTTACGCGGTCGTTCGTGACACATCGAGTTCGACGTTTGCTGAAGAAGCGGAATCACGCCACCACCTCAGCAAGTGCGGAGTCTACAGAGGCTAGTGAGAGCAATGTGGATGCAGAGACGTTATCTACCACTCCAGCAGTTGCATTGTCTTCTTCTGACAGCAACCGCGAGACAAGCTCGTCCAGAACCTCAGCTGATCGGGGTAACGTAATGGAGGTGGATACAGACGCTCGAGACTCGACTAATAGCGCTGGTCCTGGATTTTATCCACTGCGTGAAGAAGATGACGACGACGTTTCGATGCGATCCCCACTCTCCGGAATGGATGACCACGATATGCATGAAGACGACGAGGATGATGACCACAGTGATGACCACAGTGACCGCAGCAGTGTATCAGAGCATTCTACCGATGATGGTGAAGGTGAAGAAGATGAAGAAGACGAAGATGATGATGACGACGACGATGATGACGACGATGACGACGACGACGACGATGATGATGAAGGCGATGATGAAGACGAAGAGGAGGAATTTGAGGAGCACCAACATCTTCACATGTCTCGTCGTACGGGTGGTCACGGATCCAGTCGCCGCACATCTTCGAATCGTCTTTGGGGATCTTTGGATTCGGAGCTTTCAATCCTGGATGCTTTAGATGAGGTCGATGAAGAGGAGTTCTCCTACTTGAACATGCTTGATGACGAGGCCTTTTTTGCTGAAGAACAACGCCGGCGTGCTCGCTTGGCTGCTGCTCGAAATGTCAGATCGGGTAGTGATACCGGCGAGGTTAGCCAGCAAGCCAGAAGCTCAGAAGATAGATTTGTCGAGTCTATGCGTGATGCGCTTGGCTTGTATAATGGCGGCGGGAGCGGGTCTAACTCCTCTTCCAGTGGCCAAACTCTCGTGCTGACGTTTGGCGACGTGGAAGATGGCGAAGAAGTGGGCGGTGAAAACCAAGCGGAGTCCACGACATCAAGAAGTCGAATGGGAAGTGGAAGTGGTTTTGGGCAGTCGCAAAGTCGATCCGGCGGTGGTGCTGGTGGCGGGTTCTCAAGCTCGCTTCTTCAGTACATTGAAGAACTGCCGGATATGCTCGATGATGATTTCCTGTTCGAATCCTTTGATGGTAGCCGAGGTGATCGCTCACGACGTGATCGCCAACTAGGTCGCTCGGGTGGTAATGGTGTTGATCAATTTACTGCAAGCGCCACTACGCATCCGTTGCTCCGCACAAGTGGACGTGGGGATGCGATTTTGCTGGACTCGAACGGATTGTTGCGTAACCCGGGCCGGTTCACACTGCCTCGCCACTCCTCGCTTCTGCGCGAGCTGCAAGAGCTAACAGACCAAGTTCAGACCCAGCTACCGCTTGGTGGAAGTCGGTCGCGGCTGGCCATTGGACGCGACTTGCTGCAGCGAGGAGGCGGCGGAAGCCGTGGGAGACCTCCAAGCCGGATCAATCGTTTGTCTGCCGTGTCAAACCTGCTGAGTGAATTTTCCCTGGATATCCCGAGCTCGTTGCCTTCTCGACACCAGCGTCTCAGTTTGCGCCGGGGAGATCGGGACATCTTCGGTGATGTCTTCGTTGGGGTTGATTTGTCTCGCGGAATTGGTAGTCGAGCCGGTGACGTGATTGGTGGGTCCGCGTCTAGCTCGGCAATGTGGGGGTCTAGTAGTGTTGGACGTGATGTGGATGTTCGCTCAGTGGCATCTAGATTGGAGCAACAGATTACTCGTATTTGCGCAGATGACGATGAGCCCGCTGTATCTTCTGGACGACGTGATAGAGACACATCCTCTCAACGACGAGAGGACGTTGACGACATAATGGAAGAGAACAGCGCTATGGGGACTCCTCGAAGTGGAGAGCACACTGCTAGTGACCCTAGAGCCGTCGACAATACTGCAGAGAGCGATCCTCACCCGGATGTATCCGAGAACAATGATCGGGTGGAGAGGAACGATGCGTCTACGGATGCCGCGTCTGTTTTGGAGCTTACTAGCACTCTTGGGGAATCGTCTCTGCTTCGGTCACCACCTGAGTCTGATGCAGACGTGGACATCGTTGACGCTGAAGTGGAAACTCCATCGGAGAGACAAGAGGCGACGACCACGCCCCCGGCTGCTGCTAGTAGCCCTTCGCTTGCCACCAGCGTGGAGCCCACGCCACCGCCCCCCGCACCGATTTCTGTTACTGCTGTGGCATCCTCAACGACTGCACCGGCTTCGTCTAATCCTATGATGAACTTCACTCTTGATTTATCTGGTTTCGGAGCGACATCGACGCAGTCAACTACAGCCAGTGATACCACGAATCAGGCAAGGGCGGTTGAGGAAGAGTCCAAAACTGAGGAGTTGCCACCGACAGAGACACACACGGCATCTGCTGCGCAAGAATTGTCGACCGAATTGCTTGATCAACAGGACGGACAACAAGTGTATCAGTGTCCTGAAGGTATGGATGCTGAAGTTTTCGCTTCGTTACCTCCGGACATGCAAGCCGAGATCATCGCACAGAATGCACCTGCTGTCGCTGAGTCGACTAGTGCCCGCAGCGACACCGCCACGGCAGGAGGTGGTGGCGGTGGATCGGAAAGTATGTCACAGATGGACCTGGACATGGCCAACTCAAGTTTTGATCGTGAGACTTTAGAGGCGTTGCCTCCGGATATCCGCGCCGAAGTGCTGGAGAACGAACGGCGAGAGCGCGAGGCTGCCGCCCGCGCGGAGACGGCGGACACATCCCGTGCACAGGAGATGGATAATGCGTCCTTTGTGGCATCGCTAGCACCGGAGCTGCGCGAAGAAATCTTGGTGACGTGCGACGATGCATTTTTGCAAACGTTGCCATCGCAAGTACGCGCGGAAGCTATGGTGCTGCGCGAGCGTGCAGCTTTCCGCTCAACTTATCGCGAGCGTGATCGCGCCACGGAGGGGCGTGGTGGAGGAGGTGGCGGTGGTGAGGGCGACATGGACGAGCTGTTTAACCGGCCTACCCTCCGTCGAATGTTGACTTCTCAAAGTCCCGACAGAGGAGGCGGTCGTCGTCGGTCTCGAATGTACGATGAGCTGGGTGGAGGGCGCCGCAGTAGTCGCCGTGAGTACCGACAAGGAGCTGGCAGCTCCAAGGCGCACAGGGGTCTTCTGCGTGTGGAGAAGGACGAAGAAGAAGACGCCGGAGAGCGGATTTTCGACGACCGTTGCGTGCGCGGTTTGCTGCGCCTACTTTTCATGACGCAGTCCGTCATCCAGAACCGCGTGTTCCAGCGGCTGCTTGCAAACATTTGTCTGTATCCATTGACACGCTGCAGTGTTCGGCGCAACTTGCTGCGTGTGATCTCTTTGCCGCTTGCCGAGCCCCTGGTTCCTGGCGACAAAAGGGACGACGACGATGACGGTAGTGGCAAAATCCAGTTTCCACCAAGCGCGATGTATGGATGCGGTATCGATGGAAATCGGTCCATTGGAGGATCAGCCGTGCCCGGCGAAGTGGTGAATCGCATGTTGCATGTGCTTGTGTCGCTTGCAAAGTATAATCCCCGCTTCACAGTGGAAATGCTGCAGCCTCATGGAATGCGCCACCAAAGTAGTGGCAAGAGTGATTGCGTCAAGATGGAGCCATCCTCCAGTGAATGTGGTGTTGCTGTACTCATCGATTTACTAGCACTCCCGGTGGTGTATCGCAACGGTACAAATCTAGATGCGCTGCTCGAGTTGCTTGAGCTGATTTTGTCACCGCTAGAGCGGCTTCACAAGCCGAGTGGTAGTGATGAGGAGAAAAAGGAGGGCGAAGAAGCGGAAGCGTCGACTCCTGAACCGGGTGATGAGTGGGTAGCTGTCCCGGCGGTGGAACTAGATGAGGCGCGCATGGGTGAGATCGTTGCGGTGCTTGCGATGGACCTCTGCACGACTCAAATGCAAGAGCGCACACTTGCCGTGCTGAAGCTCTTGAACCATGTGCGTGGCAACCGCGAGCTTGTGATCCGTGCAGTTGTTCGACATGCGAGCAATTTGGCGCGTGTTGAGCGCTACAAGGGAGGCAATTCGTCGATTGAGACTATTGGATACGAGTCGTCAGCGGTATTGCCGTCGGCTCAGGACGAGCTGAAGCTTCTGCGGTTGCTACACTCGCTGTCGGATGTATGCGAGAACACGGCAGAGTTTACGGAGTGCTGCCAAACCATCGGTCTTGAGCCGCTATGGGATGCACTGAGCGCCTCCCTGACTGAAGCGCGTGCTAAGGGTGGCCTCGATGATCAAGATAGCGGTGCTTTGGCTGTTTCAACTTCTCAAGCGCCTCCCGGCGCCGGTACTGAGTCTCAGACTGCCGGAGCATCTGATGATGGGGAAGGAACAGTGATTGAAGGTAAAAGTGCGGGTGCTTCATGTGCGATGGCAGCACTTTTGGCGCGATTCCTCCCAATGGTGGAAGCCTTCTTCGTTGTCAATGCTCGTGATGCAGCGTCGATGTCGCTGCGAGTACCGGACTCAAGCGAGCGCGAGGAGGCCGTTGTAGCTGCTTTGCGTGTCGGCGGATTTGACGGGGCGGACGCTACCGCGCTGATGGGGGTTGAAGAGCAGAAGGCGTCACCGAAGAGCGCACGAAAGCGCAGCTCATCGGCCTTGTCGACAATATCTGACGCTGGCGAGACCATGAGACTGGCGAACTTTGTCGAGTCCAATCGCATGCTTCTCAACCTACTCGTGCGCGAGAAACCGTCGCTGCTGGATACGTCTTTGGCTGCTTTGATCAAGATTCCTCGCTGCCGGGCGTACTTGGCATTTGACAACAAGCGCACGTACTTCCACAGTGCGATGAAGAGACTGCGACAGACAGCGTTGCGGAACCACGGAGGTGGGAGCTCGTCGGTGCGTATCCCGGTACGCCGTGAACACATCTTCGAGGATTCCTACTACGCGTTGCGCATGCGCAGCGGTACCGAGTTGCGGCGAAAGCTGCACATTTCATTCACGGGTGAAGAAGGTATTGATGCTGGTGGAGTGACGCGAGAATGGTACATGATTCTGGCTCGTGAAATGTTCAACCCGAACTACGTGCTGTTCACATCAGCCGCCGATTCGCCTACTTTCCAGCCGAACCCGCTGTCTTACGTGAACAAGGACCACTTGAGCTACTTCGAGTTCGTCGGAAAGGTGCTGGGCAAGGCCGTGGCAGACGGCCAACTTCTTGATGCTCACTTCACGAGATCGTTCTACAAGCACATCCTGCAGTTGCCGATTTCGTACCATGACATGGAAGCTATCGACCCGGAGTATTACCGTAACCTGCACTCAATCCTGGACAACTCGATTGTGGATCTTGGGCTGGAGCTGACGTTCTCGGCTGAGCAGTCGAACTTCGGCAAGGTGGAGGTTGTTGATTTGATCCCTAACGGCAGGAATGTGGCCGTGACGGACGAGAACAAGATGGAGTATGTGAAGCTCGTGACGCACCATCGAATGGCGACTGGCATTCGACAGCAGATTGATGCGTTCCTCAAGGGTTTCCACCAGTTGGTGCCACCTGAGATGATCGCGATCTTTAACGAGAACGAGCTGGAGTTATTGATCTCAGGCATGCCCGAGATTGACATCGACGATCTGAAGGCCAACACGGAGTACGCCAACTACAAGCCCACAGATTCGGTTATCCGCTGGTTTTGGAACGTCCTTTACTCGTTCACACACGAAGAGCGGGCACTGTTTTTGCAGTTCGTCACTGGTACGTCGAAGGTGCCGCTGGAAGGGTTCAAGGCGCTTGAAGGCATGCGTGGCACGCAGAAGTTCAACATCCACAAGGCTTTCGGCAACAACAGTGCGCTGCCGTCCGCACATACATGGCAAGTCTTTTGATTGTTCAGATGTGTTTAATGAGGGCTAGACGACTAACATTGTGTGTTTGGTGCCGCAGTTTCAACCAACTGGACCTTCCTGAGTACGAGAGTGAGGAGAAGTTGAAGCAATGCCTGCTGCTCGCGATCCGTGAGGGCTCGGAGGGCTTCGGTTTCGGCTAAGCAAAATATGTCCACGCTAGTAGCATTGCTTCAAGCACCTCAATGAATGAATACATGGGTACGCTTTGCATCATTTCATTCGTTTGTATATCGATTTGCTCTTCATGTATCTGTGGCGCAGGTTCTACCTGTATATCTCATGCACTTCCTGAAATCACCATCGACCACTGGATCATAAATCATTCCGGTACGTCGCTGCAGCCCTAACTGTAGCCATGTACATAAGCAAGAGAATGTGTGCGTCTTGTCCCGTATGTCACTTTACCTCAACTCGTACAGTTTGTAGTTTGCTGCATTCCCCAACTGGCAGGCAGAACGGGATTCACCATGGAGCGCAAGGACCGTAAACGCAGAGCTGTGGAAGCCGCCCCGCCGCCTGAGCTGGTGTCGCCGACGATCACGAACCTCGTCTCGACGATTAGGGAGAGCAACGTGGGGCTGAAGGATACCATCACCTCTCTGCATGAGCAGATCAGCAACGCCAAGAAGCAACTGACGGACGTGACGGAGGAATGCGCGAAATACGAGGACGAGGTGAAGTACCTTCACCCCGATGCGGTTCTTGACCGGGTGCGCATGAAGCTGTGGCACCACGGCGACCTGGGGCTCTTCCGGGACGTAATCGACCCGAACTCTCGCGAGAGCGTTGTTGGGGGAGGACGGAGCCTCTACTTCTCCGAGTCCGCGCCGAAGAAGGGCGGTCTCAAGCCCCCGATGAGCAACTCGTGGGAAGACGAGCTCTCTCCGAAGCACGAAAATGAGGACGAGGAGGTGACGATTCCAGCCCTACCGCCAATGAAGACCACCGCTCCCGACACGGACGAAGTTGACGCACGTGCAGGGGAGAAGGACGACGGCTATGTTGAGGTCCAAGTGCCGCGTGATGAGGAAGACCAGGTCAAGACGACGCCGGAGGAAGAGGCCATGACTACGAATGGTCAGGAAATCACGGCCTCTGAGCCGTTGGAGAAGGAATTGGAGGATTTGGAGCAGGAGATCACCGAGACCGAGCTTATGAATGGAAGCCCTGAAGTGTGAAAGGCAGAGTTGGCCAGCAGCAGATAAGGAGCTTTAGCTCTCATTGGCTTCGGGCCTGCCATTTTATTCGCGCTTTGCATGTTTTCAACTTCCAAGTAGTACAACCCCATCGAGTACGCGTGAGTTCTTGAAAACCAGGGTTCGTTTGAGTAATGCATGCGAGTTTCATCTCAATCGTATCGACAACCCACCGATCCAGGGACGGCTTTCAAGGAGAATTTCAGGGATGGCACGGTCGGAACGGCAAACCGAGACACTGCGAGCGGCATAGTTGTGTCTATCGCCATTTGAGTACTTAAAAAATTGAATTGCAGCTTTACGGTTTAATTTCTTGTTACCAACTTATATGACATCCTGACCGTCAGTTCGTTTATTGCCGACGGCAATTTGCCGTTCCACGAACTTCAAGAAAGAGGACAAAGGTTTCAACAATACTCACTCTTGATACAGCGAATCGTCACCCATTTCGCGCACAGCTTGGTCCCTCAATCTTCCCTCGACTGCTAGAAAAGTTGTACAAGCCGACCCCCCCCCCTCACCACCACCACAAAAAAATCACACACAAAAACGAAATTTTGAAGATGCAACTCGGCTTTTTGCTTAGGTGTTGCGGTAGACTTGCACCCACCACTCAAAAGGACGATAGATAGACCTCAGTCTTGACAAAACTTAGGCCTCAGTGTTGCGCAGAACTTCCGCCCGCAACACCGTTGTAGCGCTCGTTCAAGTGCACCAGCTCCTCTCTGCACTGATCCAGCCTCTTCGGGACCCCGTCGAACCACCCATGCGTCTTGGTAATCGTCAAAAACAGTTTTCCTTTCTCTTCACTGATTGCCACGTTGAACGGTGCCTCGTCCTGGTGGTGGCTGTAACCCGAGCAGTTTCCTTTGCGTGGCGAATATCTCTGAACTTCATCCTCCTCTTCGTGGTGATCTCTTTCTTCGGTCCACGTAGGAAATCCTCAATAAAATTGCGTTCCCAATGCTTCGCGTACGGCATTTTCCACGTAAAGATCTTGCCGACTCGGTCGAGTTTTCCTATTGCACGTTTCAGCCACCCCACTCGCTTGGCAGCGATCGCATCCAGCACAGCAAACTTGCCCTCGGTATCGTCCTAGCCGACGTGCTCCGAGAACACCTCGACGAATGGACCCAGTTCACTCGCATCTTTTTCCAAGATTCTTTTGGTCATCAACTTGAACGCTTCGTCATCCGCAGGAAGGAGAACATTCTTCCAGAAAAGCTCAACCAGTCCACGAGTATGCAACTTCATCTCGAATTTCGTGGCCAGTTTGAAGAGATCTCACCTTATCAACCGCATCTGCCACTTGCAGCAGCAGATCCAGTCGTGGCGACAGGAAGTACTTGTCATTGTTGAACACCTTCTGCCTGCAGCACTGAGGTCACTCCAGGCGAATGCATTGAGAACTTGGGCGATCGACGTAACTATAGACTCATCGTCGCGTAAATTTCCCAAAGAAGGACAACAGTCGGTAAAGAACTCCTTGGCCAGTTCCACGTCGTTAGCATCGGCCAGTAGCTCGCAGAAAGACCGAGTAAACCTCACTGAAGCGCCGGAGCTTCTATAAAGCCTCGGACCCCGACCATATCTACCACTTGCCGCATTCAGAAAACTCCGTAGAGTTCTAGCATCTACCGGTCGACGGGCAATCAATTCCTATCTGCAGAGATACATTCGAGAACGTTCTTAACGTGGTGGCTGGCTGGCCATGCAACGACTGCGAATCGCGAATACTAGGTGCGTTTGAGCTGCCCCTCGTTGCCAGTGTACACGTCCTCAGGACTTCCGTAGGCTTCCCGCAATTGCATCAGCGTTTCTTGTCCAGGGTTCAAAAAGTTTTGCTGTTCACTCAGAGACTTATCTTTCCAGTGACCGAGGTCCTCCCCGCTCGTAGTGTACTAGTGCGGGGCTTGCTCGTGACCCCATCCTCCTTTGCTCCAGCCATCTTCATCCAGGCGGTTGTCGACCTTAAACGAAAGCTTTGCAATAAAGAAGCGAAGTTTCATGTCGTTACCATCCACAGCGGAATTCGCGGCTTCAAGCGCCCGAAACCTCGCACTATCGACTCCTTTCAGAGCTCCAGTACCCAGATCCGATATGCTCTTCTTCGTGTACTCGTGGGACAACAGCAGAGCAAATGAGTCGTGTTTTGCTCTCATGGCACCAATCGCTTCAGCTAGATCGTCGCCAAGCGTCCGCTCTGAATCTCGTCGGAGATGGCGCATTGACTTCGGGAGACAAATGGAGTAGAGTAAGCGAGGCGAAACCCCTTCGTCACTTCCTCCAGTGCATGCTCCGCGTCTGCATAGTGCAGCAGAGGAACGGAGCGGTGCCGTCGCTCTTGCCGAAATCGTGGCGATGTTCCACCTCTCCATGTCGAAAGACAATAAAGTCGCCCCCTTCGTGCGTGCTGGGCGGTTGAATCACCAGAGTCGCGATCATTCCGTCCTCCTTCTCCGAGTCTTGGTGCTTGAGGAAGTGTCCACCTTCTCCATACACGAGCAGCTTGTACAACACACACTGAGTGGAACGCCCTTGTACCCCAGTCGAGTGGCAATCATCTCGCTTAGCTCCTCCAGCCCTGGCTGCCACTGCGGGTTCGTGATCTCCACTTGATCGGGTGCCAGTTGCCAGCTCTTCCGAACGCTCTCGTCCAGCTTCGTGTCCATGTTGTGGCCGAAGGGGGACTTCTCACATATTGAGATGAGCTTCTGGGCTTGCGCTTCGACCAGCGGGAGGGAGATCGCTCCAACCCCCTCAACCAGAAGACCAGGGGCAGCTGGCAGAGCATCAGCTCGACCTCCGAACGAGTACTCTCCTGCGTACTCGTCCGCCGATGCCAGAATCTCACTGATCTTGACGCAGGCAGCCCCCCTTCCTTTCCAACCGAATGGTCACTTTGAAGTCCTCCTTGAAAGCCATCTCGGGATCGGTGGATTGTTGGTACGGTTGAAATGAAATTTCCAGACTGAGTCGAGGTAAATCTGGGAAAGTAACTTTCTTTCGTACAGTGGAGCACGTTGCTAAAGATATTTTTCAAGAATTCAAAAGCGTAGTTGAAAGCTCTTGAAAATTTTCCGACACGTGGTCTCGGTTCCTTGCTCGATTGGGTTGTAGTCGATTTAGAAGCGTTCACTTATTACTGAAACATGTTGGAATCTTGCTCACAAACTACGATGTAATATTTTACCAAGCCTGCAGACATTTGCAAGGCCGTTTTGGTGGCCTCGGTGCGTCCAAATACGCCCCCTGTATACCAACATCTAATCCTAACGTTAGTGCTATTTCTTCTGAAAGGAACATTTTGATAGTTTTCGTACCGCACGCTTGCGATTTTCGCGAGTTTGATCCCCGTCTTCATACCCATCGCATCGTCAACAGCCTCCACCCTTGAGACCGTGTTTGGGGTGAAAATAGTCGTGCCTTCCTTGCCATTTTCCTTTGCGCCGTTCATCAAGAGTCCAATATCAGTGGTAGCTCCGATACCATCCTTCTCCTCGTCCTCTAGAACTGCCTTCGCCTCGAGGGCAGGCATCCTGTTGTTTGGCTCTTTCTCAAGCGCCTCAAAAGTATCCTCGACCCCACCGAAAGTCCTAGCAACAGTTCGGATCCAGGAGACGATGCCCAACGAAGTCTCATGCGAACGTAGATCGGTCACTATCAAGATGGAGCACAACCTCGCCGATCAACTGAACTGTATGGAGGCAACCCACAAACTTGAGCTGCAGTGCATGGTTCAGAGGCACGAGGAGTCCAGTCGAGCGCTCGAGTTGGCTCGGGCAGACACGTGTAAGCTGAGAAAAGAACTTGCAGGGATCAGGGAGCAGGTCTCCCGAGTTCGCCGCCTCTTTGAGCAAGAGGGAGCAGCGCAGAATGTGGCCCTGCAGCAGATTAAGGCCTCACGGAGGAGAACTACCGGGCTGCTTGCCGTGCTCAATGGTGCGTTGGGTGGGAGGGCGGCTGTTCCTGTGAAGAAGGAAGTCCCAGAACAAACGGGAACACGATTTCAACTTGTGACGGACGCTGAGGAGGAAAAGACCGCGGATATCAACCAAACATTGAGTCAAAAACGCATGACACAAGGTAAATCGATCAAGAATCCGCATCCTAAACGCGCGGTACGGATTAGTCTACGATTGTACATACACAACAATGTGACATCGATATTTCCTTGGACGCTGATACTTTTTGAATGCAAGGTCCGCTGTTGGACCCAGAGAGGCCACTGAAACGTGTTTGTACGAGGACAAATGGCTCGACGACGAAGACAAAGGAGACGGAGACGCATATCCAGCAGTTCCTGTTTCACTCCCATGGCGCAGCATCCGTCAATAAACGAACTGTACTGACTTTGAAAAACTTCATCAAATGAATGAATACATGAGAGTATATTTTCTGCTGAGAACAGAAGCGAGCTGGCGCTTCTACATCTATTTGCGCCGCTTGTACTTGGCCTTCGACTTGAAGGAGCCCGAGCCCTTCTTGGCGTGCTTCTTGTAGTCGGTGATCTTCTCCTTGAACTCGAACGGGTTGCTGCCAGCGTTTGCGTCGCGCTCCTTCCTGGGCTTCGGGGCGGGGGCGCCGTCGCGGGTCATGTCCACATCGAAGGCGCCCGATCCGTGGCTGCTACGCGCAGCTCGGGCCTTTTCACGCTTGAGCCGCTTGCGCTCGTGCATCTCTGCGATCGACTCCTCCTCGCGCGAGCGGGACTTCTCCTGCTGAGCCTTCTTCGCGCGCTTGGCGGCGCCAGCCACGTGCATCGACGTGAACACCGCCTTCTTGCCCTTCTTCCCTTCCTCTTCTTCGCGCGCAGAGTCCGCCAGCATGCGCTCCTCACGCTCGCGGATCTCGAACAGCCGCCGCTTCTTGTGGCTCATGAGCTTGAGCTTCTTGGCGCGCGACATCGTGTCCGCCGCCTCAGCCTCTTCCTTGGCAGCTTCCAACTTGGCCTGGCGTTCCTCCTCGGCGCGCTCATTCACGTTCTTCTTCTCCTTCTCGGACATGAACCACGTACGGGCCGGGCGCGAGTTGATCTCGTCACGGTGCTTGAGCAGATTCGTAGCGCGAGTCGCTTCCTTCTCGGCTTCACGCATGCGCTTCTCGAGGGTCTCCTCGTGCATCACCAGCTTCACGTCTCCCTGCATACTCTCGATACGGGCCTTCCACTGCGCAATAACGGGGTCAGGCACAGCGCGGGACTTGACGAATCCCTTGCAGTGGCGCGACACCTGCTTCATAACAAGACGGCGAGACTCGCTCGTAAGCGTGACAGCGCGACCGTTGCGGCCAGCACGAGCCGTACGACCGACACGGTGAACGTAAGTCGTGATGTCCTTGGGCATCTCGTAGTTGATGACGGCATGCACTCCACGAACATCGATACCACGAGCAGCGATATCCGTACACAGCAGAATGTCCACCGTGCCGTCGCGGAACTTCTGAAGCGCCTCCAGACGCTCCCTCTGCATCAGGTTACCGTGAAGCTCGGCAGCCTTGATGCCTGCGAGACCGAAAATGATCATCATACGGTGCGCGTGCGACTTGGTCTCCATGAACACGATAGTGTTCGTGCGGAACGTACGCGTACACAGCGCTAGCAGAATAGCTTCACGGTCGTCCTCACGGTTCGGACGAATACGCACGAACTCCTGCACCAGGTGCTTGGCCATGTCGAACAACGGGTCCGTGCTGATACGAACGGGGCGCTTCATCGACAGGTCAATCAGCTGGTCCACCTTCGACGTCATCGTAGCCGAGAAAAGCATCGTTTGGCGCTGGACAGGACACATGCGCACCAGCTCGAGCACTTCTTCCGTGAAACCAAGCTCCAGCAGACGATCGGCCTCATCCAGCACGAGAATCTCCAGGTCATCCATGTGCACACTCTTGGAGTTACGCAGGTGGTCAATCATACGACCAGGGGTACACACCACGACGTCCGGGCGGTTGCGCAGCTCCGCTTCCTGCGCCTTCAGAGGCAAACCACCGACAGCCAGCGAGCACGTAATGTCCGTGAAGCGCGCCAGCTGCTCGAACATCGACTGACACTGCGTCGCCAGCTCACGCACGGGACAGATAATCATCGTGCGCGTGGACTGCACACGACGCGAACGGAACTGCAGACGCTCCAGAATGGGCAGCAAGAAGGCGGCGGTCTTACCACTACCCGTCTGGGCACTGGCACAGATATCCTTGCCCGTGAGCGCGATGGGGATGGCACGCTGCTGAATCGGCGTCGGCTTCTCGAAGCCAATGTGCGAGATGGCGCGCATGATCGGGCGCGACAGCTTCAAGTCGGCGAACGTCTCAAACCTGGTCTTGGCGAACTCCTCGGCGGCGAAAGGGTCCGACTCGAAAAACTCGGCAGCCTTCTTCTTCTCCAGCGCGTCCACCAGCTCCTCGCGCGATTGCTGGTCCTTCTTGCTGTCATTGAGCGCCGACTGGAGACGCTCCTCCTCCACGACAACGTCGTCCTCCTCCACGTCCTGCTCCTCCTTCTCGTCGTCAGAAGACTCCGATTCCTCTTCCTCCTCCTTCTCTTCTTCAGAGTCACTGTTCTCATCGTCTCCATCCTCCTCCTCCTCCTCTTCACTGCCACTGTTCTCCTCCTTCTCCTGCTCCTTCTCCTCCTTCTTGGCCTTCTTGGCCTTCTTGGCCGCCTTCTTCTCCTTCTTGGCCTGCTTCTCGGCCTCCTTCTCCTTGCGGCGCTTCTCGATCTTGGCCTGGATGGACGTGCGCTTGGTGGCCGTGGGGATGCCGCTCTCCATCTTGTCAATGCGCGAGATGGCGGCCGTGAAGTCCCACGAGCTGCCGCCCGACGTGTGGAAGGCGCCGCCGTCGTCGAACTCAAAGTCCTCGGCGATCTCGCTCTCCTTCTGCTGCTGCTGCGCCTCCTTGCGCTGCTGCTGGCGGCTCAGCACGGCGCTCTTGAGCTCCGCCGCCTCCTGCTCGTCCTCCGAGTCCGAGCTGTCCTCGACGTTGGACAGCTCGTCGTCCGACGCGATGGTCATCACCAGGTCGTCGTCCTCCTGCTGCACCTGCTGGCGCGCCTTCTTGCCCATGGTCGCTACGCTCGAATGGGTACGTTGATACGTTGATACGTTGGCAGCCAGCAATACGATTCCGCACTGAAAGGCGGAAGGCAACATTTGACTGGAAGGCGGTAGGCGACGCAGTTTGCGCCAATCAGGTGGAAAATGGAGACATTATTGAGTTTTCATTGGGTGCAAATGGAATTAGACATAATCATTTCAAAGCATCATCTGGGGACATTCGAGGACACTATGATGGACGCTTCGGCATTTGTTACTTCGTGCCACATCGTGTACGAGGATTTCCCGTACAAACACGCTTCAGTGGTCTCTCTGAGTGCAATCCTGCGCCCTGCATCCCACAAAGTACCAACTTATCAGTGCCACAATTTCGCGTCTGCCTCAATCGCAAAAACGGCAAGGAACTCGTACAGTACTCGTACCGCGCGTTTGGGATGCCCAGCCCTGATGAATGTTTCGCGTTTCGAACGCGAGGTTTGATCTAACAAATCCTTGGTATCCACGGTCTTTTCCTCCTCAGCGTCTGTCACAAGTTGAAATCGTGTTCCCGTTTGTTCTGGGACTTCCTTCTTCACAGGAACAGCCGCCCTCCCACCCAACGCACCATTGAGCACGGCAAGCAGCCCGGTAGTTCTCCTCCGTGAGGCCTTAATCTGCTGCAGGGCCACATTCTGCGCTGCTCCCTCTTGCTCAAAGAGGCGGCGAACTCGGGAGACCTGCTCCCTGATCCCTGCAAGTTCTTTTCTCAGCTTACACGTGTCTGCCCGAGCCAACTCGAGCGCTCGTCTGGACTCCTCGTGCCTCTGAACCATGCACTGCAGCTCAAGTTTGTGGGTTGCCTCCATGCAGTTCAGTTGATCGGCGAGGTTGTGCTCCATCTTGATAGTGACCGATCTACGTTCGCATGAGACTTCGTTGGGCATCGTCTCCTGGATCCGAACTGTTGCTAGGACTTTCGGTGGGGTCGAGGATGCTTTTGAGGCGCTTGAGAAAGAACCCAGCAACAGGATGCCTGCCCTCGAGGCGAAGGCAGTTCTAGAGGACGAGGAGAAGGATGGTATCGGAGCTACCACTGATATTGGACTCTTGATGAACGGCGCAAAGGAAAATGGCAAGGAAGGCACGACTATTTTCACCCCAAACACGGTCTCAAGGGTGGAGGCTGTTGACGATGCGATGGGTATGAAGACGGGGGATCAAACTCGCGAAAATCGCAAGCGTGCGGTACGAAAACTATCAAAATGTTCCTTTCAGAAGAAATAGCACTAACGTTAGGATTAGATGTTGGTATACAGGGGGCGTATTTGGACGCACCGAGGCCACCAAAACGGCCTTGCATAGGTCTGTAGGCCTGGTAAACGTTGATGAGTTTGTGAGCAAGGTTCAAAATATTCAACTTCCCAAGTTAGGTCGAAGACCTGTGCTTGGCCCCGGCAAAAAACTTGTAACTTTCCAAAACCGGGTACATAACCTGGTCTCTCTTTCTTAATTGTAATGTTTAAGCTTAATATCTGACGGAATCGGGTACCCGTCGATAAATGCTAAGATTTATGCACATTATTTACCAAAGATTGATACTAATCGTTCATTCTTTACCAAAACCTGCGTTCAAACACTTACGGACGCTCCAGTACACTATGAGAGCGTCATGGCCTCGCTGAAGGCGTATCAACTTGCGCCATAATCGACCAAGCTTAGCTGAAGATGACCAATATGACTTGTCTAGCTGCTGGCTGCATTTTTTACATGTCAATTTGCTCAGTACTCACTCAATCACTTAGCCGAAGATGCCCAACCTCGTGTTTCTCGCCAAACCAACCAGCTCAACTCGACAGTGACACGAGCATCGTTCGTTTGAATTAGGTTTTCTTTACCTGCGTTGAAGCGCCCACTTCCAAGGACTTGGCACATTAACGTACTTCTCATTCCGCAATTTACCCTCAAGTTAAAAGGTCAAGATCAGCGCACCATACATATCTCCTTCGTTCCGCTAGCTCTCTCGTCTGATCGTTAGCACACAACATAGTACTAAATGAGCACAGTATACATTATTATTACCTGCAAACTGAATGAAATAGCGCTCTCGTTGCTGGCGTCAACGCAGCCATTGGACGCTGACCAGGGTGTTATTCCCGGGCAGATGCTGCGGCTGCGAAGCAGGCGCAGTAGATGCCCACGTTAGAATCAACTAGAGAGTTCGGCTGGTAGTGCTCTTTTAAAATCCTTAAAAGGATTAAAAACAACACAACTTTGGGATTTACTCTACTGTTATCCGTTATCATCGTCCATGAAACTATTTGCCGACCTGTGTACCCTCCCGGAGCAACGCTCCGGGTTGCCTATCGTCTAAGTAATTGAGTTAGCTCTTGTAAGCCTACAAAGCAATCGAGTAAGGAGCCGAGACCAAGTGACGACACGTGCTAATGCATCGACGCTCCAGCCGTTAGCTGCCAAGAACTCCGCACAGCGACGAAGTTGAAGTCGTTGGAATCGTGGGGGCCAGTTTTCGCAGGACAGAGCGGCTCTGCGACAGGGTTTCAGCCAATCCAAGTGCGGTTCTTACGCGCTGGTGTAAGAAACGCACTTCAACTCGCGATCCTGAGCTTCTCCGAGCCAGTCGAGAACCGCCGCCAGATCCGCACGAGCTTTATGGCGCGCAAGTCCAAGCGCCAGCAGCAGCAGCCACCACCGCAGCAGCAAGAGCAGCAGCAGGAGCAAGAGCAAGAGGACCCGACGCCCCCTGCAGCCCCCGCCCGCGCCCTTTCCTCCTCCTCCTCCTCCAGCAGCTCCAGCTCGTCGTCCGACTCGGCCCCCGAAGTCGCCGCGCCGCCAGCCGCCGACCTGCCCGCGCCCGTCGCGCCCAAGCCCGCGTCGCCCTCCAAGCCGACGCCCAAGCCGCCGAGCCCCAAGAAGGAGCCGGCGCCTCTCCCCGTGAGCCCCAAGAAGCTGCCGCCCAGCCCCAAAGCCACGCGCGACGACATCCTCGAAGCCATGAACGGAACCATCCACGTCAAGGTGCTGAGCGCCCGCAACCTGCCCACGATGGACTTTGGCAAGCGCCAGGACCCCTTCGGTAAGTCGGCAGTGGCCGGTATGGAATATGGGTACACACTTATACTAATTACCTTTGCTTGTGCAGTGCTGGTGCAGCTGGACGACTCGAGTCCCAAGGTCTGGGCGACCACGGACCCGGCCTTCCAGGGCGGCACCAGTCCCGAGTGGACGGAGCGCTCGAACAACGAGCTGGAGCTCTTCTACGACGCCAGCCAGCACGAGAAGGGCGCCTCGCTCACCTTCGAGGTGTACTCGGACGAGTCCGGGGACGAGCTCATCGGTACCGGCTCGCTCGACGTCCGCAAGATCGTGCAGGAGCAGACCACGTACGAGACGGAGTACCCCGTGCGTCTCAAAGCCAACCGCGGCGAGGTGCTGGTGCAGGTGTGGTTCGGCCCGCCTGTGCGCAAGGCCTTCCGCGCAGCTGGCCGCGCCTCCAAGCTGCTGGACGCGCGCGACGCCTTCGTGGGGATGCTGTGCTCGCTGGCGTCGGGTGCCTGTGGCGCCGTGTCGGGCTACTTCCAGCTGCCCACGGACTTCGCCAAGAAGCACCGCAAGCTGAGCGTGGCTCTGGCTGCGGTCCTGGGCATCATGTCCGCTGGGGCGCTCACCATGTTCCTGGCCATCGCCGTGCCCACGATGCTGGTGGCTTTGTTCACGTTCCCGTTCTGGATCATGCCGTTCCTGGCCACGTCGTTCTTCACGGCGCCGCTGTGGATCCCCGTCCTGCTGCTGGTGGGGCTCTTCCTGCTCTTCATCGCCACGTTCGTGTTCGGATTGGGGGTCACCTCCCGCCCCGTGCGTCGCAAAGGCGCCTTCATCTCCAGCAAGATCAAGCACTCGGACGTCGGCAAGCGGGTGGTCTACGAGAAGTCGCAGTAAGTGCCAACCCCAAGTATCCACGCCATGCATCACGAAGACTTTCGCCTTTTTTTCAGTGTCGTGTAGCGTGAGGCTATTCATCTTATGAGGCGCGCGAGTGTCAGCATGCCAAGTCTTCTTTCCACAGTAAAACAAACACAAAACACACTTTTCCAATCAATGGAGTTGTTGGATTGATTGCGTTTGGAACGTCACGCTAACATGCAGGCTTGGCTGGCTCTCTATAGACAAGCGAACGCTCATAGCACTGTGCGCTCTTTCTTGCAGGCAGGCTCAAGCCGTTCGCTGCTCTCCCTATCGTATAACTTATCAATAATAGTGTAGAAAAAAATGGTCGATGTCGAATCGGTCGGCGTCGGGGTCTTGTCTGTCATGAATCTTGATCGTTGGCAATGTTTCTGATGATGCTGTCTCTTGCTTGGGTCGATGTATGGTGGCGATGGCGATTGCATGTTTGTCTTGAATGGGTGGGAGGAGCACCTCGTCTTCTGGCATTTTTCTTGGGGCGTCATTGGGTAGGGAGAAGCAGCGGGGCAGGAGCGAGCTAAGCGAAAGGTGATAGAGCCCTTGGGCTTGTCCATGTGATCAGCCGGCCAGCTTACTGCGCATGCACAACTGTCTTGCGGTGAGCTGGCCCACGGCTGCTCGTACTCTTCTTGCTGCTCTGCTGGCGCTGCATCTGCTCGAACTCCGTCATGACGTGTTCAAGCTGGGTCTGGCGCAGGTTCACCTGCTCCTCCAAGTGCATGACCTGCTTCTCCTTGTTCTCCAAGAACTCGATGAGGTCGCGCATCTTGCCCTGCTTCTCCTTCAACGACGCCACGAGGTGGTCGTTCTCGCTTTGAAGGCGCGACATATTCACGTTGGCCTCAGTCAGGCGCGAAGACATGGACTTGAACTTGGTCTTGAGCAGCAGCGTCTCGCGCGCCTTCTTGGCCACCCGGGCCTCCAGACCGCCTACTTCGCGCTCCATGGACATAAGAGCTGCCTTGAGTTCATCAATCGTCTCCTGCTTCTCCGCCACGCTCTTGAACAGGAACATGTCCATGTCGAGGTGGAGGTCATTGACGAGCGAAGCCACGGTTGCACCCGAAGACGTCGAGGTCTCCAGCTGCTGCACGACCTTCTTGGCGATCTCATCGACGAGCTTCTGCTTCGTCGACAGCTGGAAGTTGAGACGGCAGATCTCGCGGTCCTTCGCCGTGACTGTGTTCCTGAGTCTCGCCACCTCCGAATCAGGGGTGGCGTCGCTGCTTGTGGGCAACTCGGCGCCGTTCTCCAGAAGCTTGGCGATCTGCAGGTCCTTCTCTTGAAGGTCGTGCTGCAGGCTTGACACCAGCTTGGACTTGCTCTCTAGCTCGCTCTGGAAGGCCGCCTCGGCTTCGCGACGGTACCCTTCCTGCATACTAGCAGCCTCCTCGCTTAAGGCAAGGCGCTTCTTCAGCTCCTCTACGGTCTTGTCCACAGCTGCGGACTGAGAACCCATGAGTCGGACATTCTCCGTCTTGATCTTCAGGTTCTCATGGATCAACTCGTCCACTTGAGCGCGGAGCTCGTTGATGAACTGCTCGTCTTCACAGCACTGCACGGCTCCGTTCTGCTGTTCCTTCAAGTGATACTCGACCAGCTTGGCCACGCGAGCCTGGTTCACCGGGTCTATCAGCCACTTAAAGTTCTCGTTGTGCTCCATGATGCCGTACAGCACCTCCATGACCACTTCCGTCGAGCTGGCCGCAAGGGGCATGGCTGCCACGCGCGAGGACGACTCGGCGGTGGGCTCTCCCTCCTCTGCTGAATAGTACTCTTCATTGCCACTCTCCGAGTGCAGCTCCTCGACGTTCAGACGAGAGTCGGGGGCGTGGTGGGTCACCAGTCTCGACACAGGGGACCTCTGCTCCACTTCATCTGCAATACTACGGAACTGCATGGCTTCGTCGCCACTCTCGTCATCTGACGGAGTCCAGTCCATCGACTCGAAGGATGGCGTGCGGTCCGAGGCTGAGCGCGTGTAGCGCCGCATCCTCTCGGGAGAGAGGGCATACTCGTCGTACATGTCGTCGTAGTACGACGCCATAGTGGACGTCGACGAGGCCGAGAGATCCACCGTGCTCGGGGAGACTGCGCGATCCATCTGCTTGTAGGGCGAGGCGGCGCGCACAGCACGCGGGGTCTTGAGCTGCGGGGACACGGAGCGCCGCGCGTGGCTGTACTGGTACGTCTTGAGAGGGTTCACCATGACCGCCTCCTCGGTCACCTCGACGGCCACGGCCACAGTCGTGGGGGTCGTGGGTCGGTAGTAGGCGACGTCCGCCTTCTTGTTGGGGCTCTGCAGGGACGAGATCCACTCGCCCATGGACTCCCGCTTGGGCTTGTGCTGGCGCTCGATGGACGGGAAGAGGCACGAGACGCTCAGGTCGTGGCTGTAGTCGAGCGGGTCCATCTTGCTGCATTTGGTCTCGGCATCGAGCGAGAGCTTGCGGCGCTTGGGGACGCCCTCCGCGGCCTTGCACTCGCCAGCGCGCAGCTGCTCCTTGAGCTTCTTGGCCGTCTTGTCGCCTCCGTGGGGCGCAGGCTTCTGCTGGGCCTTCTTGAGCTTCTTCTGCTGCTTGCGCAGCCGCGCGATCTGGCGGCCGTACGTCTCGAGCGCGTCCACGAGCTCGCCGTCCTTCAGCACGTTCTTGTCCTGCTTGCAGGCGCCGCTAAGCGCGGCCACCAGGCGCAGCAGCTCGTCGCGCTTGGCGTCCATGGCGTGTCGGGAAGTGTGACCGTCCTCCCTTGCGACGTGCACGTAGGCGCCCCCTCCGAGAGCGTCGGGGCAGGAAGGCAGGCCGCGGATCAGTCCACCCACCCAAGCAGACTCCAGCCAAGCAGTGTACTGTAGCAGTAGTCAGCAAGCGGCTGCCCCTCCTCCTTCTCGACGTTTCGAGAGTGAGGCTGCAGGGCAGAGAGGCCGGCTCCACGACGGGCGGATCCGCCGAGAAGCGCACCCAAGTGTCGGCGACTGCACTGAAGGCCAGACGCGGGTGGCACCGGAAGACACCGCGAGCCTTGGGCCAAGCAGCACTTCTCCCCCTCTCCTAGCGGACCGCGTCTGCTCGGGAGGAAGAAAGGGATACTGAACGTCCTGCCATCAATCAATTCAGCGCCGAGCTTCCAAGGATTTAGAATTAGATTTGTAGCTTTGAGGTCGGTACAGCTGAAGAGTGTCGTTTCGACAAGGAATTAGGTGCTGGGAGTATTTTATACTTGAAATTGATTTAGTATCCAAACCAGTAGCAAAGGATATCGATCTATAGATGCGACTGGGTTTTATTTGGCCCAAGTGCAACTTTTGTAAAGACGCGCGTGACACAACGCGACGGTTTGGCAGCGAGGAGATAACGTGATCAGTACTTTAAGGCAGCATGCGAACTTAGCTTTTGCGAGTGACGGTGAGGTGGTTGCAGGAGATCAATACAAAGGTTGGACTGCTGTACCCTGCAGCGACGCCAGTTTTGGCACAATTGAAATGAAGCCTCCGACCGTCCCGAAATTCGTTTGCGCGAGACACGAATGCTAAAGTCGCATGAAGCGTGAAGCATTGCCTCCAAGTTTCACTTAGTAGCCGCAGCATTATTGAGTTATCTATTCAATATTGCGGTTACCAACTGTGCAGCTGTCCATACAAGTACGCCGCAGCGGATAGTTTTCTGCCAGGAGTCTCCTGCTGCATCGACACCCGCCGCAGTTGGTGCAGCCAACGCTTTCTTCGCGCAACTCCAGTTAGGCACGCCGCTACTATAAAATTTGAGCTGCTGTAACTTGGGGTCGCACTTGGACCGCCACACCCAACGGTATTTAGCAAATGCATGGAGTCTGCAGAATAGGTTGGTGCTACCATGTTCCTGGAGAATGTTTCTTTTGAAGCCTTAAATACGGCTTCGAACTTAAGCAGCATATTAAAGTACTGTATTATGATATTTCTTGCAGCCGTTCCCGCCAAATTCCTGCATTGCAGTGCATGGCGCGCCGCTGGCAGCAAGTCCACCAAGTCCACCAGAGCTAATAGCCACGAAATGCCAATATCAACTTTGGACTGCATTGCATGGCATGGATCCACACCCGCAACAGCATCCCGGGATGTGACTGCCACCCACCGCGCTGCCCACTGCAACCGGATAGGTCCTTCCAGGTAGAATGACCACTTCGGTGCTCAGGTCAACAACCAAATCAGACCTTTAGCCTAAAGGTTAGGTGGGGGTGACCGCAGCCCCCGAGATCCTGTCGCGAGCTCATTTATTCGACCTGGAAGCAGCAAGAAGCTTTCCATCAACGAAAGGCTAAAGGCAACTGCAGTACATTTAGTGAGTTGTGCATACTGTGCATTGGTTGATCTGTACACGCACGACATCTAAATAATAATCCTTGGCGCGCGTCGACGCCTCCGTTCCGACCCTGAGCGCCCTCCGGCGCGTTTCGACGGCGGTTTTTGCGTTTGTTCTTCGTACCAGTGGCGTGGTTCATGTCTTGCCTACCAACGGCCTCAGCCGCCGCTACTGGTGGGCGACGGCGACGTACTGCTCGAAGGTGCGCACGAGCTCCGAGAAGGACGGGCGCAGGCTGGGCTCGCGCATCCAGCAGGACCGGATGAGCCGCGCGAAGAAGCGCGGGCACGAGCGCGGAATCGGCGGGCGCAGGTCGTGGTTGAGCACGCCCAGCGCCACCTGGATCTGCGTCATGCCGTCGTACGGGCACTGGCCCGTGAAGATCTCCCACACTACGATGCCGAACGAGAAGACGTCCGCCTTCTCCGTGTACTTGCGGTTGCCCAGCACCTCGGGACTGCAGCACGAGCACAAAGCAAACAAAACAGGTCAGCGCCCCTTCAAGATCCAAGGAAATGCTCGAGTCGCTAGTCACGTACGCCATCCACTGCACAGTGCCGCAGTTGCCGGTCATGGTCTGGATCTGCGCCTTGACGCGCGAGAGACCAAAGTCCGAGATCTTGATGGAGAAGTCGCGCTCCACGAGCAGGTTGGGGCTCTTCATGTCGCGATGCAGGATCGGAAGCTCGAAGTGATGCAGGTAGCTCATGCCACGCGCCGTATCGAGCACGAAGCGAGCGCGCATCTCGTCCGTGAGCTGCCGCCGTCTTGTCCGCAACACCGCCCAGAGAGAGCCTTGCTCCACGAGCTCGATCACGAGAGCTCGGTTCTCTGGGGCCAGACATGCCCCAAGCAGCATGCAGATGTTGGGGTGGTGCAGGAAGCTCATGATCTTGACCTCCGTCTCGAACTCCCGCACGACGTCGGCGCTCAGGTTCTGGCGGATGAGCACCTTGACGGCCACGTCTCGACCCTTCCACGAGGCCTTGAACACCTTGCCGAACGCGCCTTCGCCGATCACGCGGCCGATGACCACGTCGGCCATGTCGACGTTTTGGTGGGGCTTGAGGAACTGACTGTTGTCCTTGGCGTCGGAGCAGTTGCTGAGCGCCGATGACTCGGACTCGGGCTCCTCTCTCGTCATGACGACGTTCGTCTGGCGGCGACGCTGGGTCGAGGCCTTGTTGGGGTCGAACCAGTCCGACAGGTACAGCGGGATGCCCGCCTGCCGCGCGCCCTCCAGCCTCATGGAGTTGTTGCTGCCCTCGTCGGCCATGCAGGACATGGGCGCGTCGCTGTCGACGCCCACGGGGCTCCTGCCCAGGCCGTACAGACCGGCGCGCGGGCTGTCGTAGTATCCGCCGCCCTCCTGGCCGAGCTGGCGGGCCAGCGCCGCCATGGCGGCGTCCGCCTCGGCGTGGCGCTGCTTCTGCTTGAGGACCTTCTTGCCGGGGCGGCGCTGCATGAGCGGCGTGTCGACGTCGGCCGGCTCGGCGGGCCGGAGCTGCGTGGGCGAGTGCGCCTTGCCGTGGACGTAGTCGAGCTCCATCTTGTGTGTGCGGATGGGCGAGCCGCACAGGCGGAAGAAGCCGCGGCGGTCGCCGAGACTGCCGCGCCGTCTTGACGCCGACGCCATCGAGAGCTGCTTCGGAGCGGGGATTTTCGCGTGCGGCTGGCGGCGCAGGAAGCGAAGTGAGCCGCTCGGTGGCCCCTGCATTTTTTCAAGCGTGATCTCCTGAACCGAAACGGCGCAAGGTTCCACGCCGCGCTTAAGTTGCCGTCCGTTACCGATTTTGGATCAAATGACTGCGGCGAGTATGGCCGTGTCTCAGTTCTCGACTAAGTAGCTCCACTCGCGTAGGTTGCGCTCAGATCAACTTCAACATCGGCTTCCAGCCTGAGCATATGGATCGCGCCCCCAGCTGCGCTGGAACAATTGGAGCAAAAGACGCTGCGGTCATCGTCACGCTGTTGCTGGCTGCGAGGCGCTCAAAGCATTCGTCACTCGATTCGCAGACCCGCCGTCGCCCCCGCCGCTGGGTGCTGCGCGTGTGGCGGTGACCGCGCTGGGCTTCGCGCCGGCGCTGCGAGTCAGCGTTTGCATCCAAAGCGCGGCACCATAACGAGCCGAAAATTGCGAATCTCACATGCAGCTAGCGCCGCGTAGCCAGCGAAGGCTCCATTCGCCTGCCCATCAGGCTAAGGTAGTCATTCTACGTTCGATTTCGATGTGGGTGAAGGTGCAGAAGCCCTCGGCAGAGCGCTTCCTGAACCACTGCATGGAGCTGCAGCGGCATAAGTCCATCCTGGCGACGAGGGTGTCTTCAACTCGGAGATATATAAGCAAGCAGAAGGTCCGCGTGAAGAGCTCGTTTGTCGCTTCTCGGCGGCGGTTCGCTTGGTTCGGCCGCCTTCGGGCCACTGCGGCTGCAACTTCCCGCCGTCTGCCAGCTCTGCTGAGCACAAGCAGCCAAGGCTTGAACCAAGCACCAGGTTTTTGTCAGTTTCTGACTATTAGAGAGCTTGGATGTGTCGAGTTCCTTTCAGTGCTGGAGCTGGAGCACCGACGCGAGCGAGAAGCAGCTCACCATTTGTTTTTATTTTTTCTCACGTCCTGGCCTGGATAGCCGACGTTGCATGGTCAAGTTGAAACCGTTGAAGTTGCCGTGAGGCCATCTCAGATCTACGTCTACTTCGGCGGGCGTCGACACTTTGCTCAACGGATGCAATGCAAGCCACGACTAGCTACATGTACACGCTAGTAGCTTGATTTTCGTGCGCAGCAATGTCTGTGTCCAACCCCAGCATGTGCATGTTCCTGCATGGTGTACCTGCATGGTTCTGCGTCCAAGTGCTCGGCGCCGATGCCTTCGTAAACAAACAACACTCACGCCAAATACACGGATCTCATACGCCCTACTTCAAAGTAGCCGGCCAGCGAGAAGCGGGTGGAGCTCCACCAAAATGCTCATCGATCGTACTGCGTTCGTGTATCGGAGAACCTATGCTCATCTTATTCCTGCTTGGGCCAATCTGGGTGCCACTACGAAGTCTCACGTGGCGAGGCTGGCAGAGCAGCGAGCGACATGTCGGAGGGCGCGCGCTACATTATTCGGACTGGCATAACATCATTGATTGACGTACAGCAACAACTTCAGCCAGCCTGCATTGCATTCTGGCAGCCTTTAACTTGACCGACGTGCTCCGTTTGCGGCAAAATCTGATCGCTCAAGTGCAGCCCCTCTTCATCCGCTTCGGTCGGCTTCGTGGGCGCTAGGAGCGGCTGCAGCGCCAAGCCATCCGCAGGAAAGAGCTGTCCTCCACCACCTCAACCTGCGCGGCCGGCTGGAACCCCGCGAACTGGAACGCGTGGGCTGCACGTAGGTCGCATCGAGATCCCGCGCACGCAGCAAACGCTACACACTCGGCTCGACTAGTCTACTAGCGCAATGAAGACACGACGGAGCTCTGGCCTGGCCTCGACGACGGTGCATGGCTCGGAAGCCGCCCACTGCAATAACCATCAAGCTCACGGCCAAGACCGACCCAGACGTCCACTTCGTGAGACACTGGAAGAGAACCAAGACCAAGGTAACAAGGTCGGCCATGCATGTACAGTGACCAACACTCCAACTTGAAGCGGATGCGCCTCGCATATCATTGGCTGAAAGGCTGTCCCTTTTCGATGTCCGACAAGATGTTCTTATACAGCACATTACCGTTCCTTTACAGAGATGTCGTCGGATGGCCACCAGCAATCTGTGACGTGGAGCAGAACCCATTGCCATCTCGCCTCTTCCTCTCTCTCGACGCCTCTAGCCGCTCTGCACCATGCCCAAGGACAAGAAGAAACGCGCGCGCAACGTGGGCACCGCCTCGGCCGCGCAGAATGCGCTGGGCCGCACGCTGGCCACGCCCAACACGAACCTGGGCCAGCATTTCCTGAAAAACCCCATGATCGTGACGCAGATCGTGGCCAAGGCCGCCATCCGCGGCACGGACGTGTGTCTGGAGGTCGGTCCCGGTACCGGTAACCTGACGGTGAAACTTCTGGAGCAGGCCAAGCGCGTGGTGGCCGTGGAGTTCGACCCACGAATGGTGGCGGAGCTGCAGAAGCGCATCCAGCACACGGAGCACATCAACCACCTGCAGATCATCCACGGCGACGTCATGCGCGTGCAGCTGCCCTTCTTCGACGTGTGCGTGGCCAACCTGCCGTACCAGATCTCGTCGCCCTTCGTATTCAAGCTGCTGGCCCACCGCCCCATGTTCCGCTGCGCCGTCGTCATGTTCCAGGAGGAGTTCGCCAAGCGCCTCAGCGCCAAGTACGTTGCAGTTTGACTTTTTGGTGCAGTAAGGACATTGTGTGCTGACGTTGGTGTTGTTGCTTTCATTGGGGCAGGCCTGGCGACGAGCTGTACTGCCGTTTGTCGGTGAACACGCAGTTGCTCGCCAAGGTGGACCAGCTGCTGAAGGTCGGACGCAACAACTTCCGTCCGCCGCCCAAGGTCGAGTCGCGTGTGGTTCGCATTGAGCCGCGCAACCCTCCGCCGCCGGTCAACTTTACGGTGCGTTGTTGTTTGAGTGGATATATTTCTGCTGAGGTTGAAAAGCTGATGTATTGCTGCTTGGATTGATAGGAGTGGGATGGTATGATTAAGATCATCTTCAACCGTAAGAACAAGACGCTGCACTCGTGCTTTGTCACCAAGTCGGTGCTGAAGATCTTGGAGGAGAACTACAAGACGTACTGCTCGCTGAACAACGAGGTACGAGCATGCAAAGCTTTGCTATTCATGATAAACCCAGCGTTTATTAAATATTTTTATGTGTTGTGGTTGCAGCTTCCGGAAGGCGACATCGACATGAAGAAGAAGGTGGAAGAGGTGCTGGCTTTCGAGAAGTTTGGCGAGAAGCGCGGTGCCAAGATGGACCAGGACGATTTCTTGCTGTACGTTTCAAAGTTGATTTTGATGAAGTTGTAAAATCGACACTAATGTCTTGCTTTTCATGTGATCTTAGGCTGCTGGAGCGGTTCAACGCCAACAAAATCCACTTTTCCTAGATCTTCAGTCGTCGTCTGGCTTACCACGCAGGCTGCAACAGTCTTGTCATCGCTCCGATTGCCTCGGTCCTCTCGGTTTGGCTATCATATTCACACGCATATATCGGTATATAGATTTCACTGTTTGCTTGCTACCGATGTCACCCATGTCCGTCCGTTATCCTTGTTCATCCCATGTGCCTAAAAAGGAAGAGGTGGAGGTGCTCATGCTTGAACGTGTGTCGTGAAAATAGATGCGAAACCACAGCAAGATACTTCCCAGGCCTCGTTCTCGCTGGTGCTGTTGTCACCCACACCGGGAGTTTCTACCTCGGACAAACTGCACAGCTCGTAGCAGACGGAAGAAGCACACGAGCTGAAAGTGATCCGTGAGAAATGGAGCGTGAGCGCGATCGCGAACGAGGTAGTCGCGATGGCGATCGAGGGTACGACGACTACGGGTATGAACGCAGCCACCGCGATAGCGAGCGAGTTCGATCGAAAGACCGAGACCGCGAGCGCGATTGGGACGAACGCAGCACCACAAGTAGCACCAGTAGCACCCGCGATCGAGATCGTGAGAGACGTCGCGACAAGGACAGCAGTCGAGATCGTGATCGGGACTGGGACGAACGCAGCACTGCAAGTAGCACCAGCACCAGCCGCGATCGAGACCGTGAGAGACGCCGCGATAAAGACAGCAGTCGCGATCGAGACAGAGACCGCGACCGTGATAGAGATCGCCATCGCACCCGGGATCGTCGCGATCGAGACTACGACTATGATCGGGATCGGGACTACGATAGGCGAGACTATTCGTCACGCTACAGCAGCTCATCATTCTCTCGTCCGGCGACGTATGACCCACGACTTGCACAACGGACGCAGCTGCGAAGCCGACGAGGCGATGGTGATGAAGACGATGATCGCTATGAAGACGTCATGCGCAGAAAGCAACTGCAGGACGAGTTAGGCCTCTCAGACGAAGAAGAGCTCCCTCCCGACGCTGCAAACGGTGGAGGTTCGTCGCGCAGCAACAACTCGGCGGCTGGCGATAATGAGTCTAGAGCTCGCATCCGGGACCTTCAGCGCGAACTCAAAGAAGCCCGCGATGCAGAGCAAAAAGCGCAGGAATCCCTCAGTAAGCTGCAGCTGCTTAGCAAGTCTCAGACTGCCATCCTCAAGACTTCCATGAGCAAGAAACTCCAGCAGAAGGAGGCGTTGGTGGAAGACATGACCAACGTGATCAAGGAGCTTGAACGCAAGCTCACCGAAGCTGGGGTGACGTTCGATGCGTACACTGTTCCTGAATCGGCTCGAGTATCGTCCGGACGACTGAATGCTGCTGGTACACCATCAGAAAACGACGGTGAAGCTGAAATCAACGCTATGAAGACCGAGATGGAGCGCTTAATTGAGGAGAACAGTGCGCTCAAGAAAGAGAAGGCTGCTGGGGTGAAAACGAACGGCACCGAGTCGAAGCCAGCTCCACCCTTGGACTCCTCTTCGGATAATATCGTCAGCAAGGCTGCTCTTGAAAGTATGGAGGCGGAGAAGCGCCAGCTGGTGCGCCAGTTGAAGGAGATGCAGCTGCAGTTGACCGCAATAAAGTCCGCGGCGCCACCACCGCCTGCTCCAGCACAGACACCAACATCTGCGTCGGAGAGCGCCCCAACCTCTGCGTCTACCAGCTCGGAGGAGATCCAGGCGTTGAAGAGCAAGGTACGCTGTGATCATGCCTTGCATTTGATATCGTTCCCGCCCATTCACCATGAGGGTTGCCTCGTAGCTTTCTGCTTCTGAGTCCTTGCACCAGAACGCCCACAAAACGGTACGTCAGTGCTAGTACAGCTTCGTCGAAAAACTTGCGTTAATGATGAAACCTCGTTGCCACATGCTGAAGATCCAGAAGCTTGAGAAGGAGATCGCTACTGCAGCAGCGGCAGCTTCTCAGGCAGCTTCAGCATCCGAAGCGGGCAGCGGACCTGCACAAGGACCTTGCAAGCTTGAAACAGAGCTTCAGGTACAGCTAATTCATTTTGCTGCTCTGAGTTGCCGGGCTTGGTTTCGCACGGGAGACTGACATCAGCACGTTTGCCACTACAGTCTCAAGTAAGCGATCTGGAGGCGCGCCTTGCCGAGCTTCTAGCTCAACTGGAGCAACAGCAGCGCGATAGCCAGGCGAAGGCAACTGCAGCTGATGAGCGCTATGCGAAGCTCAAGGCGACTGCCGAGGGCGAGCTCAACAAGATCAAGGAGCAGGCGAAGAAGGCCATCTTGGAACTCAAACGGAAGCTGGAGGTTGCATCCAAGGGTCAACAACGCAAGACGGCAGCTATTACTGGCATGAGCTCGCAATTGCGCGCCCAACGTGCTGACATTGTAGCCTTGAAATCACAAGTGACAGCGCAGCAGCAGCAGGTTCCCATCTTGGCGAAGCAGCTCACGGATAAAATCGTGCAACGCGTGCAGAAGCAAGCGGATGCCATGGCCGGTGTTGTTGACAATTACAAGCGGGAGATGAAGGAGCGCAAGCGCTTGTTCAACCTCGTCCAGGAGCTTAAGGGCAACATTCGTGTGCTTTGCCGCGTGCGCCCGATATCCAAGTCGGAAGTTGCTCAAGGCAGCAAGATGATCTGCAAATTCACGCCCGAAGAGATCACACTAACCGGCGAGAAGGGCAAGGTGAAGACTTGGGAGTTTGACCACGTCTTCGACATGGGCTCAACACAAGACCAACTCTTCTCAGAAGTGAAGCCGCTGGTCACCAGCATTCTCGATGGCTATAGCGTGTGCATCTTCGCCTACGGCCAGACTGGGTCAGGCAAGACGTTCACCATGTCGGGGCCTCCAGAAAATCCGGGCATCAACACGCGTTCGCTGCAGGAGCTCTTCGAGCGGAAGTCCGACCGTATCAAAGAGTACCAGGACGAAATCACTGTCAGCATCATGGAAATCTACAACGAGCAGATCCGAGACCTGTTGGCTCAAGACGCTGCAAACACGAACCTGCAGGTTCGCCAGGGCCCCACAGGCAACTTTGTCCCAGGTCTTACAGTGGTCCCAGTGCAAACACTCGACGAAGTCTTCGAGCTCATCAAGCGCGGCAATAAGAACCGCAGCACGCACTCCACGGACATGAACGAGCACAGTAGTCGAAGCCACTCGATCCTCTCGATCCAACTCAAGAGCCTCAACATTGTCACTAATGTCGTCGCAAGCGGCAAGCTGTTCCTTGTCGATCTTGCTGGTTCCGAGCGACTCTCGAAGACAGGGGCTGAAGGCCAACGGCTCAAGGAGGCACAGAACATCAACAAGTCGCTGTCGGCACTCGGGGACGTCATTGCAGCGCGTGCGAGTAAGCAGAAGCACGTGCCATACAGAAACTCGTCTCTTACGTACCTTCTCCAAGATGCGCTGGGTGGTGACTCGAAGACACTCATGGTGGCCTGCGCTAGTCCGGTGGACTACAACAGCGAAGAAACCTTCTGCACGCTCAACTTCGCTGCCAGAACCCGAAGTGTTGAGATGGGCAAGGCCACCAAAAACGTCGCTCAAGCTACATAATTCAGTTAAGTTTGTCCGCTGGACTTCATGCAAAACTCCGCTGAACTTCATGCAAAACTATTCTGCGAAGCAATACGATACCATCCGGAGCACTAGCGATCACCTCCGTAGTCACCGCTAGAAAGCTGTCTTAACTTGCCTTGGATTAGTCAAGCTCGACGTCGTTTGCGACGATTTGATTTAGCATCCATCTGTTCGCCATCGGCTAGTGTCTTCGACACTTCGTGGCCATTCCCCCCGCTCTTTGCTTCGTCCTGCTCACGCGGGCTGGACTGTTCATTGTGGTCTTCGCCTACAACCTTTTCATCATCACTCGATTCCGTCTCTTCACCACGGCGCTGCTCTAGCCGTTGTCGTTTCCGGGGTGGCACGTATTCTGTGGCCGACGAATCCTCATCAGCCACTTCACGTTTATGCCGTGATGTCCCTTGTCGATTATTATGGTCGACATGCTCGCCGTCGTCTGCCCTGTTGGGACCATCAGGTTTGTTGTCGGTTTCCGCGGCTGCATTGTTATCGCTCTCTTCATTGCCTTCTTCCTCCTCTTCTGCAATAGACGCCCTTTGCATCGGGGTAGGCTCTGAGCTAGCTGATCGCCGTTTGCTTTTCAGTGGGGGAGAAAACATCGCGTCAGTCGGTGGACGTCCCTTTCCATTCGCAGTGGTGGTAGTGAGCGAAGTTTGAAAGTCGAACACTGCCCGCCACTGCGGGCCTAGATCCTCACTGTCGCTTGGAATATCACTCAGGGCTTGTAGTCGCTCCATAAAGTACTCGCGGAGTTGACTCATGCTTGAATTGTCCAGACGAGACAGATATACTCTCATAGTCTCCAGAAACTGGAACTGGGCTTGGTGCTCAAACGAGTAGCGAACGCCTTCACGCACGAAGCGCAAAAATGGCGCTTTCAGCGATGAAGGAATTTTTCCAACCCCGAGCGATTGACTGAACCTTTTAGCAAGCTCTCGCAGCTCCTGCTCGCTACTGTCCACCTTCTCTCTCAGCTCGTCTTGCTCGGTAACTTCGTCGTCGTTGCCCGAGCTCGACACAGATGCTTCAAGGTCTTGTTTCCAGATGAGAATGGAGTTGAACATTTGTCGAAGGGCAGTCATTTGGATCTCAAGATACCGCACGGGGGCATCTGTCTTCACTTGTTTGCCAAATGCTTTTACAACCTCGACACTCGGCTTCCCGCTCGACGTGAAGTACTGTAAAACTGCCGCAGCTTGGTGCTTCTTGCTTGGATTACACAGTGACACCCGACCAAGTGCGACGAGTAGCTCTGCTTTGCGTTGCTGCTTTGCTTCCCACTCACGGATTGCATCGGCCTTTTCCTGTGCGACGGCTGGGTCACTTTCCACGATATCGTCTTCAAATTCTGGCTCCTCCTCTTCGGCATCATCCATCTCGCTTTCAAAATGCATTTGCGTAAGTAGAACGAGAATCTTCGGCAATGACCACTCCAAGGAAACGTACGGTGCTGCTGCATCTTGGAACTTTTCCACAAACAAGCATCGTACGTCGCAGAACGTTAGAAAGGCGAAACGCTGTGCCTCCTTCACATAGGAGATGACATCCTCGTCTTCGAACTCAATCTCCTCCATCGATTCCACGGATTGCACATCAGGTGATTCTTCACTTTCCTTGTGTTCGTTGTCTGGGGTCTCTTTTGCTCTAGTCAAGTGCATCTCCAAGACCGAAATCAATGCTTCTTCTAGCGTGGATCGTGTTTGACAAACTTGAAGGATCTGACGCTGGATGGCAGGATCAGCTTCAGTCATATCAGCATCATCGGTAACACTCAAAGAGTTATCGCGTTTCTTCTCTTCATCAATGGTCTTGAAAATTGGAACGGTAGACCACAGCAAATCCGAATAAATAATTGTCAAGCTGTGCTTGATGGTGTCAACATGCCGAAAACCCTCATCCAGCTCGGAAACCGATTTTGTTCGACGACGCAACAAATCTCCCACCGCCACGACAAGTCTGTCCATCCGTCCTTGATGCAGGACTGGTTCATTCAGCTCGCCATCATCGTCCACTCCAGATGCAGACGAAGTCAAATCTGGTGGAAGGTACTCGCGGGGATTGAGGTATCGCACCAGGCATTTGAGGCGGCACAAAGCAACTCGCAAGCCGTACTCAACGTCCGAAATATCTTTCACCTTTGCGCTTTTCCTCTTCTTCCCTTTTGTAATTTTACTCCGCGTTGTCGGTGTATCATTGCCAGACGTTGCCAACGCATCACAAAGCTTTTCATCAGCTTCCAAAAGCCAATCGATCTTCTCCATGACCTCTTGGACGAGTTCATGCACAATCACTTCAGCTTCACGCCTGAGTGACGCGTGCTCCGTTTGGATCAAATGGGTAATTGACAGCGACAAGCTCATCAGCAGCCCCTCGTCGGAGTGTAGCAAGTACGCGTGCTTCAACTTCTGGAGTAGTTCCTTGATTTGGCCGCTGTGGTGGCCTATCACCTCACTCTTCAACGTTAACATGGGAATCAACTGCAAGAGCAACTCAAGCTTGTCCGAATCGGCTTGATACAAAAGAAACAAGCTCGGAATATCCTTGCAGTAAGCAACGGTGATTTCCTCCTAATCAAGAAAAATATACAAGCAGATTAGAATAAGGAGAACAATATTTCCAGTATAAGCAAAACGTACTCTCATCTGCTCCGATTCTTTCTTGGCAGCAGCGCTTGTTCCTCGGTTTATATCATTACAGACAAGTTTGCTTATCGACGCAACGAGGAGGCGTAGCAGGATAGTCTGCTGCTCGCTGCTCAGGTCCGGTGCGCTCTTGTCCACTAGGAGCAAGTTTGTTATTAATCGCCAGTCCTGAAGGACAACTGCACAGAAGAACAAAAGTTAGAGGTTGGCCACATGACAACATTGGGATAATGCAACGTACGGCAGTCATCCAATCCCCAGAAAGCATCGACAAGCGTCTCCACAGCAGCGTCAGGTATACCGTGATTTTGGATGTATTCCTCCGCAAATTCCACCAGTGCAATAGCTTGAGTGTTGAGTTGTTCTTTCTTCAATTTTACGTCCTTCGTCTTTGACACAGCAACACCAAACGCGTCATACTGAAGACAAACAAATTCCGCGGCGGCCTTGCGAATGTCCTCGTGCTCTGCGTCAAACACCAACTTCTCGACGGGCTGAAGCTCTATATCAGAGCTGATAAGACTGCGCTTGTCAACTGCGATTAAAAGGTGGATGCACTCCTCAACAACAGCGTCGTCTACATCGCTGCAGAGCTCCAGATAACGCGGCAAAAAGCGAGAAGTAAACAGCTCCAGCTTCTCGGTGAACGCATCGTTCTCGTACAACTCGCACAAAATTTCGATCACCTCAAGTCGAACTGACGCAGATTTGTCGCTCAAGAGCCAGCCAAGATACTTCAAGAAATTATCCTTCAGGAACTGGTCTGGTAATGTGATGATCCAGTGACCTAGGCACTGCACACTCACCACACGAATCTCCGGCATGACATCGCGATACCGATGGACCACTACTCCAGTGAAAATCAAATTGACGAGCTTCAGCACCTGCTGGAACCGGGTCTCGTATAGTGCCTTGTTGTCCTTCAGTAGTGCTATTTTCTGGACATTTGGGGTTTTCTGGGAACCAGGGGTCGTACCAGGAGACCTAGTTTCCGCGTTCAGTTGTCTCGTCGAGATCGCTAGCTGCTCCGAAATAGTTGCCGCCGTTCGCACCAAAGAATTGCTCAACGCTAGAACTGCTACAGTCGATGTGTGCCGGATAGGTCGAAGTTCAGAGCTGTTAAAAATTGGCGCCAAGTTAGTAAAAGCAGACAAAAGCTAATCCTAACATTTGCTTTACCTTGACAACGTCGTCAGCCAGACAATAAAATTGTTAGGGATATCCGACGTGAACAGGATCTCGCTCTCGTAGCACTCTTTCACGAAAGCCTCCCAGAACTCCTCAAAATTGCGCTGAAACTTCTTCATCCCCCTCCCTCGAGACGTCAACGGATATTCTCCATTGACATTTTCAAGATCCTCGACCACATGTTCCGCCAATTCACTCATATCCAGCTCAACCAACGGCACCGCGTCAGGAACGCATTGGCCAGTTCCTCCGCAAGCCTGGCAACAGTTGCAAAAATGTAAAAAAAAAACTTCATCCTGAACACTCCAGCATAAACATATCCTCCTTACCTGCAGCACGAAGTTTAGCACCTCTTTCGTGGCCTTCTCATCGTCTTCTTCGAAGCGGTCGCGCCATTCAGTCAACAAGTTCTCAAGCGACGCCTTGCCGCTCTTAATTGCCTCTGCATGATCCAAACAGTCCATTCCGTGAGCACCGCTGTCATGCACCAACATATTCTTGAATCAACGTACCGAACAGCGAGGCTCCATCCTCCTCCTGGTCGTTATCATTCCCTGCCGGTGCTGCTGCACTTTCGTCCGTCTCCGCAGTTGCCACACTTCTCTTGGTGCTTCTTCCGTCTTCACCCGAACGCAAACTCCGCGTTTGGCTCCATGGCGAGCGCTTCCGTCTGCTGGCTCTGGCCTTGGCCTGAGGGGTCTGCACCGCTTTACCAGCCCTCTTGGGCTTCTTGACCTTGGTCCCAGAGGGTGTGAACTCCTCGTCCTCGCCTTCCCGCCCTTCGTCGCTGCAATTTGCAACACATACACTCACCAGCGCGTCAACAAGTTGCACTAACGAATACAAAAGCTCACATGATTGGGATCTGACAGCTACCCAATGCGCCAACGACCATCACTCTTGTGCGCATTCTGACGTACCTGCTTTCCTCGACCTGCTCGTTGTCCACGAGCGTCTCCTGCTGCTCTTCTTCGGCGTTTGTCTCGTCATCACTTGCGCGCGTGTCCTCCACCTGGTAGATCGGCGTGGGCTTACGCCGAAGCCGCGAGCTGCGCCGCGCACTCATCGCTGCAGGTGTCTGCGAGTGCGGAATGGCCTGGCTAAAAGACTGAAAGCTGGCGCCAACAGACAGAAAGGAAATCATCCTTTAAGAGAGCGACCATCACTCTGTCTGTTCTTATACAGAGATGAGCCACCGCCAATCACAACTTCAACCACGCAGCTGGTGATCATTCCGGTTTACCTCCAAGATGCCGCAGCTCCGTTGGCTTCTGCTGCTTCTGGGCACGTGCACGGCCTCCACCTACACGGACAATGTATGTGACGACCCGAAAGTGTCCTCGCTGCCGTTCTGCGACGGGTCGCTTCCTATCGACGCGCGTGTCAGCGATCTAGTGAACCGCATCCCGCTCGAGCAGGCCGTTGGGCTTCTCGTCAACAAGGCGTCAGCCGCTCCTAGCGTCAACGTGCCCAGCTATGAGTGGTGGAACGAGGCGCTGCATGGCGTGGCGCTGTCCCCCGGTGTGACGTTCAAGGGCCCGTTGACTGCGGCAACCAGCTTCCCGCAGGTGCTCAGCACCGCCGCGTCGTTCAACCGAACGCTGTTCTACCAGATCGCAGAGGCGATCTCCACCGAAGCGCGAGCGTTCTACAACGAGAAGAACGCGGGATTGACGTTCTGGACACCTAATGTGAACATTTTCCGCGACCCGAGATGGGGACGCGGACAGGAGACCCCTGGAGAAGACCCGTACCTCACGGGCGAGTACGCTGTGGCATTTGTGAGAGGGCTTCAGGGTGAAGCTATGGAAGGGCACGAAAATAAGGACGACAACAAATTCTTGAAGATTTCGAGCTGCTGCAAGCACTTCTCTGCCTATTCGCAGGAAGTGCCGAGACACCGCAATGACGCTATCGTGACCAAGCAAGACCAAGCGGACACCTACTTTCCCGCGTTCGAGGATTGTGTGAAGCGAGGCCACGTGAGTTCTATCATGTGCAGCTACAATGCTGTGAACGGCATTCCATCTTGTGCCGACAAGGGACTGCTGACAGATTTGGTGCGCAACCAATGGAAGTTTGACGGGTACATTACCTCAGATTGCGAGGCAGTAGCAGATGTGATCTACCGTCACCACTTCACGCAGTCGCCGGAGCAAACGTGTGCTACGACGCTGGACGCGGGAATGGACCTGAACTGTGGGGAGTTCTTGAGACAACATCTCTCAAGTGCGATAGAGCAGGGCATTGTTTCGACGGAGATGGTGCATAACGCTCTGAAGAACCAGTTCCGTGTGATGATGAGACTGGGCATGTTCGAGAAGGGAACTCAGCCATTTAGCAACATCACCAAGGATGCTGTAGACACAGCTGCGCATCGACAGCTCGCACTTGAAGCCGCTCGCCAGAGCGTCGTGCTACTCAAGAACGAAGATAATACCCTGCCGCTGGCCACAGACGTTTTTTCTAAGGACGGATCACTTGCACTTATTGGGCCACACTTCAACGCGAGTACTGCACTACTTGGAAATTACTTCGGCATACCTTCGCACATAGTTACCCCACTGAAAGGGGTGTCATCCTATGTGCCGAACGTTGCATATTCGCTTGGATGTAAGGTATCGGGTGAGGTTCTACCCGACTTCGACGAGGCCATTGAAGTTGTCAAGAAAGCGGACCGCGTGGTTGTCTTCATGGGTCTTGATCAAAGCCAAGAAAGAGAAGAGATCGATCGCTACCATCTCAAGCTACCAGGCTTCCAGATCGCACTTCTTAATCGAATCCTTGCAGCTGCTTCGCACCCGATTGTCTTGGTGCTTATCTCCGGTGGCAGCGTTGACTTGTCACTTTACAAGAATCACCCGAAGGTTGGAGCAATTGTTTTTGGTGGGTACCTTGGACAAGCCGGTGGCCAGGCTTTGGCCGATATGCTGTTTGGCAAGTACAGCCCTGCTGGAAGGCTTACACAAACGTTTTACGACTCGGACTACGTGAACACCATGCCAATCTATGATATGCACATGCGTCCGACGTTTGTGACGGGCAATCCGGGCCGGACGTACCGCTTTTTCAGCGGTGCCCCAGTCTACGAGTTTGGTTTCGGGTTGTCGTACACCACGTTTCACAAAGCCTGGTCCATCGAGCCACCGAATGTGCTGGATGCTGCGCTCCTCACTGAGCAACTCCAGGGGGGTGCACGTAGCGGAAGTCGTTCTTGCGTGGCATCGTTTGAGATCACAGTGACAAACTTGGGTGACGTTGAAGGTGAAGATGCCATCCTCATTTACGCCGAGCCTCCTCATGCCGGAGAAGGTGGTCGCCCGCTGAGGTCGCTGGTGGCGTTTGAGCGCACGGCGCTAGTTACCACAGGAAAAACAGCCACCGCGGATTTCTGCCTGGAAGCTAAGGCGTTTGCTCTCGCCAACGCAGAGGGCAGCTGGGTCGTCGAACAGGGCAACTGGACTATTCACGTTGACACGCTGCAACACAGAGTGAACGTGCAAGCGCCCATCGCTCGCGAGCCAGCGGTCGTTGAAGAGATCACACGCAAGCCGCTACCGCGCGGTGCAGTGTGGGCCTAATCCATTGTGTGAACGCGCGCCGGAGGAACCACATCACAAGACACCCGAGTACTTCGCTCGACCGCTTTGGTGAAACATTGGTTTTAGGAGTTTGTTGAGCCGAGGAGGCGATGGTCATCGCCGTGAGCTTCACAAGCCTAACATTTGCATGTCATGATTGAACTCGATGAAAGAGTCCAGAGCACACAGAATCCAAACTGTAAGAAAAACGATATCTTTGTTGGTTCATTGCATCACTTCCAATATGACGGAGTACATGAGCCAAGGCAACGGACGGCGAGCCCAACAGTGAATACGAGCTGGTGGTTTCTAGCTCCAATCGATGAAGGAAAACAAATCCACAAACAAATCGGCGAAGACGGAATTCGGGAGAACCACGAGCTCTTCGCAGCGGAGATATGACGAAGAAAGCAGCCACCACAGGAACTTGGGCATGGCCTTCACAAGCATCTAGGGGAGGTCGCTTCACGCGTGATACATTAATCAGACCGGCATAACACGGCACGCCAGTTGGCGCTCGACCTACAGCGCAACAGCTACGCCTGCCCTCTCCTCATAGCCTTAAACTTGTTATTCGGTTGTGTCGTGGCCAAATCGGGTCGCCAAAGGGCAATACCGGTGCCTCTCGTTTCCCTTCCGACCCTTCACCAGATTCGCGGGCGCTAGGAGCGGCTGCAGCCCCAAGCCATCCGCATCCGCAAGAAAGAGCTGTCCTCCACCACCTCGACCTGCGCCGCCGGCTGGAACCCTACGGACTGGAACAGCTTCATCGCCGCGAACGAGTCGGTCTGCGGCACGTACGCGACTAGCGCCTGGGGGCGTGTCGGTTGCTGCGCATAGATCGCCTCTATGTCCTGCAAATGCGCCACAACACAACTGTTAGACTACCGCAGAGTTCAACGTCATGCGCCTGCAGCGCTCACCTCAACGACGGCGCGGAGGAACCGCCTGGCGTAGCCCTGCCGCCGCTTGCTTTCCACGACGCCAAAGTGCTCGATGATGGCCACTTGGCTGCCACTCTCCTCGGAGGCGGGTCGCCAGCGTGCGATGCCCATCGGTCCGTCGCCAACTACATGTAGAGCATTATACATCGCAGTCACAAGCCTCGTAAGCGTCCGATGTCAATTTGAGACAGCTCATGACTCCGTCCGCACCAAAGGCGACCAGATGCCGCGTCATGGGGTCGTCCGGCAGCGCCTTGGCCATGTTGGGGAAGATCCGGCCGCGCAGGATCTTGATGAACGTCCACAAGGCCAAGTTGGCCCTCTCCAGCGCCGCCGCAGTGCCCGCGACCGCCGCGTCCTGCCCCTGGCAGTCGAAACTCTGCACCGTGAAGTCGAACGCCGTGAACGTCATCTACAGCAAATAATAGACAGATAGCTACCTGTTTAGCCAGTATAACGGGATTATAGCCACACTAGAGAGACAAAGACCTTGAAGCACTTGTACGAGCGGCTCTTGCCCGTGTGCCCGCAAATGGGGCACTTGACGCCCTGCAGCACGCAAGAAAGCCACAAGTTAGCGGCCGATTACCCATTAGAGCTGAGGACGGAGCCACCCATTAGCTGTTCAGTGCTGTGCAGCAGCCGCGACGTACTTGCTCGTGGCTGTGTCCGCAGACGCCGCAGCGCAGCGCCATGGCGTCGTCCTTGGCCTCCATTACACTCCACGACAAAAAGACATGGACACCACCAAAAGTGGCTGTAACTTCGTCATTTTTTATCGTTTTAAGGTGCGGTTTGGACTAGAGTTGCAGAACACGCTGAAAAAGATCTGCACGCTGCTAACACGCGCGCTTTTGCGCTTCTTCGGGTAGCTCACATACAAATCACTGGTTCTGCCCAGGTGACAAAACTTATGGACAGCTAATCCCCATACAAAATCCTATATAAACCAAAACCCCTTACAAATGATACGACTTGGACTTTGTATGGGGCGACAAAGGAACCCATGATTTCTCCACTCTACCTTAGTACTGAGCCATATATCATCTACCAACAGTATTGCGATTCCTGAGGATACGCATTCCTGGTAGTCATGTACCTAAGTACCGCAAAAACGGTACACACAGTGGAATTTAGTTATCCGGAGCGGACCATGTCGCTGCCGGACGCGGCCGAGGCGCGGCGCATCTCGGCGCAGCTGGAGGCGCTGGAGCAGCAGCGCGCGCAAGGAAACCTGCCGCATGAGGACACGCCGCTGCGTCTGTACCGAGTGGGCGGCGGCGGCTTTGTGCGCGTCCTGGACCGGGACCCAGAGCCGATCTCCCAGGACATGGTATGCGGCGCTTTAGAGCCGATAATTGAGGGTTTCCGCCGCTAATTAACCGTTATTCGGCGTTGCAAATTGTGCCAGCTGGATGCAATCGATGCGTTTGTCAGGAGACGCGTCGAGGATGACGAGGATGTGGAGATGAAGGCTCCGGCTGAGCACAAAAGGGAGGAAGAGACGCTGCAGACGGAGGAGACTCAGCCGTTGAGAGCTGATGAAGAAGAGCAGAACAAGCCAGAGCAGCAGCGAGAGGTGGTGACTACTGCAGCAAGTGATAATGCGGTGGTGGTAGCTCCGAATGTGGAAAACGACGCTGAGGACGACAGTGTCGAGAAGACGCAGCCTTCTAGCTCGACAGGCGTGGGGATTGCTCCACCGTGGGAAGCAGCTACTGCTGCGAAGACTCCGCAGGAGCTGTTGGCGAAGAATGAGAAGGCGAGCAACTGGTTAAACTCCAATTTGACGGAAGTTGTGGGGACTCGGACAAATTCCTTGCAGGTGGTGAATGATGATGAACGTCCAGTCGGTGAAGTTGAAAAGGAGATGAATCAATCTGTGGATCATCCGAGTTTGTACGAGCAATGGCCACCGCAGCTGGAAGAACGGAGGAAGATGTGGTTTGTCCCTCGTAGCTCCAGTAGAAGGCCGTCTGGGGCTGGGATGGGGATGAAGCGGACAGTCGTTTACTGGATGCACAGCACGCTGCGCGTGATGCAGGGGAATTACGGACTGGAGGCGGCGATTTTGCTTTCAAGAAGACTAGCTGTACCGTTGGTGGTGCTGTGCCTTGTGCCGTCTTCTATCGTCTACCCGGTCTGTCATTCAACAACAGCGAGCGATGCGTACGCCCGGTTTTCGTTTGTCGAGTTGTACCAACAGTTCGCGCAGGCGGGAGTACCGTTCTTCGGGGTCACAGCTAAGGAGGACGGTGTTTCGACATCACATGAACAGCAGTCGCTTGCATTGAAGCCGAACCCACTGTACGAATTACTAGACGCATTCGCGCCACGCGCTGTCGTGACCGACGCCATGTTTGATTCCTCGAGCAGAAGCGATATGGTGCATTTGACTCGGTACTTGGAGCTGAACCGGTCGTCTTGCAGTTGGTCACTCCTCTCTATGGATTCCACAACGTGTTGCCCCGCTTATCAACTTTCGATGAAGCTACAGAGTACACTCGAGCCTGGTGCTGCCTTTGCGACTGAAGAGCAGTTTGGTGCTGAGTACGCATCATTTGCTCAGCCTCGCAATGGAACGTACGTCTTCAGCCCTCTGCCTCGTGTTGGTACTCAAGACGCAGCTCAGAACCAGCGACGATCGGATTTATTAGCTACTGTTCTGGAGAAGCTGCAGCTGGAAAATGTTAACTGGGAAGTAGTGAAGGCAGAAAACACGCAGTCGAGTTCTCAAATGCGGCGATTCAGCGAAGGGGAGGGACTTCAGAGGCTTAGCCAGCTTCTGTCTGGATCAGATAGCCAGCCAGCTATTCAAGCGGAGCTGCGCGGTGGTGGCGTGCTGAGTCTGATGCCATTTATTCGTCACGGCACGCTGTTCGCTGGGTACGTCCTGCGCCGGATAAATGAAGCAATTGCCTCGAGTCCTACACCGACAACCCCACAAGCACGGAAGGCACTCGCTATGCGAAAGGTAAATCGTGAACAAACAGTTGGGTCTTGCTATCGAATTATCTAACGCCGTGAATGCTTGTGCATGCCAGGTTATGAGATCTCGTGCTGTGAACCACTTAGGGAAAGAGCGCGACTATGCCTTGTACCTTGCGCTGTGGTCTGGTGTACGTGGCGGATCCAGTGAACCAAATGGACTAGTCCAGCCAGACATCGCGTTGCTGTCAACCAGTGACATCCTTTCTGGCTTACGAATGTCCACGCCTCGAACCTCCTCATTGTAAGTTTTATGAAAATTTTGCCGCAGATACGAAATAGCTGACATAGTGTTTGCTGTTCAGGGAAGCATATCGGAATGTGCTACCCGGCTGGACTTATAGCTCTGCCAAACTGGGAGAAAGCACGAACGGCCAAGCACCAGGGGCAGCCCTGTATGATCCTTACGAGTTGGAAAGCGCGCGAACGAAGGACTTATACTGGAACGAAATCCAGAAGTTCCTCGTTGAGCAGCAGTATCTACACCCGCTTCTGGTCGTATACTGGGCTTATCGTGTGCTAACCTGGAGCGTGTCAAGCAGAGCAGCTATTGCGGTATGTTAAGCAGCGTAATCGGGTTGCGGGGGGCTACATTGGCTGACGAGTTTTTGTCCATTGTCCATTGTAGACAATTGAGTCGCTGATTTCGCAGTGTGCACTGGGCTCTAAGAGCTCTCCTGATGCGGTATTCATCGTGTGGAAGCAACTATTCCGACTCGGATCGAATGGCAACGGTGTCAGTGGCGGTACGAATGGGAAGAGTACTCCAAACCTTGAAGGTCTCCGAGAATTTCAGCTCCTTCTAGAGAGGGAGCTCGCGTCGCAACCGAAACTGCAGCTACATCCATGATCGAGGAAAAGGCTATGCATGGGTGATTATTTATTACTTAGTAGCTAATATGCTGTGGAAATGTGGTCGCTTGGGGGTACTTTCACTCTTCACTTTGCTTCACTAATGTCCCGCACACGACCATTTCACCTGGCAATGGTCGACACGAGTCTGCGAGCTGATCGAGAGCCACTTGCACTGACACGCGTAAGCCGCGAACTCTGCACGTCCAAGAAGCACACACGTTAGATATGCATGTACTCTAGCTGCCAGGCATCGATTGTACTTACCCGGGGCGATTTCCATTTTGGCACGAAGTTTCACTTCGCTGGGAACATTTTCACGGAAGAACATGTAGTCGGCGCTAGCGTCCCATTTCCTGCGACGGACCATGTGAGTTTCCAGCAGACAGGAAATGTAGGCAGAAAACTTACTTTCCGGGGAACTGCACCACGGTGAAGTCACACTCATTGCAGCGAAGATTGGAGCACACACTAGGCGAAACATCCATCGTAAGGCTTACATTCCAGCTGAGTCATACAGACATGAAAACCGTGACGTACTTCCGCGAGAACGCAGTGCTTAGTCCTCGGGTAGCACGTCCTCCGTCCATCAGCGCTTGTGGGCACCTAAAACACGAATCATTCGTATGGAAAAGTCAGCATAGTAATTCTCTGAACAGCAAAGCTGATGTATCTATCACTTTTTGGTCCCGCCAGCCTGGAACTCGGTGCGCGTGGTCTTGGTCTCAGACGAGTTATAAGCTCCAGCTCGCGTTGTCGACATCGGCCGTGGGTGAACTGCTGCAGGTTTGCTGTCTTCGTCTCCGAGCATGTCCAGTAGATCATCCAGCTCATTCTGGCCCTTGTCGATAGAAAACAGCAATCGTCAACCATAGTCACCTCAGTGCACAATAGTTTTGCAACGCACCCGGCCCTGGCTGACAGGTTTGGTTATTCTGCTGGGCGTTTCCACGTCGTTGGCGTACTTTGCTCCTCCACTTTGGCTGCCGCTGCCTCCAGATCGAGGGCTTTTCATCGCATCCTCCACCTCGTCAAGCAGATCCTGGAAATTCATGATCTCTAAGCAGCGCCAGGCGCCTGAACAAGCTATGCAATGCTGCTTTGTGGCACCAGCGGCTCCGTTTCGCTGTCTGTCGTTTCACTCAGCCTCACGTAAGGTCTATCCTTAGCTCTCTTTAACGACGGGCTTCAATCGCGAACGGGGAGGGAAGACGCAGCGCCACGCCGAACTAAAGTACAAGATTACAGGATTGAATTAGCGTCTTAATCATACCGGAACTATGTTTGCTGGTTCCACTGGGGCCGGTCGAGCGAGCTTCTCTGCTGTGGTGTCGTCCTCGAAATCTTCTACGGTGAACCCCTCGATGAGCTTTTTCCAGCCGAACGAAGCAATCGAGAACAATGCAAACAGCGGTCTGCATGACACACAGGCCACCACGCAGCAAATAGCATGAGTCAATCATGCCTTTCCCAAAGACACTTCAACACTACGCACCTTGTGATGAGATCGAACCAGCCGCTCTGCGGAGCAGCGCCGTTCACATAGCGAATGTACAGGAATGCATCATGTCGAACGCCGTCAATCATGTAGTAGTCTGCAGCAAAACACAACCATCAAAAGGTTAGCGAACTAACTCCCTCACTTCCTCGAGTCGACTGCGCACCTTGGAGGTACCGCAGGTTCTGGAACCCGTTCTTCTCGTAGAAATGTCTGGCGCTGAGGTTGTCGGCCTTGACGTGGAGGTAGACGGCGCCGCACTGCGGCTGGCGACAGGCCTGGGCGATGCACTCCTGCAGCAGCGCGGAGGCGATGCCCATCCTCCGCACGGACGACTTGGTGCCCAGCGTCAGGATGTACATGATGTGCGTGTGCTCCCAGTCGTCGGGGGAGATCAGGTCCGGGTCGTCCACCTTGCTGAGCGGCAGCGTGCTGGCCGTCACGGCCCCGAGGATGTGCTCGTCGCGTCGGTCCTCCGCTCGGGGCTGCACCAGCTCGGGCGACGGCTGCATCTCCACCGCCAGACGCGCGAACAGCGGCCCGCCCGTCTCCATCCAGAGCCCCTGGGCCGCGCCGTCGTAGAACGCCTGGTTGTAGCGGATGGGGAACCACTCCTCGTGCAGGAGCCGCACCTGCGGGATGTCCCACGAGCTCAAGTCCCGGAAGTAGATGACGCGCTCGGGCGTCGGCGCCTGCTGCTGCTGCAGCTTGGCGGCGTCCATCGCGTCGTCATGGCAGTCGATCTCCAGCGCCACCACGCTCGGGATCAGCTCCTCCACTGCGCCGTCGACGCTCGTGCTCATGCTTCCGAGCGAGCAGCTACGTTAATTAATACGCTCAAGAGAGCGCGAGCTAATCTCGGTGAATATTTTCTCTCTATTCTCAAAACGCATATTTGGTGTTTTTATCGAACATCATTTTAGATAACAAGTGATTTGTAAGGGGGAAGAACCTGTCGAAATGGATACTCTATTTCTTGAAGAAGGACGCGATGGTTTTCAGCCGCTTACCACCTGCGACGTGTGAGACTGCGCCAGTCGCACATGACTTCGACTTGGGCTTGGCCTTCGACTTGGGCTTCGACTTGCCACCCTTGTCGGGGTGCAGCACGAGTTGTAGGATTTTCTTGACGCCAGTGGTGATGCCGAGTTGCTGCATCTCCGCCACTGTCATCCACCGCAGATCGTCGGACTCGGGCAGCAGCTCGGGCTGAGCCTTGAAGTGCAAATGCTCGATGCCCATGTGGTGCTTCACGTGCGAGAAGACGTGCGTGAGCTCGCCGAGGTCGCGTCGCTCAGGGGCCGACTTGCCCGATCGAGTGAGCGCTGTCTGGTCGAATAAGCCCGTGAGACGGGCGTCCATGAACGACTTCCGCTTGGAGAACGGCGGGATCTTGTCGCCGTCGCTCATCTGAAGAGTACACACAACACAGCAAGATGGTGATATAGTGGCCACTTCGCAACTTGGTCTTGGATCGTATCTTACCTTGCTGTGGAGGAATTCCCATTGACCAGCCAGCAGCCCACCCTCAGGCCGCTTGGACATCAGAAACTTCCAGTCTGATGGGGAAGCGTCGGCTTCAATGCTCTTGGAGGCTTTACGCTTGCCTCGTGCTGGTGCTGCAGGTTCGTCGTTGGGTAAATCGCAAGGAGAGGAGACGACAGAGACGGCGATGACCTCGTTTCTCGCGTCATTCTTCTTTGCTTTCAGGGGATACTTGGTGACCTGCGGTTAACAAGGAAGTACTTGGTTAGATGCTCGTAATTCGGGAGAATACCTTTAACAAGGCAACCATACCTCAGTCTGGGTTTCATCCCATTCCGCAACGCGAGTGTAGTCACAGATAGAGCAGGAATAAGTAGAGTCGGCAGGCTCTTGCTTGGCCTCGGCAGTATTTGCCTCTTGATACGCGAGACAGACCGATTTGACCGGACAGGCTGAACATTGAGGGTTCTGCACAAACAATACAAATACAAGTCAGCAATGTACTTCGCAAAACTGCAGGCGGATCAAGGCGCCACTACCTGGACGGTGCACATCGTTGCTCCCATTTCCATCAGCGCCTGGTTCAGTGCTCCAGGGCGATCACACTCGCTCACGAGCTCTTTCGCTGCCTTCCAAGAAAAACTAATGAGCTGTTTGTTCTTTGGGTCAGCTCCCACCGCACGCATCCGGGCCATCACACGAATGACGTTGCCGTCTACCAGTGGCTCGCGATTCCCGAAGGCGATCGATGCAATAGCTCCTGTCGTTCAAATCACCTCACAATGGTTAACACCAGAAGCATACACACAGGGGGTTCGATAACGCTACGAACCTGCCGTGTAAGGTCCAATTCCCGGGATCGTCAACAACTGGTCAACTGTCGACGGCAGCTCGCCGCCAAAGTTCTCGACCACGTACTTCGCACCAGCGTGCAGCATCCTCGCCCGTCTGTAGTACCCGAGTCCAGCCCACAAGGCGTTCACGTCCTGCGCCATCAATTCGCCACACCATTATCAGTCTCAACAACAATCCGCCATTCATATGACTCCGTCACTGCACACCTCTTCATTGGCTTCCGCCAGCGCCGCCACCGTCGGGAACTTGTCGATCCAGCGCAGGAAGTACTCGACTACGGTGTCAACCCGCGTCTGCTGCAGCATGATCTCCGACACCCACGTCTCGTATGGTGCCACCTTTCTGGGTGTTACGTCAGTGTCACCCTCTCCATTGGCAGCAACAGCAACCTCCTCCTGCTTGCACCTGTCCATTTCTTCAACCTGCTCTGGCTCCGCTGCACCCTCCACCTCCTGCTTCAGGAACACCGTCAGTCCGCCTCGCTTGGCCGCCTGCTTCTTCTTCTGACCCGTGTGCGTGGCCGTCGTCAGATACGGCGGCGGGTCTCCCCGCCACGGAAGTTTCCGGCGGTGCGCGTCGTACCACGCGAGCAGCTCCGTTCGAGTGTCCAGCAGCTCTTGCGGCCGGAAGTCGTGTCTCGACGCCTCGTGCTGCGTGGAGAACACTGTCGCCCCTGTTGCAATTGCATCGGGGGCCTCACTCTTGATCAGGTCCTCGATGTCCGGCTGACCCGCCGCAGCGCTCGACTTCCTGGTCTGCGGCATCTTTGAATTGAATTTGGCCTGACAAATATATTTTTTTTACCTATGTACAGACTGTACACACTTTGGCACCATAATAACCGTTGGATGTCATGAAACTGTTGAATCTCATGAATGCGTCCGGGGACGACAGCCTGCTGTACATACGGTCGCAGCTGAACATTTCCCAAATTCGAGCCGAGGAGACCGTCGGTCGGTCGGATCATGCAGCGCGTGGCCGTCTTGTCCCACGTGAAGGCGAGCTCCGTGCCGCCGAGCCTCAAGAGCAGCGGCGTGCGGCGCATCGCGTGGCAGGGAGGCAAGATCTCGTCCAACAAGGAGGAAGCGCTGCAGAAGTTCTACCAGCGCAAGCTGCGCGCGGGCGACCACCTCACGGCGCAGCAGATCGAGGCCATGCAGGCGACGCGTGCGTTCAAGTCCTTCGCTGTCCTCCAATAGCTGGTGGCTAACTGCTCTGCTGTGCCTGCTCTCCCCAATAGTCGGCGTCAAGCTGGACCAGGACCAGGCGCAGAAGAACCCCAAGAAGCAGCACGAGACCCATCGACAACACGCCAAGGTGACGGCCGGTGCGCACCGCACAGTGCTCAGGACGGGCCGCGTGCTGGGTCCCAAGCTCGACTCGAAGCAGAAGGTGAAGAAGGCGGGCAACGGCGGCGCCAAGCAGCAGGCGGCGCGCCAGCCCAAGACTGTCGCCAAGATGCCGCAGAAGCGGGCGGAGACCGGCTCGTCCATCTCGCTGGAGGACAAGCTCGGACTGCCCCTGGATGCCCTGGTCAGCGGGAAGAACAACAAACGCAGCAGTGGCAATATGAAGCGGAGGTGAATGTGCAAAGGAGAAGAAAGAAGAAGAACATAAAGCACGGAGCTCACTCAGGAAGGAAGATCAGAGGGGTCGAGACACGGAAGAGAGAAGACCGCTGGCGTCCTGCGGCCGTGCGTGTGCGTGTGTGTGAAGGAATAAATACTACACGTGTTGCATCTCGCGTGAAGCCACTGCAGTACTAGAGGCTAGAGGCTGCTCCCTTCCTCCGCCGTAGACGCCCCGTAGGGTCGGGACAAGAACGATGTGGTCGTCGGAGAACGGAACGCGATCTTCAGCGCCTGTAGCAGAGTCGACACCTCGATCACGGTCAGCGTGTTGGCGAACTTCTTCCGCAACGCGCGACGCGTGGCCTGGTCGTGCTCCTTAGGAATGACGCACACCTCGAGGCCGATCTTCTGTGCTGCTGTGAGGCGCGACTCGAGCATCTTGACTGGCCGCACGTGGCCAGACAGCGCCACTTCGCCTAGGAATGCAGCGCGCTCCAGGACAGGTCGACCTAGAACAGAGCTGGCTAATGCCACCGCCAGCGCCAGATCAGCTGCAGGCTCCTGGATACTGTAGCCCTCTGCGATGTTCACGAACACGCTTTGGTTGCGGCACGAAACCCTCGCTCGCTTCTCCAGTACAGCGAAGAGCAGCAGCAACTTGTCGAACGCCACTCCAACGCCCCGTACACGTGAGTACGACTGACTTCCACCGCGCGCAGTGTCCATGCTGTACTGCGTTGGGTTGGCCAGAGCCTGGATTTCAAGGGGGATCGGGCGCTTGCCTTCCATAGCAATCGTGACGGAGCATCCGTCCAGCGGCTCGATCCCGGCCTCTTCACTGTCGCCAGGATTATCATCGTCATCATCTTCGAGTGATGACACAAACGCCATGAGAGGGTTCGGCAGCGGCTGAAGGCCTTCGTCAGTCATGTTGAAGACGCCGACTTCGCTGGTGTTGCCGAAGCGATTCTTCTGGCAGCGTAGGAACCGCCTCGCACTTTGCGGGTCGCCTTCCAGATGCACCACCGTGTCGACGATGTGCTCGAGCACCTTTGGGCCAGCGATATCGCCACTTTTGGTCACGTGGCCGATGAGGATCACAGGCACGTTGCGCGACTTGGCCAGCCGCAGCAGGCGCAGCGTGCACTCCTTCACTTGATTCACGTTGCCTGCCGGAGAGGGTATGTCTGCTGCGTATACCGTTTGAATCGAGTCCACTACGATTGCACCAAAGCCATGGTAGTCGTCCTCACCACCACCTCGTCCGTTTCCTCCTTCCAGCAACTGGAAAACCGCGTCAAGGTTGGTCTCACTGGCCACAAAGAGACTGTCGCTGACCGACCCGAGGCGTTCGGCACGCATGCGCACTTGCAGCACGCTCTCCTCGCCTGAGACGTACAGCACCCCACGTTCACGCATCGCAGGCCCGTGTGCCAGCATGTTCGCCATCTGCAGGGCAAGCTGTAGAGATTGTCAAGATTGGCACCAAAGATCCACAGCCACCGTAGGATAGCACTCAATGCACCGGTCGTACCGTGCTCTTGCCAACACCTGGGTTTCCTGCCACCAGCGTCAACGATCCGGCCACTAAGCCTCCACCCAACACCCAGTTCTACCGATACAACGAAACCTGCAGTCAGTAAAGTGTCACTGTGCCGTAGAATAGTCCACAGCTCGCCGCCCTACCAGCTCGCGTTCAGGCAGCTCGATCCGCTCTACGAACGTATCCAACTCGACCTCGTTCATGCGTAGAGCGTGTGGGGCGTCCTCCTCGAAGACGTCATTCCCTGTCCTGGACCACGCCACTGCGCGCTTTGTCTTGCCTTGACTGAAGGACGCGGCGTTCGACTGGCGGAACTGCGGCTCGGCCGGCTTGGCAGAGACCACGGAGCCCCACTGCGAGCAGGACGAGCACTGGCCCTGCCACTTGGCGAACCTCTGCCCGCAGCTCTGGCACCGGAAGCCGTCGGAGGAGCTCGCGAATCTGCGCGCTCGCGGGAGCGACACAGGAGCGAGACGGGGGTTGGGCTTCGACGGCGCCCTCGCGAGGCTCTGGAAACGACGGAGGAGGCCTGCACAGCGCATCTCTGAGATGCATAAATGATTCTTAGACGGAAATAGTCGGACAATTGGACGCCTTCCAAAACCTCGGTTTGATGCCCCCTTAAATCACAGATTTATAAGTTTTATCCGCATTAAATTTTCGGTCAAAATTCCGACGTCCAAAACCTGCATTACAGACAACGACGGATAAATCCGGCATAACTGAATGACATCCTCCATAGTAAATGTGCCAGAATTCTCTGTCGGGAACGATAGAGATTGTACAAGGCAATGACATAAAATACACGTAACGGAGCATAAAGTACACACAAATTTAGAGAAAGTACTTAAAACCATATGGAATACAAATGTCAAGTGTAACTCTCGAAGCTGATTGGCTATCTGAATTACTTATTGTAAAAAGTACAACATATGTGTGCCGGGTTTTGCGTTGCCGTATTTATCGGTCGTTGTCTGTAAACGGTTAGTCTGGTCGACTCAATGTGTCCCGTTCATTAGAGCCTGTTCGCGTTGTACTAGAGATGGAGATGGTGCTTGATCTCCACCTACAGCTCGTTCGCTATGTATCCATCTCCAGACAAATTTTAAGCCAATCACAGGACAGATATGGGATGGCTCTCCTCCCCACTTGAGAAAATGCCGACTCGCCTCACCAGTGCGGCCACGCGTGCGGCACATGCCGCTGCTCAAGGCTCTTCGGTTCCTGCGCCCCCCGCACGTCATGACGAAACGCCAGCGTCCGAGCCCCTCGTCTCGCTGACACCATCTGCCGGTGATGAAGGTCTGCTGCTAGAAGGCGCCGAGACTGCGTCCACATTTGTTCCGCTAGCTCAAGTATCAGTGGCGATGTCTGCTACGCCAGAGCCTACTCCCGCTCCATCTCGCATGCTCGAGCGTCTGCAAGCCTCGGCCGCACCGCAAGCAGCACAGGGCCGAGGCAAGTCTCGTCTGAAAGGAGCTTCTAACGTCAAGCCGTCGTTTGCCTGGACACCGAGAGCGGCCGATGTGCTGTTGCGGCTTCGCTACGATACCTTGAGAGGTTGGTTTCAGGGAACGAGGAGCCCCAAGCGGCTTACTGCGGCATGGAAAATGCTTGCTGCCGAAACATTCCGCCTCGGAGGGCTTGAAGTTGATGCAGGGCAGTGCAAGCCAAAGGTGTGTATGATGACAGGAACTTGTTAATGCTAACCGAGTTCACGTCATTTTAATCCTATTGTAGCTGAAGCATATGCACAAGCAGTACACCGCGTACCGTGTTGCTCTGGAGGCTACCGGTACCGCCACCGAGAAGCCGCTGAAGGAGCCCGTGTGCTACGAGGCTATGCGTGACGTGTGGGGGGGACTTAGAAGGCATGAATGCGGACGCGCTTTTCTCTAGTGATGCAACAAGCACTGAACTGCTGGAGGACGAGGCTGCACTGGAGCTCAGCCAGAGCTCTACTGCAGGAGGTCCTGGTTCGCAACTGTCTGCGCACAAAGCCACAGCCTGTGCCACGGCGGAGCACGCAGCGAGGACAATTGCATCTTCGTCTCCCATGTTGTGCCTGGCCCTGTAAATCTCTAGGTAGATCCGCCCCTCTCCACCTCAAAGAGCTGGAGACGAATTCACAGTGCCATCTCTAGTTGTCTTGTTGTGTGCTACCTACTTTTGACCAATCCGGTCACACTTTTGGTTTTCGTCTCCATCTCCAGCTACGTAGCGAACAGGCTCTTAAAACTATATGGGAGATTGTATGACACAGAAATGAGGCACATTAGATCTGGACAAATATCTCAAAATAATCTCGATATCTTTCGATACGAAAAGCCGCGAACTCTCGTTGAGCAACACGTCAATCACTTCCAGGATTCTCCCCCTTCCACACACTCGGCAGAACGTCGACGCCTCCCTGTGCGCCGACACCGCGTCCACATGACTGACCCCAGGCAGCTGGTGGTGTTGTGCATGATGTCGGAGACCCGTCAACGAATGCTGGATGCTGTCAAAGATCTGCGACGGCGCCTTGGTGAGGAGAGGAAACGCGCCGAACACGCTCGCATGGTCCGTATCCGACACTACGTGACCGCTTCCTGTCTACCAGCTCCACGGCTAGCCCCCTGGATGTATATCTGGTGGTTCGGCAGCGATAAGAATTTCATAAAGATCACCAGCCTCTGCCGGTGCGCTATCTTGTGCTCGTATTTAGCGCTCTAGGCCTAACCTTTTGTATTGTTTGCTATGTGTCATAGGCGTTCGTTCATGCGCCTGCTAGAGCGATTCAGCATGCTCTACGATATCCCGGGATACAACCCCAAAGGAGGGAGGCCAAGAAAGCTTCAGAATCACCACCAGGTGCTGGGTGTCTTAGTGGCCTTCTACGTGGAATCGATGGCGTACAAAACGCTGTGCGGGTACTTCGGAGTCCCTCATGCTACTCTCAGTCGTGTTCTGAATGCCGCTGAGGATGCTATGGGGCGGGCTCTAGCAGGGTTTTCCCCAGCAAGAATCGTGTCGCCTACTTTGGCCCGCCAGAAGGCATTAGCTCGACTTACTGCAGCTCGGGAACCCATGATGCCGTTTACGTGGGGCTTTCTCGATGGTAAGAATTATCGCGTACGTATTTGGTTTTGCTTGTTTGAGAGCGGGTATGAATCGGCCAGTAACTAACGCGAGATAGGATGCTCTGTATTGTGGTTATGGTGCTAGGTTCTTGAGCCCCCCCCCCCCCCAGACATTCAAAATGTGCATTACAACGGTTGGCTGCATGCGTTTTTCGTGACGGGCACGCTGTGCTTCGGGGCGGACGGCTTGATCGTGTGGTGCAAACATAACTGCCAGGGAGTTGGAGCGACTCTGACACCAGCCTCCAGTTTCGCCAGAAACTCCTGGATGCCGAGTTGAACCCCGACCCTCGTTATGGTGTCGTCTCGGACAGCGCTTTCCCGTGTGGCGACGACATGATCGGGAGAATCTTAACGCCGCTAAAAGAGGGCGATTTGGGGAGGCTTATTCCGTCCGTGCGTCCTGCAGCACAACGCATGTCTGCTGCTATCACCTCAGTGCGCGAACCTGCTGAGTGGGTCATGGGATCTATCGAGAAAGTATACCATCGCTTGTTGCACCCGCTACCTTACGATGTAGGCAAGCGTAAGCAGAGGCTCGACAATTTGTTTCGCCTGTCGACCTACAGGGTGCGAACTCTTGAGATAAGCCAGATTCGAACTACGTTAGTGCACTGGAGAGAAGATAATGCATAAATGTATTGTTTGCTACGCTTCAATCGATCTGCTACAAGTAATTCACCCCAAGCCGCTCTTACTCCCCCCCATCTTCACCACGAACAGCATCATTTGGTCGTGGCGCTGTCGAGCTTCCTCACGATCGTGCGCTAGACGCTCTTCGTAGCGACGGCTGTTCTCCTCCCGCTCTTGTTCGAACCTGGCATCTCGAACTGCTTCGATGCGTCGTAGGGCCTCTCGAGCTTCTCGCAGTTCCTCCTGGCGTCGAGCTTCGAGTACAGCAGCATCAGCACGCCGAACACGTTCATGCTCTTCGCCCTCGATTCGGCGTCACTTCTCGGCTGCTTCAGCATCCGCTCGACGCACTTGTTCGCGTTCATCTCGCTCGACCTTTTCAGCTGCCAAGCGCTCCTCGCGCTCTGCGAGCCTACGAGTCTCTGCAGTTTCAGCCTTTCGCTCGCTGTCATCTCTACAAAAAACCATTATGTAGAAGTAAGACACCCGCCGATAACATCAAACACAGATAAGGGTTTTGAACAAACGTGCGATGTTGCTGGCGATCGGTTCGGGCTTGTACAAAGTTGCGATATGCTTCTCGCGAAGCTGCTAGGCGTTTTCGAGCAGATTCCGGCCAAAGATATTCCTACAGATCGCACAGCTCAGCAATGACAAAGCAGCTCATGATACGCCAGCCACGAACTTACAGGGATTGGCTGCCACTGCGTGGGCGTGATATCGCTGTCGGAGCCTCGCAACGCTCCTCGAGCTGTCATAACGAAGCAAAAATCAGTCCAGCAGCACCTCATCATTATATCTATATTAGAGGCGTACCAACGTGCGCGGACTGGGTGGGCCTCAGCTTGATCGGCTTGAGCACGACCAGGTAAATCTTCAAATGAAAGCTGGAGGCGCGAAACACACAGCGTCTGCGCGCGAAAGTGGGCAGCTTCCCTTGAAGATCCAATTTTTAAAAATCTTTGCTACATGGGGGTTTGCTTTGATCATATAGTGAACACAAGTGTCTTTTTGATGCGGTTGCAAGTTGAGGGGCTGATAACCCCCGATAAACGATGATTAAACGAATTGTTTGATGAGACCACTTTTTGGTCTCATCAAACAATTCAAGTTTAATAACAAGGTTTAGCAACAGTTTAATCTGCCCTACCCCGGGCGCCTTCCAAAACCTACATAAAAAACTTTTATCCCTAATTGGCAGACATAGCAAATCACGATATAAAATTAGAGAAACCCTCGGTGATTAGAAGGCTTAATGCCGCGAGCGAAGACTAAGCGGCACTTATCGGCACTTATCGTAAGTAGGCTTCGCCTGTAAGCGACGAATAATAGCTCGCACCAAGCTAATGGTTTGTGCCTCTTCTGCAGCAAGTTTCTCGCAGCAGCCTGCCTACACTTGACCGGCCTCAAGCGGCTGCAATGTCGGTTCATGATGTATGCACTCTATCGGTCCACTCAGGGGCGTAACTAGACCTTTTTTCTGGGGGGGGGGCACGGGGCTAGGGTTTCGAAAGTAGACTTCAAATTTAGTTGAAGCAGCGCTTCACTGCGTTAAGCGCCACTATCGCGCATTCACCTCTAGGCTTCATGGGGCCTAAACGGCTCAAGGCGGTGAGTATCACCGCGTTCTTTGAGCGTAGTGAGCCCGACATCAGCAGCGAGCAGACCATACCTAAGCAACATGCTGTCCAACAACACGATGTTGCTACAAAGAATGGTCTAGAGCAACAAAAGAATGGAACGGCGGCATGGTGTCAGTTGAACGAAGTACCGCTGGATCCTCGAGAGTGCAGTGGGGTATTGGAAAGTGGCAGTTTCCAACGCTGTTGACCCGCCAGCCCGACAATCAAGTTCAATCAAGGGGCGATCAAGGCGAGGTCAAGCGAGAGACGGAGATGGCTGCTTCTGATTGGATGATGACATTATCCTCGGTAGAGTGACAGGCAGTGGCCGAAGCCTCGTCGGGTCCTAATAGAACCCCGAACGAGGCTTCATGGTACCCACTTTTAGGTACAGATGCAATTAGTTACGTACTCCGGCCGCACTTATTAGTGTAGCCGCGGTCGTCATTTGTTGTGTCCGGAATCGCCTTATTGCGATCGTTCACACTAGATATTTGTATAAGGACATAGGACTCATCATAGGATGGCCAGAACGAGGCCCCCAGGGCCTCAGAAAACTCGGTAATAAAAAGACAGTCTTCCCCGAAAGCCAACAAGGTTCAAGTCCGACTTCGGTAAGTGTAGCTAGCTTATTGTAGTGCCTGGACACGCTCGACTGCGTGTGGATGCCTGTCGGGTAGCTTATCGTGCATTGACCGAGAGTTTCCTTGGCAGCGCCAAGAGTTGGCGTGGCCGGAGAGGCAGGAACGGTATTAGAGTATCGTTCGGTATATATTTGTGGGATTAGAGTATCCCTGAGTGTATTAGTCTACCTACCGAGGTTTTACCTTGGTCCCCCTGTATAAGGCCTAACACGCCGGTACCCTTCCTTTCTGAGGGACCGCAGTGGGGTTGCGCGAAAGCGCTACATAGTATCCTAGCCTTAGCTCGTGGCTAGTGGTACAGGTTTTTGGGTTGACCGAAGACAACCTAAGGTGCACAGAGGCGCTTGCAACCGACCCGGTGTAAGGGATCGTTCCTGGTCTTCAGGTTTTGATCCAATAAGCGCTTACCTTTGCGGGTTAGCGTGTTGTTGGTGTCTCTAATACCTTTTGGTAGAGGAGGATTTTAGTGGAATTACCACACCACAGCAGTCCCAGCGACTTCGTGCGCACCGATCCTGCTGATCACCCCCCGAACTTGTTCCTAATAGACCAGCTATTCTACGACCCGGTTCTCCGTAACGCAGTGCTTCGTACGTACGCTCGATTGGGGACCCATCAGCCTTGCTTGAGCCAATACCCCGCCCGTAAGTTCGGCAGCAAGATGCGCTCTTTTCAGTCGTCTTGGTACGAAAAGTATCCGTGGTTAGAGTACTCTGTGAGCACGGATGCAGCTTATTGTCTATGGTGTTACCTGAGTCGTGAGGTCATGCTCGCGGACAAACAGACTAATGTGTACACAACGCCGTCACAAGGGTTCAGCAATTGGAAAAAAGCGTGCAGTAAGGATGGATTCGCGGCGCACATGGGTGAATCATTTTCGAAGCACGACAGTGCACATGCAGCTTATGTAGAGTTGCTTACAGCAAGGCACGACATCGAGTTATCCCTTGCCCGCGCCGATAGAACGCAACGAGCCCAAAACCGCATGCGGCTTGGCATGGTATTTGATGTTTGCCTTTTTCTCGCTAGACAAGGAATACCATTCCGTGGGCATTCTGAGGCAGTAAGTTATGCATGACAAAAACCTAATTTTTTATGCTTCTGTTATCAATTTGTTTTGCTTGTTTGCTGTATGCATTAGGATATGTCATCAAATAAAGGCAACTTTTTGGAGATGGTTGGCTTTATGATGGAGAAAGTTACTGATTTCTCGAGCGGAATGTCTTCTGCACCGCGCATCGCCCAGTACACGACTCCATTAGTGCAGCAGCAGTTCGTGCAATGCGCAGCGGACTAGGTCCGTGAAAATATTATTGACAACGAGATGGCTGGCAAGTACTTTTCCGTGTTGGTTGACGAGGCCAGCTGCGAAGGCAAGACATAATTTATGTCAATAGTGGTGCGCTTTGTGTGCTCTCGCACGGGACGAATTCTGGGGCGATTCTTTGGGGTAGTTCATGTTCGGTCAACGGGAGCTGCTGATCTTTTCGACGGCCTCATGAACCAGCTTACAGCATGAAACATCCCAGTGCTCAATCTACGCGGCCAAGGATACGAAGGGGCAGCTAATATGTCGGGGGACTACACAGGACTCCAAGCGAGAGTGGGGGGAGAATGTCCATACGCATATTACGTGCACTGCTTCGCACACAGGTTGAACCTGGCCATTGTGTGTGCAGCCAAAAAAAATGGTTCGGTGGTAGAATGTTTTGATGTTGTGCAAAACATTCATACTACGTGTGGTGCCTCTTGCAAACAGAATGGTACGTTAATGGACACAGCGCGTGACGAGAAGGAAAAACTACTGAGAGAGGGCGCTCTGGCGACTGGCCAGGGGCTGAATCAGCCTATGAACACAGAGGCGCTTAGTACTACGCCATGGAATTGTCGTGTGAGGGCCCTAATTCGCGTTAGATCGATATGGATGCCGATCACTAACGTGCTTCGAACGGTAGCTAGTGATGCTGTCGATCCTCAAAAGCGAGCTGATGCTGCTGGAACTCTCGACAAAATGTGGACTTTTCAATTCGTTTTTCATGTAGAAGTTCTCATTACTGTGCTCAAGAAACTTAACGTGCTATCGCAATATCTGCAAAAAAATGATATGGACGTCGCCTCTGCTGCATTGTTAGCGATGCGAATTCAAGAAGAGCTCCAGTAAATGATTGATACGCCTATGCGCAGTGAGGCTGAAAACAGTTTCACTGCTGTATGGATTAGGTGTGTTGGTTTCTGTAGCACACTGCCGGCTAGTGGGGGGATGTTGGTGCCTGCAATGAAGGCGCCGTGGTTTCGGCGAGGATCGCGACACCGAGGCAAAGGGAAACGTGGTGTCCCTGGTGCAGACAACGATACTCAGCAAACCCAAGAACAACATTTCTACGAAGATGTGTACTTGCCGGTTGTAAAAAGCATTCTTCAGGAGCTAAAAAGTCGATTTGGTGTAGATGTTCTTGGTCTTATGGAGCTGTGCGGTGGTCTAAGCCCCAAAAACAATTTTTCATTTGGAATCTCAACGATATCAGACGCATTGCAATGTACTATTACCCCAACGACTTCAATAGGCAGTTCCAAGCGGTGTTTGATCAAGCTGTCCACTTTGGTGCTATCGCTCGACGTGATCATCGCTTCAAAGGCTCAAGTCGTTGGGTGACTTGAGTGCAGCGATGGTGGCTACAGACATGAGGGTTTTCCCGATCTTGTATCGGTTGCCACAGCTCGTGTGTTCTGCCTGTGTCGACTGCAAGCACCGAACGCTCATTTTCTACAATGAAGCGGGTGAAGACAAGACTACGAACTACGCTGGGCGATGAATTGATGTCGGATCTCTTGCTACTTTCAATTGAGCGCGACTTATCTGGGGCCATCAACAGAGATGATGCAATTGATCGATTTGGCACCATCACCGAGCGCCGCATTCACATTTAATGCATTAATACACGTAAGCACTTAGTTAAATTGTCTTCCGCCAATCCGGGGGGGGGGGGGGGCACGCCCCCTCCCCTAATCAGGCCTAGTTACGCCCCTGGGTCCACTGCAACGCTGTAGTTCAGCGGAGTTTTAGGGCAGCGTCTTTCTCACGGAACACCAGTAAATCCCGAAGTTTACTTCATTGTTTTGTAAGATGCATGCATTTTGCGTCCATAAAGGGGCGGTTAGCCGTTCCCTATTTGTCTTTATTGTCCCATCCCCAGACATGACGAACAGGGCGATTGGAAAGTTCGAAGTCCTCAGCTACGCGAGGAATTTCCGCTATATGAACACTATATAAATAAGAGCAACCATCGCGCAAGCCACTGTATAAACTATGAGCTCGCTGGAACTATTTACGCGCACCCTTAACTAGCTGGTGCCTTGGGCCCTAGTCAGCTTCGTCGCTAACGTCTTGCTCGTCGTCCACCCGACGTTCAAACAGATTGAATAGGCCGCACTGTGCGTGCCAATAGCGGCGTCGCTCAAATCTATCGGCGTCGCTCAAATCTATCGGCGTCGCTCAAATCTATCGGCGTCTCTTCGGTGAGCGTGGCAAGCTAAGTGATGTAGACCCTCGCAGCTAGACTTTTGCATGCAAGGAAGGAGATGAGGGGCCCTAATCGACGTGGTCTTAACGTGCGTCCGTGGTTTTTCCGGGAGCCCGCAGCAGCGTCACCGAAACGCGCAACAAACTGTTTTTTCCTAGTTTTGACGCGTCATGCCCGAAAGCGGCAGTCGGAGCTCTGGTAAATGGCCCGGCAGCAGACAGCGACTGTGTTTTGGGCCTATATAGTTATTCTCTTGGACCAAGCCCAGAGCCATAACAGTACACTACCGGTATCCCCAATGCTACTGTATTCCCATTGCGGTTGTATTTTTGTCTGACATTTTCTGGGCGAATCGAAATTTGCTATCGTCGCCACCCGTTTATACAGCGGGGGGGGGGGGGGACTCGTTTTTCAGAAAATGTCGGACGCTATGTCTGACTCTTTACAGGATGATGGGCTCATTGTCTGACAGATTTTGACAAAAGACTGTTGTATGGACACCTCTACCGGTAGATACCGGTTTTCCCGTCAAGATGTGTATATCGGCTAACATAAAGCAATACGTGGTTCGGTAATACCGTCCGATCCATCCCGATAGTAAAGGGCCGCTTCAAACAGGCGAGGGACGAAAAACCGGTATTTGGGTCCGATTTGCCCGGAAAATGTGCTGATATAAGGGCGCTAGAACGAATGTAAACGTTTCGATAAAATACCGTTTGATGCGTTGTTTTGGCCGAAAATACATATACGTAAAGTTGCGCATCGTGTAATCGATTTTGCTTCTTATTGTAGATACTACGCAGGTCCATTGTGTGCCAGGATCAGGAGACACTTCCAGACGTGTGCTCATTTTGTGGGTTATACAGCGTCAACAATAGTCTGCAAGTGCGGGATTGGTTGACGCCCCAGCACCTGTGTGGCAAGTGCTTGAGTTTTGAAGCCTCTCGTTTAGGTACTGTGACGTGAGGCGTGCTGCCAAGGTTGTTTGTCGTAAGTCGTAGATGAACGAAGTGAGGTCACTTCCTTCCTCGTACTTCAGTGCCATCAGATACGATCTGATGAAGTACGGGTCGCCGTGGATGACTGCATCTTCCTACTTGCTAAAGAGAGTCTGATAGATCTCATACGCTATAGGCTTCTCCTTAACCGTGAGGACATGTTGGTCGTCGATGGTCTTGATCAGGAACACCTTGGTGTTCGCTTCCATAAGGCGCAGCTTCTTGGAGCTCAGCTGTTGGCTCTTGGCCTTCAGCTTCTCAGCTCGGCCCAGCTCCTGCTTCTTCTGGGCAGTGAAGGACAGGGCCACGGGAGGTTTTTCTTTCTCCATGTCCACATCGCCGTCATCTCCGCAGGAGTCATCCGAGCTGCCATCAGAGGACTCACTCGATGAGGAGCGCCGCGCTTGACGACGTCGTGACGCTCCAGATGATGAACCGGGTTGAGATATTCGTCTGTGCCGAGGTTGACATCCGCGTCCCCAGCGTAGTCGGCTTGAGTGGCGAAGCCGAGGAGGTGCTTCCTGTCGAGAGCAGCTGTGACGCGGGTCTTCCAGATGATGAAATTCCAGTCGTTCAGGCGAGAAAGGTCGCGGTCATTGGCTTGCGAGGCTATCGTAGGGCTAATGACATGTTACGGAAGCCGAGGAAGTCGGTGTTGGTGTCGATATAGGGAGTAGTTGGTAGATTTGAGAATGAATCCTTATCGCTAGCCTAACATGCATGCCTCACTGTACTCCTAAACCAGCATAGGGCAAATTTTGCGTATTTTTCTTACCTATGTGCCTACCCTCGTCTTTTTTGTTGTTTTCATGTTTTTCCTACTAAATGCATGTTCAATGTTTATGATTTCTTTTCGTGTTTTACCTACATGCATGTTCAATGTGACTTGCTGACCCTCTCGGGTAGCAACCACATGATAGAGCCTCTGGCCTCGAGCAAGCAATCCCGAGCCTTTGCTCCGCATCGCCGCATCGCTCTGGCTTGCTTGCTCAGCAGGCCAGAGGTGCTGGTCATGACAGCGTCTTGAATTGTGCAGTCGTCCTCAATTGTATACAGGGTAGTAGTGATCTGCATGTTAATGAAAGCAAATTGGATTTAGACAAATCCGATATCATATTCAATAAAGTTCATATCTCTCGCGCTAAATCCTTACGCGTCGGGGCTGTAATTCCTGTCAGATGATTTGCTTAAATCGCTGGAAGCCTCGAGTCTCGCAATGGATGTGTTCGGCTCTGCTACCTTGCATCGAGCTCGTGGCGATAGCAGCTTCTCCCACATACAGCCTGTCTACCGGAATGCGTTGGCGGCACGGCGGGCATATCAGGTGTTCCAAGCGTGTATCACCGTAAGCGATCGCATTCATAGAACGAAGGCACCCAAAGCTACAAGTGCGTGAGGACTGAGGGCCTTCAAGAATGATGCCACAATTTTTTTTGTGCAGATGAAACAGGTGGGCGGTGCAGGAATATGATCCACCACAAGCACCTCGTCATCTTTAAAGTCATACCCGTAATATTACGTACCAAATCACTACAAAAGAACGAGTGTAAAGATGATTTCGTTTTGATAAATTACGGCTTGTCCATTTTTATTGCTTTCTTTGGGTCAAAATTACATACCTTATAATACTTCTAGCATCCGACAGCATCTTGCATCCGACAAATGAATTTTAGCCAATAGGACGAAATCAATTGATAAGAGTGGCACTTTACTGTTGAGCACTTCTAGCATCCGACAGTCCTAGGCTTAGCCTAAGTTAGGAATCTGTTGTGTGTACCGTACCTAATATTTGGAACGCAATCATGTCCGAAGCGCGCCATTGTTGTTTTTGGCGCGCCAGCACCCAGGGAGTAAGCGCGGCGAAAATAGAGAGGTTTCGAACATCGCTTTCACTACCCTTACCATCATAAATTTGTTTAAAACACAATTTTTCTGACTAAGTACGGTCAAATTCTGGTGGAACTTGGAAATGTATGGATTGCAGGTCACCATCCTCACCCATTGTCTCTACCATCCGTTAGAGTCTTGCAAACGGCTTGTCGGTGCGATCTCCGCATTGCTAAAGTGGCTATGGCGGAGCCAACAAAGCGCAAGAATTTCTCGGACGAGGAGGCTCTGGCCGACGAACTGTATCGGCAAGAGCATGGCACGGTCATGGAGAGGTGGAATTCCCTCGCGGCGACTTTAGTAGCTTCACCGGACTTCACGAGAAAGAACCTTTCTGGCAAGACGGCCCAGAATCGGATGAATGCGCTGCTAGGTTTGTAATCTTTCTGCTATAACTCATAACTAATTTTCAATGCTAATTCAGTGTAATGCTTTTATTGCTACAGTGGCTAAAAGAAGAATAGTGCGTCGGCGAGACTCTCCGGTGACTGAGGCCCACACGGAGAAGGACGTCCTCCTAAACGAGCTCTTACCAAAATAGAGGACAGCAAGCTGGACAAGGCAGCCAAGAAAAAGATTAAGGAAGAAACAAATGCTCTGAACGAGAGCGCAGGCGAGACAATCCGCCGTCTAGCCGTGGAGCGACTAAAGCGCCAGCGCGATGAAGACCAAGACGATGCTGCAGGCAGTCCGACCAGGGCGAACAAGCTCGCCAAGTTGGTCGACCTTCTCCGTGATCAGAAGGAAAAAGAGCTCGAAGCGCGCAAACAGCAGTGGGAGCAAGAGCGTTTAGACCGCCAAGCGACGGGAAAGTGCTTTATGCAGCTACTCGAGATGCTAGTGAAACGTTCTTAAATCGTTTTCATTCGATGGATAATTCGCAATAAAATGAGTTTTGGAATCCGTCATTTATTGCAAGTATTCTTGTAGTTGTTGCAGCTCAAAGTAGCTACTAATCTGGTTGCCACCCTGGTAGCAGCAAAGACAATTCGTCATCAGCATAGCTACACGAACAAACTTACCTATGGGGCTTAAGCGAAGCTTTAAGTTTTATTTGTAGTCGATAAACGCCGAAAGTTCAATTCAACCGCCGCGCGAACTGAGCTCATCTCTTTGTTGAAGATGCGCTCATGTGTCGTTTGGACGACGCTTTTGAAGCGCGTCACTGCGTACTTGCTGATAGAATAGGCCGGATCGCCGAAAATGGCTTTGCATTCGAATACAGAGTGCCGGCCGAAGAAGTTGAGCAGGGCACTTGCTGCAAATACCGTGGTATCGAGGCGTCGGCCTTCATACGGCCCAAAAAATGTATACATAGACCGTCGGCCGCTGTCAACCCTGGATTTAACACACCGTATTGGTTAGCATTAAAACAGGTACTATCAGTTTACATGTAGCGGTTACCTTGGAAAAGCAAACAGTGGACACGCTTGTGTCCACTGTATACTTGGTGTTGTAGGTTTCCGATTTGCGCCTTTGGCGAGGTGATGGGCGGCAAATTGGGACCTTTGTGCCGTCGGGAAATGCAAAAATGCCTTGGGCGGGACTTCGGCGCTGAATAGCCGCACAGTAGTCATTCATTTTAGCTGTCACCAGCTTTAGGTTGAAGTACATAAGCTCACTGTAGCGATTATCTACGTATTCAACTACAACAACTCTGGGTTAGCGATACATGCAGTAGTAGCAACGTCAGATAAACGGCAAACAATTGCACATACCTGTCCACAGGAAGATCCTACTGAGCGCTGGCGTTGAGCGCCCGAACTTGTCCCTCATATCGTGGAGCCGCCTTGGGTAGGATAGCCGATACAACATGACAGCGCGCGCTTCCTCGGCAACGCAGCGGTCGCCTGCCTCAGTGAACACCGTGTCGGGCATGGCACAGAGACGGACGAGTAGCCGGATGCCGTGGACATCGAACCGAAAATCCTTCACTGCATTCGCGTAGCCATAGGCGCCCAGGTCCAGCCGCACGTCTGGTATTAAGGGACGCTCGGGTCCGTCGAAAAAAAAGACCAGCTTCCTGCATCACTAGCCAGCTCTCTGCCTCGTTCAGAGCGGCTAGTAGCACTAAGAGCTCCAGCGCGTCAGCCTGGGACAGCTGCATGGCGCTTGCCCACTCCTTGATACGCTTGTGACGGCCGACGCTGCTTCGTTGCTTGGTGACGGCTTCTTGTGGCTAAATGTCAGCCATTCGCAATGCTTTTGGTCTTATGTAAGGATTATGTGTCGTCGAAATGTCTCTTAAGTTTGCACTACCCTCGCCCTTACACTCAGACCAGTGATGCAAAAGTGAAGGCAAGGCTCGGTTCGAAACCTTGCTAATGACAAAGGCAAGCATCACCACGAGTTCAAGCGTAGCTCGGAACCCTACTTCGTGAAGCTGGCTGCAATAAACCACTATTGAGACCACAAGAACATGGACGACACGCTCGCAAAGTTCTTTCCTGATGTTGAGGGCAAGTTACGTGAGACCAAGCGCAAGTCAATCTATTTGTGGGAGTCACTGCGGGCTAAGATCGCGGCGGCGAGTCAAACGACAAAGGGCGACCAGCTGAAATTCAGCCGGGATTTGGGGACGGTGATCAGGCCCTCCGACAATTCGACTGCAATGAAATTTAAGTAAATCAACAAAGTAACTAATTGTAGGGAAGTTCTTGGTACGGATACGTACACTATTTCTGTTGACCGCGCAATATCGTACCACTACGGCCTCCATCTCACTTTGTAGCGTTCACTACGTCTGCTACCGTCTTCACACCCCACAGCTGGCGGTTCACCTTGAGGAAAAGAATGGTCTTCAGGTGAACAGGAAGCAATCCTGCGGGAATGCGGAGGTCTACAAAGTGTTAAGACAACAAGCTGCGGCTGGTTCTGTGGCTGCGCCTGGCAGGGACCGAGATTTATAGTACAGCAGGGGGTACAAAATAATGTTTGACGGTACTCGAGGTCTGTTATTGATATTTTTCAAGGTTGCAAAATAAATAAATAATTCTATACAAATATTGCAGTAGTATTTCCACTTCAATGTATTATTCGGAGGGCCTGACGGTGACTGTGCTATCCCCAGATGGGGAGCGCGAGATCGTCACGTGGATAGACGAACTACGTGCAGAAGGCGCCCCTGTCTCGGCCTTCATGCTGCAGCGGAAGGCGCTCGCGATTGCTGCTGGTGAAGGGCTGTCCAAGGATGCGCTTAAAGCCTCGTGGACATTCCGTAAGAGCCATTTGCGTCGTCACATGATCTCACTACGGCGCCACATGCGCCAAGACCAGCAGCCGCCCGCCGATAGCGACGCTGCTCGTGCAGAGTTCCGCGAGAAAGTCCGCGAGCTAATGAAGAAGAATGACGTCGATCACGTTTATAACGCAGACCAGACTGCTGTGTTCTTTGAATACCTGCCGAAGCAGACAATCTCGGGGCGTGGGGAAAACCGTATGGGTTCGCTGCACCGGAAAAGAAAAGGAGAGGGGACTGTAATGCTTCTCAGTGACTCATGCGCTACGCGCCATTCGTGATCGCAAAGGCAAAGAAGTCCGAAAAAGAAGATACGGCAGCGGAGAACAAAGTCATTCGCCACGGGCTTGGCATCGGCATGTGGAAAGAGGTCGTTGGTCTACAAAACCGGCTGGATGTCACCCTGTACAGTAACCCCAAAGGCTGGTGGGACGGCGAGCTATCGTTGGCATTTTTACGCTACCGTGTTGCTAGTCGTCCTAACCCAGACCGGCCGGTATTACTGCTTTGGGATGATCTGGCTGCACACTGGGCAAAGGATGTGCAAGCTTGTGCGGTGGAGCTGAATGTAGTTCTGGTGCCTGTGCCTCCGGGCTGCACGAGTGTGTGCCAGCCCGCCGATATCAGCTGGAACAGGCCCCTGAAAGCTCGTCTACGGGGTCGTTGGTTGGAGAATCTCCAAGCTCAACTCAGCGCTCCTCGCCTCCTTGGTGTTAAGTTCAAGCTTGCAGCTCCGAAGCGAAAGGATGTGACTGAGTAGGTGGTTGCAGCCTGGGAAGATCTCAGCCCGGCAGTTATGAAGAGCGGATTCTCCTGCATTTTCAAGGAGGCATCTGCTACGGAAGAGACAATAAGTGTCGCTCTACCAAGTAAAGTTCTACAGACATCTACTACTGTCGCGGATGCACTGCTACGTTAGGGGCAGCTTGATCGCCATCTTGGAAAGGTGCAAGACGACAGAGATGTAGTTGAGAAGGCCGCAGCGGGCGTATTTGAGGCCATGCCCGACGATTAGTTAGCGGATGAACTAAATTTGTGTTTTGTACATCGTTTGAAAAACTACTGAGTTTTTGTTATTTCAGTTAAGTGACGGTTGGTGAGTTGTCGGATGCTAGAAGTATTATACGGTATACGTAAAGTTAACCATCCCGTTGGCGGTTCCCGGGGGCATTGCGCCCCCCCCCCCTAAGATATGGTCAACCACATTTTAGCCCCTAAAACCACATCCTGTCGCGCACACTTTCTTTCGAGCGTTGGCTGGGCTCGATCCGTCCCTGGGCTTCTACCACATAGGGGGCTTGAGGTACAGTGCCTCCGTCGGTCGCAGCTCCGAACCCGGTACCCAGAGCGCGTTCGAGCCGTGGGGCACGTCGGGGCGAGTGCCTTCCACTAGGGTTTACTTAGTACACCAACTCAGAACTTTCCCGGGGTCTGACGTGGTAATGCGACTCCAGCTGAATAGGCTCATACCCGGGGAACCCAGTCGCTGTGTGAGTAGGAGCCTAGGGATGTAAAAGAAGAAGAAGGCGAGGTCGTAAAAACTAAGAGAACTTGATTTAGTGGGGAAAACATCGAGCCCACCTCGTTTGCTGACAGTTACTTTGTGCTCGTAGTTCTGCTACAAGTGAAGGATAGTTAGGAGTGGGATTATGAGCTGTTGGTAGATTTGAGAGTGAATATTTATCGCTAGCCTAACATGCATGCCTCGCCGTGCTCCTAGACGAGCACAGGGCGATTTTTTGCGTATTGTCTTCTACTATGTGCCTACCATCATCTCTTTGTGCTGTTTTCGTTTTTTTCCAACATGCATGCCACTGTGACTTGCTGACCCTCTCGGGTAGCAGTCACGTGACCGTAGAGCATCTTGCCTCTAGCAAGAAGACTCGCCACATCGCTCTGGCTTCCTTGCTCGGCAGGCCAGAGGTGCTGGGCATGATAGCGTCCTCAATTGTGCAGTCGTCCTCAACGGGTGGCGACGCGGCTGTCTTCATCGCAGCTTGGTTCTCAGTCCAGCTCCTGGGGCGCGTCCGTCGTCGCGCTGCTTGTGTCAGCGTCACTCTCCTGGGGCTGTTCGCAGCGGTGGCTGTGGTAACGGAGCTTCTTGGCCTTGGCGATCTTGCTGCGGTAGCGATGAGTATGATCGCCCACGGTGAGACACGCCTGGAACACCTGTTATGCCCGCAGTGCCGCTAACGCATTCCGGTAGACAGGCTGTATGTATGGGAGAAGCTGCTACCGCCACGAACTCGATGCAAGGTAGCCCAGAGCCGAATACATCCATTGCGAGATTCACGGATTACCACGCCAGCGATTCAGCAAATCATCTGACAAGGATTACAGCCCCGACGCGTAAGGATTTACCGTGAGAGAGTGATTCGGCGTGGGAGAGAGGGACTTTATTTGAATGCGATGATCAGAAACATTGTACATGCATTTAGTATGAAAAAGATTAAAAAAAACTGCACAAAGAGATGAGGTTAGGCACATAGAAGGAAAATACGCAAAAATAAATTGTCTTATTCTCGCCTCTAGGAGCACCGCGAAATCACTGGGGCTTACTCTACTAATACAACATAATACCACTCGGATCCACTTCACTAACAGTTGTTGTTGGCGCAGTCGCAGCGGTCGCAAAGCACTCTGCCCAAGTGCTACCAGATGTCACAGGTCTGTGGTGAGTGTTGGTCGGTCGAAGTGTCGGAGAGTGTTCGTGGTCGAGGAAGTCGGAGAATGAATCCTTACCGCTAGCCTTACCAAATCTTCATGTCTATGGACTGAGAACTCACTTTAATTAGTGAGACGTGCTTACTGCCGGTAAGTGGCTGTAATCTTAGCCAGCACTTAGTCAGACTGTACTGGCGGTTCCATAGCTAACTTCAATTGTGATTTTTCGTGTTGCCCTTGTGGCTAGGGTATCGTGAGAGCACTGAATCGCCGCCCACCAGGGTTCTTAAGTTGGGTTTTAGAATAAATGGGTTTTGGGTATTTTGCACGACACACCCACCCACAAAAATTACAACACGGGTATATTGTGTGATATATAGAAGCAGACAGAACTACATACATTTAAGGTCCATTGACACTACGCCTCACCTCGCAATGGAAGGTGTAAAGTACTGCTCACTATGCGGGAGGACGTTTGCCCAGGCAGCGTCCATGCGTCGGCGCTTGACGCGACAATTCTGCTATACGAACCGTATTCCTGCAGAAGTTACTGCAGAGAGACGGAACCAACGTAATGCCCGCCGCCGTTCACGGTGGCGCCTTCAAGTCGCCTCGGCGCCACTAGCAGCAGGTGCGGCAACAAGACCAACACTTCTTCAAGATACATCTGCTGCTGCAGCGGTACCTGCGACGGCACCGGTGGAACAGCAACCTGCTGTGACAGACAATGACACATGTGTCATCTGTCGCGAACCAATGCGTTACTCTCTCCAGTGCAGGCACCAGCGCTTTTGCTGGCCGTGCATTGCACATATTAATGCCCGCCAGATAATGGCTACGTGGCGGCGTATGCCAGACTTCAAGCTCGAGCGCAAGCTGAACAGGCGGAAATTGCATGTCAACTAAACAACTTTGGCCCTGATTTCGGTGAGAATACCTTGGAGCTACCCAGCCACGGCGACGGCAGTACAAGCGACTATGAAGGCTAAAATGCATTTTTTAAATATGTACTACCCTATTTCATTTAATATTACTTTTGACAGTAGTGGCCAAATCCATAAAGTGCAAACGAAGCACACATTTTATTTGCGAGTAATAAGAGTCTTTGCTTAAGTTTATTTTGTTACTTTAATGAGTTTCTTTCAGGGAAATAGCGAATTTTGGGTATATTTACTCGGATCTAATTATGTCGCCAGCAACAATTGATTCGTATAAAATATAATTTGGGTAGAGTATGTAAAAAATATTAAAATCTGAAGCAAATGCGTTTTCTCTTTAGAACTGTATCCTGACTATCTAGTAGTACTTAAACGCGCTGTCTTGTTTACTGTCTTCTTCGTTAGAGCTTAGTTTTGCCAGATCTTCAAAGTCGTCATATGCCGCGATCTCGTCAGTTTCCATGTTCTACGCGTTGGAGAGGATGAATCCCAACTTCTCCACGCTCCCTTCCTTGAACCGGTTGCACATTGTGGACTGGATAAACTTGTGGGTTGAAAAGTTCAGCTCGGCTGCCGTGCTGGAACACTCCGCAGCGGAGCCACGGGTTGTTCGTTGGTGCAGCAGTGGGGAGCCGCTCAATCCACCCCTGAACGGCCACCCGGTCACCCGTCACACCCTCGAGCTCCCTCAAACCTTTGTGTAAAAATGTCTGGTACCGCAGAATCTCCGCAGTCACAGCATCTTCAGGATCGAATCCGTGCCAACTAGGAATGAAATCCACAATTTTCATTCGTTCGTTGCCATACCGCGGGCCCAGCATGTAGGAGACGGCCTGGGCATCTTCATACATAAAGTCGAAGCGCTCCTCCAAAATACTTGAGTTGAAGCTGTACTCCCCGATAGGCATCGGCATGTCGTTGTACTTCTTTGGGACATCGATGTGGACGAGAGCTCCCCTCGAACTGTTTCTGCGCCGCTGATATTACACACAGCAGCGCGATCGCTCTCTTCAACTGGGGGACAAAGTCACAGGCTGTGACCACATCATGCGCCATGCGTCGCTTCGTTTTTTGCTCCTTGGACTTCGCCTTCATAAACTCTCGTCGAGTCATCATTGAACCGTGCTCAACCGTCCCCGAACCGCCCCGTTATTACTCAAAATTGCTCAAACACGTGCTGAACCGTCCCCATGGCTACTCAAAATTGCCTAAATGCATCTGTGGTAGATATTAAAATCCGTCCTATTTCTCCCACCACCCTCGGGTCGTTTATCACCCTATCCGCTTGGCTGAACACATGGGTTCTTTAGAATCCTACCGCCCACCGGAACCGGAGCTGATCGGCATGTTTATACCCCAGAGAGTCAGCCATCGCATCGAGGCGGACAAGGCCAGAAATGACCTCTTCAAGCACTAAATCATACCGCATCTTGAAGGTGCTGCTCAAGCACGCGAAAACCTTAGGTTGTCGCTGGACACGTCAAGTGGTGACGCTGAGGCAGATTTGCTTCGTGTGCAGCGTCGCGTGGGTCTCCAACTGCAGCGTATTCCTCATGAGCTTGACATCGTCGACGCGGACGCGTCATCGGGCAGATTGGATTTGCACACGTCACAGACCTGGAGCCTACCACAACGCATAACAAGCCAATTTTAGGAAGTATGATAGGTTAAAGTTTCAACCGATTTTCTATTTTACATTCTTTTAGTCAGTGCGCGTAAAAGTAGGTTGCCCCAACTGGTTTCAAGTTTCGAAGGTACATACGCAAGTACGAAAATTTCACGTGTTCAAGATGGCGAATCCAGCCCAACTCATGCATAGCATGTTGGCGGCCATGTAGAACCAGACGGAATTATTCGACGAGCTACGCAAGTCAAGGCAGCTGTCGGAACTCAAGCTGGACGGATAAAAATGCTCAGCTACGGGAAGACGCTCAAGGGATCGTTCTAACTCTCAAGTGAAACAAATATTTCAAGCTAGAGACAAAAGTTAGTTTTGGTAGCGTTAGTTTATCTAATGAAGTCGTAGAATTGTCCAATCGTTTTTGACGGAGCGTTGCTGTTTTCAGTGTTCCGTATGGCTTCTAGAGCCTATGTAACGCTTGGGGCTCGATTCTCAAATTTTATCTTGTAACACGCTACGACAAAACAGCCAGCATGATACCCGATGCGACATCAAAGATTGATTGTGACGTCTTTAACCCTTGCAGGCTGTACAAATGACAGACCATCTTTCCGCTCGAGTGCTAATGGCTATTCAGTGTGAGGATGTGGAGCACTTCAACCGTGCGGGCAGGTAGGATATCACCTCGGCATGGTTTCTTCGTTTGCTTTTTTCTTTAAACCCTTGTTGAGCGTTGGCCTAGTCAAAGACCCACAAATTCGTCGCCGATTACCTGTAGTGTTTTTGGAGCCTTCGGTATTATTTTGCGATAGGCTCTATCAACGTAAAACTTTGGCAATGGGTGCATGGTACGCCTGGTTGCAATTTTTATACGTAGACTTGTATACCGTTGACCGACAAAAGAAGAAACGTCGTTGACAAAACTAATGCAGTTTTTGGACAAAAGGTTTGGAACAAATTGTATTAGTTTTGTCGTAAACCTATTCAATTGCGGAGTAGGGGTACAATGCGTGCGCTGACTAGAATGGCGTGCAACTACAGTGGTAGTACCGCGCATTTTTTTCAGACTCCAAATGGAACCTTTTGTCCAAAAATTGCATTAGTTTTGTCAAGGATTGCACTACTTTTGTCGGCCGATGGTACCATAAAATGTAGGACGGCTCGCGATTGGGCGAATGTGTTTGGGGAGCTAATTATACGTTCTTACATGGGTGGAGCACACTAGTTTCGAGACTAATTCAATGCCAACAGCTGCTATCAGCTCCTAAGATCCTTCAGGCATTTTTGCAACACGTTTTACCGGATCTGCGACACCACCGTGGTTCAATCTCCCAACTCAATCTTGATGAACGGTCCCAAACATACATACTTCTCCATCTCCCTCACCTCGAATGCAGGTCTAGCGAGCGTGTGGTAACTGTAAACTTTTCACCAGTCGCGAGGCGTCTGACTGACGTGGATTGATGTGGAGTGTTGTAAAATGTATAAAACTTATTGATAGATAGGAGTTATAGACATTTGTAAGTTATCACGTAGGCGTTTGCTCTTCCGCTGCCCCTCCTATTTCTCTGTATACCGAAGACGTCGGTAAATCTTGACGTTGTCTTTGTTTCTTCCAACATCACATGCCGATTATCATAAAACTGGGTAATCCCGTTTTGGGATAAGAAACCCAAGGTCTTTCTCCGCGCACAACTCGTAAAGACACCACTTCACGCCAACCAAATCGCACGTCCAGGGCCCGAAGTAACGGGCGAATCAGTCGATCCCAGTGACTCCGTTTTGCGCTATGATTGACGAAACTACTCCATCCCACCCCAACGATAGTGTCCGCAAGTTCGGTAGATGACCAGTCGGGATTTTCATCTTGACAACGAACCTGCTAATGAAACCCCGCTAGGGGTTCACCACGATCAGCTTGACAAATCGCTGTTTTAGATACCACCGAACCCGTAGCGAGGATGACGGCATCTATTGGGCGGCAGGGTATAACTGGGAGCAAGGTTTTAGTATAGCTTCTCGAGTTTTACGAAGTTCTGCGTCTCTGTGGCGAATCTAATGCATATATATAGAGCTCAACCTTCTCTCCACTGATTATGTCTTCCACTAAGGCCGCTTTGAAGGCTCGAATGTACGCATCCCAAACTGCAACCTTGCCACCGAGCCACAATAGCTACAAGGACGACTGGAATGCTTTCATGACGTAACGACCTGAAGCCAAATTTTAGCTCCTGTCATTATTACCTTAATTTGGTGGCGCAAAAATTGAGAAATTTTAAGCTTACTTCCATCGATTTTGGTGGTTTCCCACGCGTCGACATCATTCATCATCCAATTACACCTTTTTGTCGATGTCGTCTTGCCATACCTACAGCCATTGCCGCTGAGCGAATTTCCGCTCAACTACCTACGCAAACGTTGGCGACTTGCCCAAACAAACCAGAATAGTTGTCAATGACCAAACCCTGTTAGGATCGAACTGTTCACTGGAATCGCCCCCCCCCCCCCC